TTGTAAGCAACTTCACAAGTATATCCACTCCACCAGCTTGCACTGTTGCGGTCCAGAAACCTTCAGTGCTGCTAGAAAGATTCTTTAATGCACCAGTCAAAAGGTTATCAACTAAGTTGCCAGATTTGAGCCCTTTCCGAAGCAGCTCCCAGAGCACTGGTACAACTCCTTCAGTTGAAAAAATCTTTGAACCCACATGATCCTTCACGCCACCTTGAGAAACAGCATAAATCGTTTTTGCGGCAGCAATTTGACCCTCTGCAGAGCTTGATTTCAGAAGGCCAAGTAGTGGTGGGATGCAGCCTCCAAGCAGTACTTTTACTCTTAGTTCATTCTCCTTACACAGAGAGCCTAAAACTGTCGCAGCTTGTATCTTGACTCCAAGTGATCCGGATCGGAGAAGAGAAACCAGCACTGGCACAGCTTGAGAGTGAGAACCAACAGCACTGAAAGCATTTTCCCGTGTCTCGATAAGTTCTAGCAACTGCCTCAAAGAATATTCTCTGTCCTGTACTGATAAGGAACTTTGCCGCAATTGCTCGATGCATTGTGCAACACTGGCTAATGTGCCATCTGGGTCTTCCATGCTACTGGTGCGGTCTCTGTAAATAGAAGCAGTGCAAAAGTTGTAATATCTACATCCATCACAGAGAACTTACTACTAGGTTTATAATAGCTTGAGGACAACATTGATGAATAACTAGGAGTGGTAGAAATAGACTTTCCAAAGACCAACAAAAAAGGAAGGGGTTAAAAGGATCAGTACTAAGTGTCCAAAACTGCAGCAAGTAGAATATTGAATTTAAAACATACACTGAAGCTGGTGAACAAGATTACGAGATCCAAATTCAGCAGGCATCTGAAGCAGTAAAGTCATCAGCTTCTCCAGAAATCCTTACTAAAGGCCTTTCAAATGAACTTTTAGGGTATTAGGTGGAGTAAGGTACTGACAGCAATACGAACGAAGCGGACTAGGTCCAGACTCCTTATTGGTCAAACCCCTATAAATGGATTACAGCCACATGGTTCTTCTCTATTGATATCCAGAAATCACATTCTCTAAATTGCAGCAAAAAAATATATATCATAGAAATGACAATGCAACAGAAAAAGGACTCAATATGTTATCTTCAATCTCATAGTATCAGGGAAAACCTGAAACACAACCCGAGAAATTGATATTACCAATTGAAGTTTCCTCCAAATGGACAGCAGAGTTGACAATGCTACAATCACCCTAAGGGAAATTCACACCAATGAAGATAAAGAAGCAACCAGTAAAAAATAAAAGGACCAACCTTAAGCTCATCTTCATAACTGAATGTGGAGTTGGGGGCTCTGAATCTTGAAGTTTAGTATCGCCATTTTTATCCTGAAAGAAGCAAGGCAGAGAGGGCATTTGCATGAGTAAAGGCTGTCACTTTTCAAGCGAATAAGAAGGCAATTCAGATTATCTTAAACAAAAAGACTTTAGATGAGAACAATCATATCAAGGCAACTGCAAAGATGTGAAGCATCACTATCACAATCCTGATCTCTGTTAAGCTGCTTCTGATGTGTCTACATTTTTACTGTTTACATCAAATTATGCATCTTTCCTAAAATGTAAATGTGATTGAGAAACGCATCCAAAGGGATAACCCAAGAAGAGGAAGTGAGAGCAACAGTGCTAGTATCAACAAGATCTGAGCCCAGCTCCACACTCTTTCCCAACAGGATTCCCAATTATGCAGACAACTATTTCTGATAATTGAGTCGAATAAAGACAGCAGAGAGAAAACAACTTATCAATTCTCACCATATCATTCGGTGAATAGCTGCTGCCATTGCTGGCACCGAACCTCCAAGCCAGTGCGGCCGCCATTTTTGCCCGACTCCAAGATTCCCCACTCGGTCAGTCAAAAGATATAAACACAGAAAAACCTCGCCTCCTCTCCAGATCCGCTGGCCAAGCTCGTCAAAGCATCAAATCCCCCTGCGAAAACCACAACCGAACAAGCGCTAAGAGACAAAACCCAAACCTGAAGCAAAAAAAATGAAATTCAATGGAAGATGCTTAGATCAGATCGAGATGAATTCCGCTCAAATTTTTCGCCTCCACGCACAACTAGCAACAATAGAAACCAATATAGAAACTTTGAATTGCCGCCACTAACTCATCACTCAAGAGCACTGAAACCAACACGGATCCGACCCAACTCTACTCCACCTACTCACTCACTCAATCAAACTGAAGCAACTCAAGAAACAAACATTCCGCCGCCATTGACACTGGAATCGAAATGCAAGGGAAGCAAAACCGAAAGCGGATCGAGCGATTGCAAACCCGATGCGAGGGGGTGAAAGTTTTACCTGAAGAAGAGAGCGAAGGAGGGAGATGGGCATGTGGGTTGTGGGAGGTGGGAGAAAGATGGGGATGGCGTAGAAGAGAAGAGAAGTGGGAAATGAGGGAAAGAAGAAACAAAAGGGCAGAAATGGAGGATGATAAAAAGAGGGAAAAGGAAGATATGTAGATTTGATTGGAGTTTTATTACAGTCGGCAATTAGGGGAAGGTAAATAAAAACCGGCTAGTAGTGTGTCTTCTTCACTTCACAGACTAGTGGTAGAGCTGTTTCTCTTTTTCTGTAAATACACCGACAATCAGTCATGGCGATCAGCGGCGGCGGCCATCTTCGACGGCGCCAGATTTTTGGCCCGGCTGAGCTCGGCTGCGGCTGGGTTACAAGTCAACTCGGCTGAAGTCGCATTATTTTGTAAGAGGTTGCAAGTTAAAACGGCACACTATTGAAAAAGTCAGTAATACGATATTTTGTATTAAATTGTAATTTAGTAGTGGTTTAATTGTTTCATATTATTATTATTATTCTGAACCACTATCAATATGTCATTTGATATCTAATATTCCGGTCTGACCGATTGATACGATATTAATTTTTAAGTCATCAATGCTAAGAGAAGAATCATCCATAATAAACGTGAGAGCTCTAGTTCTCCGTGTGGTAGCTTCGATCACATCGATCACATGAAGTGCGAACAATCGAACACCAATGACTTCACTGCTCTCAAAAACTCGAACTCTGCATGCAACATAGTTAAATGGGAGGATGGACCGATTCTTCAAGGCGTTTAGGGCCAATCTTGGAGGCGAAGCCATCACTAAAGCGAAACTTATGGAAACTCTATACCGTTTCAAACTGGTATGGGGAGTTAGGGTATAAGAAGGTGGTTATACATTTAGGTTATTTCGTGTCGTTCCGTCTGATTGAAATTCAGCATTTCACCCACTCACATTCAAACTTCATCTACGCTACAACCATTCGTCGGTTATATCTTTCGATTATGATATTCATTTCACTATTTTTTTTTTCAAAGAGAACGACCAGCCATCTAACTCGATAATCAAACCAAGCCGAGCCGAGATTGTGGTGGAGGAAGAGACGAATAAAGACAGCGAGAAGCCAAGCTGGATCTTCTGAGGATCCCCACCAGGTCACCAATTGTGTTATAGTTGTCACTAATACTAATTAATTAATTAATCTCAACAAGCTCTCTGTCACTCACTGGTGGAATGAAAGCGATTAGCGCTCTACACCAGACCCAGCATAGTACTACTAACCAACTAATCAACATTGCAATTGCTTAATCATTTTTTTAAAATAATTAACATGCTCTCAAACTGTCATTTTCCCTCACTTAATATACTTAACCACCCCCTCAGAATTTCAGTCTCAACCCCCCAAAATCTCTCTTTGCAACTAAAGAAATATGCAGAGAGAGAGAGAGTAAGAGGCTAAGAGCTCATCACATCCAATCAAGTTCTCTCATCACATCAAAACTTAAAGCACAAGTAACAATTTGGTGATTGGTAATGAAAGCTATTGAATTGTGTGGTTAGCACTTAGCAGACATTATAAATTGCAAGGGAGGAGAGAAGAATTATACATTGCGCGAGAATTCTATCTTTCGATCGCCGAAAATAGTATTTTAATGGTGCGTAAGTTGATGGTAGAAAGTATTTCGACATTTCAGATATATTGACCTGATTTGTGGTCACAAATTGATTTCGTGTCACAAAATCTGATCAACTTTTGTTGACTATATTGAAATCAACGATGTTGGATCAAAGCCACGAGCCAAATATATACCAAGCAAAATAATTATAACTCTAAGAAATCCTATGAAATACTATTGATTACTGAGAGGACCAAAATTGAATTTTTATGATCCTCGATTTTGGTTTAGTTTGTTTGCAACAACTAAAACAATTACAAACCTAGTAAATGAGGTTAGGGTTTGGGCAAGTACATTGAGAAAGTATGTCCAACAATGCACGAGCGAGGTGAATTCGACTTCTTATTTCCACTTGACAGAATTTATTTTTGATTTACTCCATACGATCCTTCATTTCATAAATTAAACTCTCATTCAACTAAAAAAAAAGTATTCAAATTTAATAATTTACAAAACAATAATTCATGGTTTTGCTCAACCGAAAAAAAAAAAGAACAATAATTCACAAGTTTGAGCATGTTCTTCCTCATGTGCAATCTCTGGCCAAGGCATTTGACATCTTTGCTGTTCTCCTCTGTTCCTATCATTTATTTCAGTGGACTTCTTGTCTAATACTTTAGTTCCTTTTACTAACACTATTTTCACCACCTCCATTCCCAAACAAACCAATCATAAGCAAGTGAGCCATCAATCAGCTGGGAAAACAAGTCCACAGAAGGTGTAAATCAGCAGGTCGCCATCGTAATATGCTCTACATGGTCGGATCATAAACAGGTCGTTCTTGTACTAAAACAAAGCTCACATGACTCCTCGTGCAGTCCTATTCAGAGGCAAAAATTTATCCACCTCGAAACATCAACACAGAATCTTTATTGATAGGGGCGTTTCGTTCGTATTACTCTACACAATTTTTGTGAGTTGAAAAACGTCTTTGGCTAAACATCTAAGTCGGGTTGGCAAGAAAAGAATCAAAAAACTTCGACAGACCTTACGATCGAGTGAGACTGATGCAGGTGGCGTAGGATTGAAGCACGGTCAAAGCTTGTTCTGTGATGGCCCTGTTCTTAGCACGCCTCACCCAGTCACCTGCCATCTGCTCGGCTTGGCTGCCTCTCACGCCGTCTTGAAGAGCATCCGCTGCTTCAGCGAGCTTGCCTTCGGATAAGAGAGTTTGGACTCTACTGATTACGGACTCAATCCCATCTCCAGATGGATCCACTTCCTTCAACTGTAGCAGAAATAGGAAGTTAGTTGTTGTGGATGCAGTAAAATTGGGTTAAGCTAAATGAGAGTTGGAAAGAATTGAGTTTATAGTATGTGAGAGTACCCTCAGCCACGATGCTATCTGGGCCATAGCGTGTGCTAGGATGCCACCGCCACCTGGAGGGATGAGAATGTGATGTCGGAGCTTACCTTTCAGGGCATTGAACTGTAGAATGAAATGGAGAGAAGGTTGGTGAGAGACCCCATATAAAAGGACTGTTCTTAATATCTACTCTACGGTACAGTCATTTGTACAATATGCAATGGAAGCACATGGTACACTGTCATGAAATCAGGGTAACAAGTGATGATTGCTAAAGAGAAGGCAAGGCTTTTTTTTGTTCTTGAAAAAGCATGGACAGTGCACTCACCTTCCCTATGGAAACAATCAGTCCTAGGAAGTGGAAAAGAAGAACCCAACAGACATTTACTCAGTAGACCCAAAGAAGGCGACATCAAAGTTCAGTTGTATCTTCTAATCTTAGTTCAGACCGGGCCAGTAAATCACTATCAAAAGGGGAAAATGAGGTAAACGTTTTTATATGCACCAAAATAAAATGATTCAAAGAAAATGAACATGCCTTTTGATTCAACTGCAACACAGTGTCTGTGCCAGATTGGCGTGTTTCTTCAGGAAGAGTTGATAGGACCAGTTGAACCAGCGAATCCTTATCAGTGTCTTCTAGATAGGCACTTAAATCTTCTAGTTCTTTTTGAATCGGGAGACCTTGAGAAAGTGCGTCTTCTAAAGCAAGTGCACCCTGCAAGCCGTACATTTGGAAGCAAAATAGTGGGTAGGTGGAAATAAATGTGAAGAAGCCTCTATAAAGCATTGGGGAGAGAAGTTACCAACGCAAGCTTGTGAACTGAGTGAATCTGGCGGGCCTCTTCTGATCGTGCAAAGAACGCCATGCACAAGGCATCTATCTAGAAAAACCACGAAGCCTCAGACTTGTCAGTTTCAGGCGTATGGCTACGTAATCAGAAGTTGAATGACAAACAAGTTAAACTGTTTGTCAAACTATGAGAGCAAAATTAACAAGAACCTCAAAAGTTGTGAACAATGCTCTAGCAACAAGTGTAAGCATGGATGTATTCATCCAAGTGACTTGATGACATTTTCACCAAATAAAGTCAGAAAGTATCACATCAGACTGTGGAATATAGTACTTAAATGCTTCCATCTTACAAAAGTTATGTGCATTTAACAAGCAACCAATTTAGTGAAGTAGAGTCTCTCATAAACCACTATTCCATGAGGCAATATAATAATCAAACAGAATCGAAAAAAGATCTCAGCTTTTCCCTTAATTATGATAGTACTTGACATCTAAGAACTAATTGCCAATTATTGCTTGACGTAGAACTCTGAAGCTTGCATAAAAGGAGATCTTACATTAAGATTAGCCTCTGCAATTTTTTCAATTTGTGTAGCCTTCTCACTTGCAATTGCTGCAGCCAATTCTGCTTTTGCCAACTCCTGGATCCTTTTAACCTCGGCTTCTGCTTCAGCTTCCTAAATTTCCCAAGAATAGCAACTTGAATAACCAAATTGTGCAAATCTGTTATAAGAGACACCATTATACTGGACAAAGGATAGACACACTGCAAACCTTTTGCTCAAGTTCCATCTTGAGCTTCTCTTCCATTTTCTCTTCAACTGATCTGACTGCAGCTGCTGCTTTTGCCCTCTCTCTTTTGATTTCCTGAAATTGGGCATGTAGTATAAGTATTGCACATCTATGTTCAGGTTCTACAGAATGTAGGCCAAGAATGGTTCATTAATTAGATAAAGAAACTTATACAACCTTATCCAATATAGCAGCCTCTTCTGCACGCATAAGTTCTCTTGCCCTTGAATCTCTCAATTGCTTTTCATACTTCTCCTGATATTAGGCAAGACCGAAAAGATATATATAAGAGATAAAACTGTATCCAAAATTCTACATTATTACAACAGATTATCAGGATCAAAGATGCAGATCATGCAGACATATGTAACTCTTCCCAACAGATAGCATTCTTTGGTCATACCTTCAGTGCTCTTTTTTCTTGAGTAAAAACTTGGGCATCTAGCTCAGCTTGCCTCTTTTCAGCAGCATGAATGGCTTGAAGAAAATCCATAACCAGCTTTCCATCTTTTGTTACATAACCTTCACTCACTTCCCCTGTGGTACGCTGCAATTCCAAGGGACCAAGAGTTTGTGGTTTCTCATTGTACTAACAATGACACTTTTAAACACAACGACACAAGCATGTTAAATGATAGCCCAACGGGTGCTGATATTCACCTCTTCCACTGGAGCCTCAGTTGACAGCATTTCCTCAGTCTTTTCCTTGAGACGGTAAGTGTCAAGTAGATTTGAAGCATCAGCAACTTTGTTTAGTTCCGCCTGAATATCAAGATCATGAAGATAAACTTAGCTACCACGTGCAAAGCCTCAAAACACCATATTAACAAGAAGTACGTCCAGCATTCATCAAAAAGGCATAGAGGGGAAAAAATATCTACAAGTTGAACCATCTCAGTTAGCACGTTTAGAAATGACAGATACTTTCCTCAAAGGTGGTTTTAGATTTTCAACTTGTACCATAATATTATTTTAGTCTTCATTTCTTTCTCCCTGTCATTCTATTCCATTGTTTTACTATAAGATGATACCTTATGATAGGCATCAGGAACATAAAAGAGAAACCTATAATACAATATCTTGAGGCGACAAAGCAACAGTATGGTAAGGAAAGCTGGTTTAGTTCACAAATCTAAGCATGCTTCTACATAGAACATATGCAAGCATATTACATGCAAAAAATCACTGCAAAGCACTGGGTGAGTACCTCAGATTTTTGTATGACAACTGGATGATCAGAGAGCACAGTCTTTATATCATCCTCTTTCGGCATTACTGAAACTTTAACTTCCTCATTCCTCTCCCCACTAATTGTTGGCTCTGGATTTATGCTAGGAACAGTTTCAGGACTTATTGATGCAGAGAATTGTGGTACATGCTTTTCCTTGGGAGCAATTGCAGCATCATCTTCTACTATCCGTTTCACTACTTCTGCAGTTTGAGATGAGATTTCACTTGTTGTACTGCTTACATCTTCATGACGAGGAATCACAGTTTGAGTTTCATCCTTCTGCTCAACGTTATCATGGGCAAGATCCACATGATCTTCAATCTTCTTTCCCGATTCGGGTTGAGGAAGATCTGTAAGGTTTTCCACCTTCTTATCATCTTCAATCCCAGAAGTCAGAGTTTCAACCTTCTCGCCATCTTCAACACGAGCAACATCGTCCTCCGGTTCAACCTTTTGAGCAAACAGCGCCACATCCTCAGCTGATTTTACAGGCTCTTCAGCAACAATGGGTACCACTTCCTTCCTAATATGTGTTCCTTTCACTTCGACGTGTCCCGCCCGCTCTCTTTCACCAATGAATTGATCCAAATAACCTGATTGGTATGCCAAAAAAGCAGCACCAGCCACAGCAGTGCTTCCCAAGATAACTCTTGATAAACTACTCTTCGGTTTAGGCGGTTGACCAGCAGCCCCAGGGTTTGGAGGCACATCTTGATGGGGTTTCGTCGAGAAGCCCTTCCTCAAAGAAGGTACTCGCTGAAAAATAGTGCCAAAATCCATAAACCACAACCTAAGCTATTGGGCAATACAAGCACATGGACATAATATACAGCCAAACCTTTCGTTTTCGCCCTAAAGTTTTAAACTTTCAGCAGTTCTGTAAGCAACCCATTACACAAAAACGCCTAAAAAGCTCCATGAACAAGTCGCTCATAACCCCCCATTGTCAAAATACTAATTAAGGAACCATAATTCTGAACTCCAACAAACAATACAACGATGTGGAAAAGCGAAACGAAATTCAAATAGTACTGTTGGCTACTACGTACAGGGGTAGTAATCTGCCTCGGATGAATTGATCGGCGAGACGCCAATGCCAAAATCGACCTGCACCAGCAAATAATTCACCATTGCGAACCTTGAGGGATCAAGCTCGAAGACGGAAAAAAAATGACAAAGGAGAATAGAAAAGGTTCGGAGATTGGAGGAGGGCTCAGTACTCAGTAGTACCTTCGAAACATCGTTTCTGAAAGGTTGGAAATTCCCCCTTCGGCGGGACGGCGGAGGAGCTCCGGTGGAAAGTTTCTGACTTTCTTTTCTGAATCGATGTCTAGTGGTGAGCGGGCGGAGAGAGACAGCTAGTAAGAACTAAGAAGGGACACAACTGAAACGTTGTCGTTTTAAATTCACATAGAACAGCCCAAAAGCTCACAACGGAGACCCAATTTAGGCCCAACATCTCATAGTCAACCTGGCCCAGCCCAGGAAAAAATTCGGAAAGTCCGGGAGCAGCACGCAATAACTGACAACTTCAACTTCCCCGTCCCATTTTTCCATGTTCTTTTTTTCTTAATCCCTTTTTCTTTTTTCTTTTTAATTTCCCCGACAGATAATTCAACCACAACACCAACTCTCTCACAAACGCACAGACCCGTGAGCTGACGAACCATAAACCCTAATTTCCATCGCAATCCCATTGTTTTTTTAACCTTCCCTATCCTCTCGACATCGCGACTGAAAATCAAAACCCTGCAAAGGGCAGATTTTTCTTTGCCCCGTTTGCATTTTAGCTCCGCGTAAATTTTTTTATGTCCTCGTAACGCCTCCGGTTTTAGCTTGCTTTGCTTTCTCTCTCGTCTGTGTTTTTTCTTTTTCAGGGGGTTGACGGCGGGGTTCCGGTGCTTTACGTTTAGGGTTCGTCGGAGACATTGTGGATAATCGCCGGTTTTTTGGCTCGGGGGTCTGGACGGGTTTGTCTCGATCGGGTCGTTAATGGTGGTGGCTTCGTGCTGTGGAAATTTTAGGGTTTCCGTGTAACTTTTAGAAAATTCCGGATTCTCCTCTGCTGTTCGTTGAGTTGGGGTTTTTTTTTTGTGCTTGGAGCTGCCCGAAGCGATTTCCTGTGAGTATGCCCGTCCAAGAGCTTGGTGCTCAGTCTTTCTGTTGTTTTTGTTTTGTTTTTGAACTGTGGTTTTCGTTCTGTGCTTCTGTCATTTCCTTTCCTGTGAAGTGTGGACTGTGGGTTTTACTGCTGGCACTTGTCACTGGAATGTGGTTATGGGATTCTCATTCGGGCTAAAGGTGGTTACTTGGTAGTTGTTGGTCATGTTTGGCGGTTTTAGCTAGTCATATACGTTCTTTAAAGTGAATTTTTTTTTTGTGTGTTTCTTTCAAAGATTATTCAACTTCTAATGATTCGTTATGTTGGGATTTTCCCTTTATATATACTATTTGTTTCTGGTTCTTTGGTCATTTGTTCTTCAATCAATTGTGGTTCTTATCTTGGTTATTGTTGGCGCCAGGGCGTTTCTGTATCTGACTGGCAAACATGCCATCTGAATACCCGATCCTTGATAATAGACCTATAGATCAGTGGAAGGTCGTGGAGCTGAAGGAGGAGCTCAAGAAGCGGAAGTTGGCAATCCGGGGTTTGAAGGACGATTTGATTAAGCGTTTGGCAGAAGCAATTCGTAGCGAGAGTGCAAATGCAGAGGTTGAGGTGGATGTCCATTCGAGTCATCCAGCTGGTGATAAGAAAGATGTAGAAGACGTAGGGGTTTCAGAGACAGAGAAGCATGACCCATTGGTTGATGGTTCCAACATTAAGAGTTCTGATGCTGCCAAAGTTGGTACAAATGGTAGCCCGGAGGCCATGGGCGAAGAGAAAACCAAAGATGATGAAGTGACAGGAAATGCCGATCTTCCAAAGGGAGGGCAACCTCTTGATGGTCATATAGAGCCTCTTGAGGCTGAAAGGGAAGTCATTGAAACCGTTGCTGTTACTGAGAATGTGGCTCATGATTTGGCTGACAGTGGAAAAGATGAGGGCAATTCTGGTACAAAGGAGATTGAGGATAATGGAAATGATCAGCTGGATAATGGGGATCCAAAACCACTGCATGAACATGATACTCCAGTACTTCAGTTGGATAATGAGGATCCAAAGCCCCAGCTGGAGCAGGAGGATAAGAAAACACAGCTGCAGAATGAGGATTCAAAGCCTCAGCTGGAGAGTGAGAATCCAAATTCTGAGCTGGAAAGTGAGGATTCAAAGCCTCGGCTGGAGACTGAGAATCCAAAGTCCGAGCTGGACAATGAGGATTTGAAGCCTCCACACGAGGTTGTCAAGCATGACCCATCTGCACCAATTAACCAGGTATCTGAGGTTAGCCCTAGTTTAGGGTTTCAAACAAAATCTGATTCACTTTCTACTGATTCTGTGTCAATTAATGAAAAGAATGAACTAAAGGATAATATAATTGCTGATAATGTCAAATTAGAACTAGATGATGTTAAACCAGAGATGGTGGAACTATCATCATCAAGTAATGTTGTCCCGGTTGGTGGTGAATCACATCCTATGGATGTTGAAGAGCCACAAGAGAAGGCATTGGTTAAGGAGAAAGATGGAGGCGATGCGTACATCGGAGATGTGGAGAAGAAAATTTATAACGTAGATGTGGGTGATTCTGAGAAGTTAAGTCTGGATAGAAGTTCTGGTGATGATTCTATGGATGAAGATACTTTGGAGAGTAAGCAGATTGATTCGAAGTATAATCCTGATGAAGTTGGAAATAAAAATGAGACAGATGAAGTACCTGTGAATATGGATCTCAATACGGTGAAGCTTGATGGAAATAAGCCATCTGTGGGCCGAACAGAAGCTCTTGTTGAGAATAAGAGCAGTCAAGATATAGGTGTTGAGAAGAGAAAGCTTAATGGTGAGCTTTTGTATTCTTCCCTTGCAATAGCTCTTGAATCTGATATATATAAAATTTTCTTTGGTTTTTATATGTACATTGGTCGCTATATATCTTACCATTGGTCTAGTGATGCGTTGGCATTTACATCTTTGATGTATATACTTATTGCATTCATTATTATGTTTTCGGTCCATTTAGCTCTCTACAGTTGAGTAGAAGACTAGAAGGTGTCGTTTCTGTTTGTCAAATCTTTTGAACCGTGTTATGGAAACAATTATGAATCCTTGTTCTGCATCTTAACTTTATGTTTTATATACTCACTTCGTGTGCTCTGAATTTGTTTCCAGACCTGGAACCTGTGAGCACTGAACCGTTGAAGAGGCAGCGAAAGTGGAATTCTGATAGCAGCAAGTCCCCTGACATACAAAATTCTAGTCAGACTTCTACTCTTACTCATGTATCCACACCTAAGGATACTTCTTTTCAGCCTTCCAAGCAAAACTTCTCTCGATCAGACTCAATGGTCAGTGAGGAAGCACCAAAGGAGCGTGTTGGTGAGTTATAGATCCTTCATCTTTGTTTTGCTTACAGCTGAAATCTCTGCTGAAATATGTAATAAGCTCTTATTGACCGACCTACTTGTTTGTAGTTCTGCCATCGCAAAAAACTCCAACCACTTCTTTGAAAATCGATCGGTTTTTACGTCCTTTCACTCTGAAAGCAGTCCAAGAACTTCTGGGAAAGACTGGGACTGTGAAAAGTTTCTGGATGGACAACATCAAAACCCATTGTTTTGTCACGGTGAGTGAGCTCCCTAACTTGGCGAGTTAGTTTCAGCTTTTGCTAAACGATAATTGATTTCTAAATTTCGGTTGATGAAAGAAAAGTTTGCATTTGGCTGGGTTTCTGAAAAAGTAGATATGATGAGATATGAAGAAATTTGATTTTTTTCAGCTTTGGGTCAACTTATTTTCATCAGAAAAGCTTAAGAATCTTCCTGTTCTTGGTTGTTTGAAGCTAAGAAGCATGAGTTTTTTGTTGTGTTTCTTTGCAGTACTCTTCAGTGGAAGAAGCCACGGAAACTCGAAATGCTGTGTATAATCTCCAATGGCCTCCAAATGGCGGGCGCCTCCTGGTTGCAGAATTTGTTGATCCTCAGGAAGTGAAGTCAAAAGTCGATGCACCTCCGCCATCTCCTGCATCTGCTAAGCCTGCTTCCACTCCTGTTCCTGCACCATCTAGCCAGCCACAGCCTTCACCCCGCCAGCAGGCTACTAGACAGCAACTGCCACCACCTCCTCCCCTTCCACCACCGCCGCCACTGTCGAACCCTCCACTGGTTAAGGAACGGCTCGTGCCGCCACCACCTCCACCACTACCTGAGAAACCCGAGGCCCCGATTGTGACTCTAGACGACCTGTTCAGGAAAACCAAAGCAGTCCCTCGAATTTACTACCTCCCGCTGTCTGACGAACAAGTGGCGGAGAAGAAGAGACGTGGGCAACAGGGTAGAAATGGCAGGCCCTAGGGAAGTTTGGACTATCATAAAGTTTCAGTCTTTGCAGGTTCTGCAGGTTTGGGTTGTAGCAGAGACGGAGATATGGATTTGGGTACTCTGAAGATTTGCATTTTCATCATTTTTTTCCCTTCTCTTTTTTTTTTTTTTTTTTTTTTTTGTAGCACTAGAGAGTAGAGACAATGGAATTAGAATTAGGGGCACTCTGTTTTATGAGTGAGGTCAAGTCACTAGTGCATCTGTACTCTGCATATTTCATTCCCTCTTCCAGAGAACTATTTCCAAGTTAGGAGCGTTTTAAGATCCAGAAGTCGCGCAACTTTCCTATGATGATGCTTCCCCTTCGTTGTAACATCACATATTTTCGCTTTTGTGTTTCTCCTGCATCAGGAATCACTAATCTGGAAGAGATGTTGTGTTACAAAGGAGTACAAACATAGATTTAACAGTACAGAACTGCGGTGAATTTTTTTGTTTAAATTTGAGGTTTGGGTTACGAATTTGCTGCATTTTCATCATACTTTTGGAGATTGAGGCTATGATGGGACAATAGAATCTATGAATGCTTAGAATGTATTTCGGGCTGGATTAAAGCACTTTTACAAGAATCAAGAAGAACAGGCAGTTTCTGGGTTAAGGCTGTTGCCACAACCCTGATCTTCGTTACTGATCCGCATGCGCGCCCTGGTAACATAGTGTTGCTTGATAATAAGAAGGGATGACCGCCCTGGTAACATAGTGTTGCTTGATAATAAGAAGGGATGACCGCTCGGCAAATTCAGACGTCAGTAACGTGTCCCCCAAGACACCCAACTCGTCGTGCTCCATCCATTCTGATAACCCCGACATGATGGAAGGCGTCGCATTCTCATTCTGTCCGAGTATGTATAGATCGCGAGATGGGATCATTCGCGCTATAGTCATGATCACCTCTACCTCCGTCTTCGCTCGTTTTTCAATGTAATTTATGCTTTCGTCATGCATGGTCCTGAACCTGAACTCGTTTACGTACTCGTCATCTAGCTCCTTTTCGTGTATCCTGCTCCTGATCTCGATCTCGATCTCGACTCCTTCCTTTCCCCCTTCCACTGATCCTTCTTCTTTGCCATTACCATCACCGTCGCGATCAATATCGTCAGTGGGGAGGAGTCGAAGGACGGTGAGATTGACGTTAGGCGATTTCGCCATCCTCCATCCAAAAGCAAGAGCCTCCCGATCATCCGGTCCTCCTACGAAGATCACAGCAAATGACGACCGTGGTTGTACTGTCCTGTCCTTGGAGCCAAGCCCACGGTCCACGAGTATACCTACGGAGCAAGCAGTCGCGGCCATCAGGTTCCTATTCACGGTCCCCCAGTTCAAATTCTCGTCCTGCAACTTCCCATAAACATCGGCTTGTCTGTGGAAAGGCATCAGGATGAGCACCACCCGTTTGTCCTCCCCTCCGCAGTCGATGTCCTCGTGCATCGTCGCGTAGGGGGACACCACGGTGAGCGACTGAGCAGACACCGAGGCGCCTCGACTCTCGAGGCTCTCGAAACTCGCGATGATGTGCTTCGACTCTTCCTCCCGACGGCTCGGGTTCTGCCCCGACCCGCCTTCGAATACATGATGCTGCGAGTCGCCGCTGTCGTGGACGATCAGCATCGCTGTGGCGCGTCGATCTGTGAGCTGGACCAGATGGACGGCGAAGACGGAGATCGGGTAGTGCTTGTTGGCATTGCAGTGCTCTACGAGGCTGATCATCCCTGACAGGTTACGCGTCGAGTGAATGCACGTTAGAATCCTCAGCTCTGACTCTAGCTTGTTGCTCTCTACCGTTCTGCGGTTGGATTGGCTGGACCTTCGGCTGGACTTGGTCGCCGCTTTGGCCAAGGGCATCACAGTGACAGACATCATGAACATCGAGAGAATCAGCACCATGAACATCATCTGGTTGAAGCCCTGTTTACAAAAAATTTCATGAATTTTTTTTTTGTGAGGGAAAACTCTATGGATGACGGTGTATTTAATTTCGCCAAGCAGGACGACCCTTGTATTATTCTCTCCTACGATTCAATTATCACAGTTAGGGATGACAATTGAACCCCGATATATGGGTATGGCCAACTCAGTCGAGGTCAAAGCCGATAAAATTAACTCCAGTATTAACGGATTCTGGGCCGGATGTGGATTTTATTCGTTTTTTAAAATTGGCTGATTGGGTTTGGTTTGGACTTTGCCAAAATTCATCATTGCTTTCCACCCAACCCGCACCCAGTATGCAAAACGACACCGTTTTGTGCGTAACCTTAACAATATGGATAATTCATAGATGTTATTAATCTTGATTTGAAATGAATTTATAGGAAATCCCCAGTGGATATTTTGAGCATGATTTTTTTTATAAATGCACCCGATGAATTGGGTTCAGGTTTAGAGAAACCTGACCCAACTCGATCTATTGTGATCCCTATCAGGCTACCACAGTTTGTTGCAATCAAATACCTTCAAACATTGGTCTGTGAAAAATGCACACATTTTCTGTTACCTGGTTGTTGCGGCCATTGTTGATGATCATCAAAGCGAGAAGCCCTTTCGCGTTCATGAGGACCCCAAGAGTGAAGCCTTCACGAGTAGCCATCCCCGCGAGCTTGGAGAAAACAAAAGTACAGACGAGCTTAGCCGACCAAGCCACGACCACGAGCAGGACAACGGTGTGGACAGGAGTCTTGAAGTCCGGGTGGATGACGATACGCCAGCTGGTCCTGACCCCATTGTCCAAGAAATACACGGGGATGAAAACCCCTTTGACAATGTCCTCCATATTCTCCATGATCCTCACGGACACATCATCCCTGGTGGGGATGATCAGCCCGAAAACGAAGGCGCCAACCATCGAGTTGGCGCCGCAGGCATTGGTGATGCCTGCAGAGGTCATGATCCCGCCGAAGACGATGAAGTTGAGGAGGAACTTGTTGTCCGTCTCGTAGGCATGCCTGAGGGTGCAGGCCACCGTGGGGCGGAGGAGCCACGACGCGACCACGAAGGCTAGCGTAGGGAGGGCGTACACGGGGTCGAACCTGCCGTTGTTCAGCATCAGCGCGACGACGTAGAGGATCCACGTCGCGAGCTCGCAGACGATGGATGACGACAGGGCCAGCCTTCCGACGTCGGTGTGGAGCAGCTTGACGTCGGAGAGAGCCCTGGCTAGATCGGGGAAGCTGGTGAAGCCAAGGGCGACTGCCCAGTAGATCGGTCCGGTCAGCTTAACTGGTTCCAGGTGGTTCCAGAACTCCGGGGTGAAGAAGTTCTGGTACCTCGGGTCGGCAGCTACTACGAAGAACTCGACGAACCCTACGAAGAGAGGAAGCACCATACCGGTTAGCCCCGTGTAGAATGCCTCCCGTCCCACGTGTCGAACAGTGGACAGGTCGATCTCCAGCCCTACTAGGAAAATGTAGAACATGAGGCCCGAGGGTCCTAGGGTGTCTAGCACCTTGATGGTAGGGAGAGGGATTGTGTAATCTGGATTCCATGTTTCCAATGCCTGACCAACCAGAATCCCTGCCTGTACACGACAAATTTCAAAATCAAACATACGGGATGACATGCATAAATCGAGAATGCGCGCGTGCGCACCATGCATCAAGCAGAACATTACCAGCGTTTCGACGGAGAAACGAGGGAGGCGCAATGGTTTGAGGACGAGCGAGAGAAGGTGAATGCCGTATAGGACGGAAGCTAATTGTATGAAGAAATGGGGGACGTGATAGAAGAAAGGGGGGTCGATTTCGCTTTTAGGTCTTGCGAGTTTCCAGAATGCTTGATGGTCGTGGAGGGGAACTGCTGGAAGCAGTTCCCAATGACATACGTTGATGACCCCGCTCGTCACGCCCTCGGTGGGTCGACTTAAATCGTGACTCAAACCCTGTTTTGTGTTGTTGAGAGTAACCATCTTATTGATCTGTGTACGAATGCAGATCAAATCGTTCGTCTTATCAAAGAGGGGGAAAAAAATCGAAGAGATGCTCGAATATATTGACGAAATAAGACATTGTAGATAGGCCATAGCAGTCCAACTAATGTTTGTTTTGAAGTGGTTGGGGATATGAAGCAATGTCCATTACATATGATATGAACCAATTAGTTGCGACAGTTTATCATGATGAATTTGTTTGGCAAATGTTAAAATGTTAACATATGACGTTTTTTATTGGAAAATTCTACAGTTTATTGTTGGTATCGAACTTATTAGTTTAAAGCATAGCTGGATGTTTTAAAGACCCAAAGGTGGGGAGATTTCTATATATCCAAATTCCAATCACTTCATCATCCGATCTGGCACTAAAAAACTGTACTTTTTCAGTTTACTTTAGATTAGTTTAATTTAGTGCATAATATATGTTTATAACTTAATAACGTTAGGTTGTTTCTTCTATGATGTTGTCCTGTTTTCAGTTCCACTCCCAACTTTCTTCCCTATTACAATTTTGTACGTTTTGTTTGATCATTCACAACGAGAGAACTATATTTTTTATTAGCGATAGTCACCATGGTAATATACCAAAAAATTAAAATACGTCACAATTTTTTTTTATACAAAGCAGTATTGATTTCTTTATGGCAATTCACTTGAAAATATTAGTGAATTATAAGTTCTAAATATTTCTAAATGATCAATATTACAGCAACATCCCATAAAAATTCAACACGCTATTAACAATTTTTGTCACAATTTATATGGATTTTTGTTGCTTCATACTTAAATTGTACATACAATAAATTTGGAAATGTGGTATGAGAAAATAGATTGTTTATATGTCTATAACTTGTAAAATTGTAATTGATAGGTGAATTGAATAGATTTGTCCTAGATTATGGTTTGAATTTGGTGAGCTAAACTTGATTGTTGGATTGCATTTCTTGTTTTAGTCCAGCTAACTCATTTGTTGTTTTTGGTAAAGCAAAGTTGCTACGAAATGGCCTTTTTAGTTATGAAGATAATCAAGAACCATCTTCAGAATCGATTGAGTGACCAATTTATTAATAATTGTTCAGTTGTTATATAAAAAAATTTGATTTGCAACAAGCGATGAATATTGTTTTTTGCAAACATTTCAGGGTATGAAAATCCGTCATAGTTCATTGTAAAACGACATTATGAATTAATTTTTATTTAACTTTTATCACGCCTATGGTGTCTTGCAAGTCACCGTTACTTGCACAATTCGGTTGACCTATGCGTCATGCGTTCGACCGAATTCACTATCGTGGTCACTCTGATGAAACGTCACGGTCGACCATTAACATATAGTGGTCGACCGTTTTTAGTTAGTTGATACCTTAATGGTCTACCACAATAAAAATTCGGTCGACCTTTCAATTTAGTCAGAAGCTAAATGGTGGACCATAAACGTAAGGAGGTCGATCACTTGATGGCTGTTATTACCGAATTGGTCGACCTTTTACAGAAAGAGGTCGACCAGATAGAAGACTAAAGTACTATCCATGCATCCATCCTCTTGACGTGAAACATAGATCAAAAGTGTTGGAGTCGCGGTCGATTGCATACAGTAAAAGGTCGACCTCGTATAGGAAATTCAGCCTATGAGGCCTTCGACTTTTTTGCTTATGTATATCAATGTGTGTGTTAGTTTGCTTATACAAATTATGTTTGGATCCAACAGAATCAGTACTCAATCATGATAGTTAGAAACTATAACTTCATAACATAACAACTCAATACACTAACAAGAAATACAATAAAACACAACTCATAATTGTTCATACAACCTAAAATCGAAAACCACATAATATCAATCCACGATCATAGTTATTTCAAACCAAATTGTCTTAAAGACTTAACAACAAAAGAGCACAATCTAACATCATTGAGTTCCTACACATCTCCCCTCTCTCACTCATCCGCATTTTTCTCATTGGTGGTGCTAGCATTATGGTTGTCGGATGTGGTGGGATGCATGAATCTTTCACCGAAACATCGAAATTCATCTCACATCTCTGTTACAGTCACCTGTAGTATGCTCATCTGACTGGTCATCTGCCCCGTGTATTCGTAAATGTCAGTTATCTGGGTGGACATCAGTCCCATGTAATTGTACATGTCATTCATGCGGTCCTATATACAATATAGGGTGACTGGTGGAGTTGAACTCTGTGGTTGAGCCATTGGCTCATCTCCGGGCTCTTCATCATCATCATCAACAACATCATCATCATCATCATCATCATCATCATGGACTACATGAGGATTGTATGCTCGGACATACACACTATCATGCATCTCAAATATCATCTTTTTCATAGACGTAACTGTGTAGAACTTCTACCTTGTGACTCTTATGCCAACCTCACCACTTAAATCCACACCAAAATAGCAAAGTCAGGATAATCCCATAGGGAATATTCTTGTTTGAATTATCAGCAACAACAAACATGTGTTTAAATATCAAGTATGGTAAATTCACCTTCTCATGTGAAAGTAGTTTGGTGAGGAGCTCCATGTCAAAGTAGGTGACTGCCTCCCGATGTCCACCCTTTGGAAGAATATTTTGGGAAAGCATGTGGTGAAGAAATCTGGCTTGAACTGCCAATTGACGAATCGTTGGCCTACTGCGATCCTCAACATCTTCCTCTTCAGCAAGACCACGTACAGTCTTAATTTGCCTGGCTCTCGAGAAATGAGTTTCATTCCAAGCATTGTAAGAATCGATTCTCTTCCTCATGTTTGGAGTCTCCAGTACTCTTGCCAACACAGTCTTGGTGATACGCATCTCCACCCCATTCACATAGCTCTTAAAAGCATGAATCAATCCATTTGCAGAATGCTGATAGACGATGTTGTTGTAGAAGTATTGTACCATTTTTGGGTAGTATAGTACATCTAGAGATATCACCTTCAGCCAATCTTGCTCCACAAATGATGCAAGGAACTTGTAATCTTCGAAATGAGCATACACATCAGTCTTTAATGGCCTTCCAAGAGCCACCCTTCGGTTGTGCTTTCTCCTCTCTTCATATTTGTCACTTTGCTCATTGTTCTGAAACAGAGTTAGGTTGAACTATTCTCATTCAGAACTTGAGGCAACCGCTTTGGATGTCTTTCTTTTCTTCTTTCCTCTATCCATCCTGAGATCAAAGAAACGAGAATCCACATTAGGCAAAGGACAACATAACTGAACTCACTGTAAATAGGCCGACCAAATTGTACCAAACAGAAGCAACCGACAACAGACTCGGTCGACCTCAAGGTAAATAGGTCGACCTCTCTGTACCAAGCAGAAGCAAAAATAAACCAAACACGAATCCACTTGCTAAGATCGACGAAATCAATGTAAATAGGTTGACCTCTCTATACCAAGCAGAAGCAAAAATCAACCAAACACGAATCCACTTTGCTAAGATCTACAAAAATCAAACATAATAGGTCAACCTCACAGTAAATAGGTCGACCTATTTTTGCAACCAGAAGCACTCGTTGACACCCAGCGAACCAGAAAACCTAATTTTGGTCAAATCAAATCGGTAGTTGCAAATCATAATCTAAATCCAAATAGAGTCGGTCAACCAGGAAAGGAAGCGGTCGACCGATTCTGGAGAATAGCAACCAAAAATCCAATTTTACAGATTTTGGAGGTTTCAAAGCGAGAGTTGCAAATCATAATCCGAATCCAAATAGAGCAAATCGACCAGGAAAGGAAGCGGCCGACCAATTCTGGCGAACATCAACCAGAAATTTGATTTTACAGTTTTTGGGGGTTTCAAATCAAATCGAGAGTTACAGATCATAATCTGAATCCAAACAGAGTCGGTCCACTAGGAAAGGAAGCTGCCGACCGATTCTATCGAACAATAGTCACTATCTGATTTTACAGATTTGGGAGTTTGGTAAAAACATGCTATTCAATATGAACGAACAAAAAATAAACCAAATGACATGAACAAATGAGAAACATACCTTATTCTGGTTATGAGCAACTGTGAATTGGTTTATTGGAGGTTTTTGTGCTTCTTCTAGGGTTTTTGGTGGTAAAAGAATAAGGGAAAGGAGAGAAAAGAAGAAAGTGAGAAAGAGGTGAAGATAGAAAAATGAGTGGTGGAGGAGGTTGCTGCATAATGTAGTAAAAGAGGTAGTTTTTTAGGGTTTGACCGAATTTGAAACAAATTCGGTCTAGGCAGCAGAACAAGGAAGCGGTCGACTATGTTCACAAAATGGTCGATCGAGCCTAGGGATGGCAATGGGTCGGGTCGGGGACGGATAGTGCATATCCGTTACCCTACCCAAAGTAGTTCGGGTTTTACCCATACCCATACCCACATATAAAACGGGTAGAAAATTAAAACCATGTCCATACCCGTTCGGGTTTCGGGTATCCACGGTTATTAATGGGTAATGATTTCTCTTCATAACTCCAACTAATATGTTAACATTCACACGTATTCTCACATTACGCAAGAGGAAAAGTATGACAATAATTCACTAGAATGAAGAAAATTAATTAAAACAACACAATTTCATGAAAATATTATATTTATATGCTAAATATAAAATATGTTAGAGAAAAATAATGACTATTTCTAGACAAAATACATATGTATGTGTATAATGGGCGGGTTCGGGTTGAATACTGAGAAACCCATGCCCAACCATTACCCGCAATATTCGGGTTCGGGTTTTACCCGTACCCACTAAATGTCCTTCGAGTTCGGGTTTTACCCTACCCGATTAGGCCGGGTTCGGGCGGATATCCAAGGTTACGGATATTTTTGCCATCCCTAATCGAGCCATCCATCAGGTCGACCGTTTACTCTATTTCAGAAAATTTCAACAACCAAATAACAATGCTTGCATTATGAAGATAATTTAAAAATACATAGATCCAAAAATAAAACACTACAACCATAGTTTAAAAAATAAACTCCAAAAAAATAATACAAGAAAATTATGTTCTTTTTTCGGGACTTTGTTTTGAACCCTTTGGGCAAAAATGACCACATTTTCCACATTTCGACCATGCTTAACTTTCGGTCGTCCGAAATGTACAAGTTACGGTGACCTGCAAGTCACCATAGCAAAGTCCTAATATTTAATATCAGTTTTATCGGCGACACACCTCTTCGCGACAATATGGATCTGTCATTGTTTATTGGATTGGCCTTTTGCCACTACACTTACGGCGGGTTGATCCCAACATCATTGCTATACGAAAACCCAGTAACCCTGCTATTCTCATCGCTTATTTTGGTTGTTACCGTTGTGACGAATCCATATACGCATCCCGGGAACATAGTGTTGCTTGAATTTATGATGAACCAACTAGTAACCGTAATTAGGTATTTTAACTTAATTAGGTTTGACTGATGTATATATAGAATGTCAGGAAAATTCTACAAATGGGATTTTTTATTGAACTGTATCAGGATAGAATTGACCGATTGATCAATTAATTTAGTACAATTTAATTCGGAGAGCTTGGGAAGAAGGCAAGATTTTTTTTTTTTTTTGGTTATTGCCGCGACATGGGTTGTCGGTTGATACTCATACCATTAGAAATTATGTGGGCGTTACTATTGGAAAACCCTAGTGGTACCCTACTATTGTCAATGTTTTTGTTGTTGTCGTCGTCGTTGTGACGGATCCACATACGCATCCCGGGAACGTAATGCTGCTTGAGAACAAGGAGGGAGGATCGTTGCGAGAATTCGGAAGTCAGTAACGTGTCTCCCAAGACACCCAACTCGTCACACTCGGTCCACTCCGACAACCCTGACATGATCGAGGAGCTCACCGCGTTTTTGCTCTGACCCAGTATGTAGAGATCGTAAGACGGCACGACTCGCCCGATCATCGTGATCACCTCGTCCCCGGTCCTCACCTGCTTCTCGACGTAGTTTATGCTCTCGTCGTGCATGGTCCTGAACCTGAACTCGTTCACGTACTCGTCGTCCATGTCCCTTTTGTCTCTCTTGCTCCTCATCGTGACGCCTCCCCCTTCGACGGTCACTTCATGTATCTCACCATCTCCATCGTCGTCGTCGTGATCGTCGTCGTCGTCGTCGTTAGGGAGGAGTCGAAGGACGGTGAGCTTGACGTTAGGCGATTTAGCCATCCTCCAACCGTAAGCAAGTGCCTCCCGATCATCCGGCCCTCCGATGAAGATAACAACAAACGACGATTGTGATCGCATCGCTACATCTTTGGAGGAGCCGCCAAGCCCACGGTCCACGAGTATACCGATGGAGCAAGTAGCCGTGGCCATGAGGTTCTGGTTCACCGTCCTCCAGTTCATGTTCTCGTCTTGAAACCTCCCGTAGACATCGGCTTGCCTGTGGAACGGGACCAAGATCAAGGTCACCCGCTTGTCCTCTCCCAGGCACGTGATGTCCTCGTGCATCGTGGTGTACGGGGACACCACGGTGAGCGACTGAGCGGACACCGACGCGCCTCGATTCTCGAGGCTCTCGAACATCGTGACGATGTGCTTTGACTCTTCCTCTCGACGGGTCGGGTTCTGCCCCGAACTGTGGTGGGAGTTGTCGTCGTTGTCGTCGCGGTGGTTGTTGCTGATCTTATTCCTGTTGTTGTTGTTGTCATGGACGATTAGCATTGCCGTGGCACGTCGATCGGTGAGCTGGACTAGATGGAGGCCAAAAACACAGACCGGGTACTGCTTTCCCCCATTGGAGCACTCCAGGAGGTAGATCATCCCCGAGAGATTACGCGTAGTATGGATACAGGCCAGCACCCTGAGCTCCGACTCCAGCTTGTTGCTCTCTACGGTTCTATTCTTGAAATGGCTAGATCTTCTGTTGGTCTTGTTTGCTGCTTTGACCAAGGGCATTATCGTCGCTGACATCACGAACATTGAAAATATCAGCACCAGGAACATCAGCTGGTTGAATCCCTGGTTGTTGCGGCCCGTGTTGATGACGATTAAAGCTAGAACCCCTTTCGTGTTCATCAGGACTCCGAGAGTGAATGCGTCATGAGTCTTCATTCCCGAGAGTTTGGAGAAAAAGAAAGTACTGATAATCTTCGCCGACCAGGCCAAAACTATGAGGAGGAATATGGTGTGGGGAGGTACATCGTTTAGGGCGTAAGGGATGACGGAAAGGTTGCTTCTAACCCCATTGTCCATGAAAAACGCGGGCATCAGGATCCCTCTGATGTAGTCCTCGAACACCTCCAAGAGCTTCACGGACATGACATCCCCGCTGGGGATGACGAGCCCGAACACGAAGGCGCCAATCATCGAATTGGCGCCACACGCCTCGGTTACGACCGAGGAGGTCAGGATCCCGCCGAAGATGGTGAAGTTGAGGAGCAGCTCGTTGTCCGTCTCGTCCGCGTGCCTGAGGATCCTGGTGACCGTGGGGCGGACCAGGAACCAGGACGCGGCGAAGAACGCGAACGTGGGGAGGAGGTAGAGAGGGTTCAGGGTGCCGTTGTTCAGGGTGAGCGCGATGACGAGGAGGATCCACGTCGTGAGCTCGCTGATGATGGAGGAGGACAGGGCCAGCTTCCCCATGTCGGTGTGGAGTAGCTTGATGTCGGAGAGTATCCTGGCGAGGTCAGGGAAGCTGGTGACCGTGAGGGCAACCCCCCAGAAGACGGGGCCGGTCAGCTTGACCGGAGCCAGATTCTCCCAGAACTCCGAGGTGAAGAAGTTTGTGTGTCTTGGATCAGCTGCCAATACGAAGAACTCGACGAACCCTACAAAGAGAGGAAGTATCGTCCCCGTTAGGCCCGTGTACACCGCCTCCCGTCCTATGTGTCGGACGGTGGACAGGTCGATCTCTAGCCCCACCAAGAATACATAGTAAATGAGGCTCAAATGTCCCAAAGTGTCTAGCACCTTGAGGCTGCTGGTAGGAACAATGTAAACCCTAGTCCATGTTTGCAATCCCTGACCAATCAAAATTCCAGCCTGTACAAAACAAAACAAAACAAAACAAAACATTTTTTTACCGATACAATATTTTAATTAATCTTTGGGAAGGATTTTAGGGTATGAATGAACGAATGAATGCAGAGTTACCGTAACTTACCAGTAATTCGATGGAGAAGCGTGGGAGGTGCAACGGTCTGAGGATGACCGAAACAAGGTGGATGCCGAACAAGATGGCAGCTAGTTGCACGCAGTAGTAAGGAGCGTAATGGATGAACGTGCAATCGTTTTCGTTCTCGGGCCGTGCCAGTTTCCAGAACACGGACGTGTCGATTGTTGTCGGAACCGACTCGTTGACGCATACGTTGATGACCCCGCTGTTCCAACCCTCCACGGTTGGTTTGGACGACGACTCACGAGACATCTTGATCTGATGATGATGATGATGATGATGATGATGATGATGATGATGATGATGATGATGGAAGAGCTTTCAAACGTATGATGAACCAATTGGTTGAGAGGGAATTTGATTCTGTAAATTTTTGTCGCCATGGTGTTGGTTGATAGAATTAAACATGGATCCTTAACGGTAATTGGTTAAACAGTTATTCGCTCATGCTTTCATGTTCTGCAGGTTTGTTTGTTTTGGTGCATATATAGAGTTGGCTTTAGTTTAGTCCTTACTTTAATTGGAAAGCTTTTATTAGTAATTGGGAAATTCAAATACAGTTTCAATTCCTTCATATGTTGGATCGGATCTAAACTATTGAGGCAAGTTTATGGGGTCTAATGTGAACACTGAGATGGCCGGTGGCGGAGTCTCGTTGTAATACGGGTTGGGATGGAGTCAGGATTTGGTGTTTAGCGGGGGAGACGTTTATTACTCTGTGACGATAAATTATTTTGATTGTGTGCTATGTCAAATATAAATAAGCAAATTATTATGAACCAAAAAATATTGGCATACAGTTTACTATTTAGCGTGTTTTTCATCACTTTTATAAATTATCCTCAATATTAATATTTAAAAAGGGTAATTTAGCCCCTAATTTATCTAATATATCATTAAAATGTGATTTTGCAAGTTTATAACTTAATCAATATTATGTAAAATTATTGAACTTGAAAACAAAAATGTATAAAAAATCATTGAAGGCCTTTTGAGACATAACACAACAATGTAAACAGTGAAACTTTACTACAAAATAACGAAATCTAAAACAATCTTTGTACAGGAGAGTTGAAACCCAGATCCCCCTGGTTAGGAAATAAGACCTTGTCTAGTAGACTACATCAAAACTACATAGGTTATATTTCGCACGATCATATATTTATATAAAGTTAGGGTATGCCTACTATGACATGCATGTCACGGTGACATGTACTTTTCGGTCGACCTATTTCTGAAGGCGGTCGACCGAATTGACTAATTTGGGCAGCACAAGAAAGCATTGCGGTCGACCTCAACGACCACTTGGTCGACCGCACTTAGTTTAAGTTGTTATTTTTGGTCGACCAGAATAAAACCTGGCTCGGCCATTTCGTTGGCGTCAGAAACAACATGGTCGACCACCTAAGGTATATAGGTCGACCACTTGATGGCAGTCATTAACAAAATGGTCGACCAGATAGAAGATAAGTGTTCTATCAAAGTGTCCAATCATTTGACGTAAAATGAAGATCAAGTGTTGGTTTCGCGGTCGACCTAATCCGGTACGAGGTCGACCGAATACAAGAAAGTCAACCTATGCCCTGTGTCTTTTTTGCTTATGTATGTCGATTTGTGTGATTCTTTTAATCGTATAAATTATGTTTCAAACCATCATAATTAGTCATAAATAATTATAACAAGGACTCATCAATTCATAGCATAACAACTAAAAATAAAACAGAAATCATAATTGTTCACACATAAAAATAAAACTAAAAAAACAACAGAATAACAATCAACAATCGTTTTGACCACTAAAACACACAATATAAAATCTCCTCTCTCCTACTCATCTCCCCCCTCTCTCTCATCCACATTTTCTTCATTGGTGGTGCTAGCATGATGGTGGTCGGATGTGGTGGGATATTTGGGTCGACCTTTCGTTCTGTTAGACCACCAAAGCGGTCGACCGTATTATGTAAGAGGTCAACCGCGTCTCGGAACCCCACATACATGAATTAGTTCATTCGGTCGACCGCATGTTGGATTAGGTCAACCGAAAAGTCCATGTCACAGTGACATGCATGTCACCGTAGCAAAATCCATAAAGTTATATGTCGTTAAGTTAATTTGTAATTTGAAGAATTCTCAAAGGGATGAGTCTCACGCACCTTTGTTTTGCAGATGACCTTTACATTTTCATCGAAGGATTAGTTTTTTTGCATTGGAGTGTCTTAATAGAGTACTACAACTATTTGTACACGAATGCAAATTTCAACCGCAATGTACAACACTTAGAATGTCATTCATTTTAGATGATCAGTACATTTTAAATTCGAAGAACACGGGAAGAAAGACTTAAGAATTCCATTGGGGTTGGGATATTGTAACCGTGGACGGCCGGTTGGTGATCTCCAAATCATTAGAAACATTGTGGACGCTACTATTGGAAAACCCTAATGGCACCCGATTATTGTTGTCATTATTGTTTATGTTGTTGTTGTTGCCATTGCGACGAATCCACATACGCATCCCGGGCACATAATGTTGCTTGATAACAAGAAGAGAAGAACGTTGTGCGAATTCGGAAGCCAGTAACGTGTCTGCCAAGACACCCAACTCGTCGCATTCGGTCCACTCAGACAACCCCGACATGATGGACGATCGTCTCGCGTTCTTGCTCTGGCCCAGTATGTAGAGATCGCAAGATGGCACCACTCGCCCGATCATCGTGATCACCTCGTCCCCGTCATTCACTCGCTTCTCAACGTAGTTTATGTTCTCGTCGTGCATGGTCCTGAACCTAAACTCGTTCACGTACTCGTTGTCTAGCTCTTTTTCCCCTCTCTTGCTCCTCATTGTGCCTCCTCCTTCGACCGTCACTTCTTCAATGTCACAATCCACATCGTCGTCGTCGTGATTGTCGTTGGTGGGGAGGAGTCGAAGGACGGTGAGGTTGACATCGGGCGATTTAGCCATCCTCCAACCAAGTGCAAGGGCCTCTCGATCATCCGGACCTCCGATGAAGACAACAGTAAACGACGATTTCGAATGTGTTTTTACATCCTTGGAGCCCAGTCCACGGTCCACGAGTATTCCTACGGAGCAAGTAGCCGTCGCCATGAGGTTCTTGTTCACCATCCTCCAGCTCGAGTTCTCCTCTTGCAACCTCCCGTAGACATCAGCTTGCTTGTGGAAAGGGATCAATATCAGCGTCACCTATCAGGAGATATTACAAGTTATCGTCAAGAGACTCAAACCGGCTACCATGAATGTCAGAGTGGATCGACTAGGTTTAGAGGAAGTTATCCTCATCAATATTGTTATGTTTAGGTTTTAGTTTTAGTTATGTTTTATCTTTGTTCTCCAAAAGCAAGGTGCGGCACACCTTTGTCATGTAGTGCCACTCTTTGGACTATTTAAACCAAATGTTGAATGAGAAAATTAACCTAAAGGGTTCTAGGGTTCCATTTTCACAACTCATCTTTGTTGTTATCACCTGTTTGTCGTCCCCTAGGCAGGTGATGTCCTCGTGCATTGTGGCGTAGGGGGACACGACGGTGAGCGACTGAGCAAACACCGAGGCACCTCGATTCTCGAGGCTCTCAAAAGTCGCGATGATGTGATTCGACTCCTCCTCTCGACGGGTCAGGTTCTGACCCGGTCCTTCGATACTGTGGTGGGAGTTGCTAATAGTACTGTTTTTATTCCTCTTCTTGTTGTTGTTGTTTTCGTGGATGATCAGCATCGCCGTGGCACGTCGATCGGTGAGCTGGACCAAGTGGAGGGCGAAAACGGATATTGGGTACTGCTTTCCGCCATTGGAGCACTCGAGGAGGTAGATCATCCCTGAAAGGTTACGTGTAGTGTGGATACATGTTAGTACCCTGAGCTCAGACTCTAGCTTGTTGCACTCAACCGTTCGGGTCTTGAACCGGTTTGGTTTTCGATTCGACTTGTTTGTTGCTTTGGCCAAGGGCATTACAGTTACAGACATCACTAACGTTGAAAGTATTAGCACCACGAACATTAGTTGGTTGAAGCCCTGTACATATTAGGAAAACAACTAAGTTGTGTGTCTTGAATCACTTATCGTCATGATTTAGTTGACGAGAATGATGATCATCACCTCGTTACGGTAAAAAAAAAATGAACATGACGATTTATGTAAATACCTGGTTGTTACGGCCGGTGTTGATGACGATTAAAGCTAGAACCCCTTTTGTGTTCATGAGGGCTCCAAGAGTGAAGGCTTCACGAGTAGTCATTCCTCCCAATTTGGAGAAAACAAAAGTATTGATGATCTTAGTAGACCAAGCTAAAACTATGAGGAGGAAAATGGTAAGTGGATGTGTCTCATATATGGGGTTGATGATGGTCATCAAACTAGTTCTAGCCCCATTATCCATGAAAAATCCAGGCATCAAAACCCCCTTGATGTAGTCCTCGAATTTCTCCATGAGCCTCACAGACATATCCCCATTGGGGATGATGAGCCCGAACACGAAGGCGCCGATCACGGAGTTGGCCCCACAGGCCTCGGTGATGACCGACGAGGTCAGGATTCCGCCCAGGATGGTGAAGTGGAGGAGGAACTTGTTGTCCGTCTCGTCCGCGTGCCTGAGAACCCAGGTGACCGCGGGGCGCACGAGGAACCAGGAGGCGACGAAGAAGGCGAACGTTGGGAGGAGGTACAGAGGGTTCAGGGTGCCATTGTTCAGCGTTAGCGCGACGACGAGCAGGATCCACGTCGTGAGCTCGCTGACGATGGAGGACGACAGGGCCAACCTCCCGATGTCGGTGTGCAGGATCTTGAGGTCTGAGAGTATCCTGGCGAGATCAGGGAAGCTGGTGACCGTGAGGGCGACTCCCCAGAAGATGGGTCCAGTCAGCTTGACTGGATCCAGATTCTCCCAAAACTTCGGGGTGAAGAAATTCGTGTATCTTGGATCGGCTGCCATTATGAAGAATTCGACGAACCCAATCAAGAGAGGAAGTACGGTCCCAGTTAGACCCGTGTACACCGCCTCCCATCCCACGTGTCGAACCCTGAATAGGTCGATCTCTAGCCCCACTAGGAATACATAGAAAATGAGGCTCGCATGTCCAACTGTGTCTAGCACCTTGAGGCTATTGGTAGGCATGGCATAAATTCTACACCATGTTTGCAACCCCTGACCAATCAAAATTCCACTCTGTGCAAACAAATGCAACCAACCAACAACAACAACAACAAAAAATCAGGTCAACAACACCATTTTCCCCTCGAAAAACGTGACGACTCCACTCTTCGGTTAAACTTTATGTCCTCTAACAGAGGGGTAAATAAGACATTTCCCCTCTCCAATAACAATCTGTTGATAGGAAATTTAAGAGAAGGATAGAGTTGTTACGTTTTTATAGTCGACGATGAAAAAAAAAATTTACCAGCAATTCCACGGATAAGCGGGGGAGGCGCAACGATTTGAGGATGGCTGCAACAATCTGAGTGCCGAACATGATGGCAGCCAATTGTACGATGTAGTAAGGAACGTAGTGGATGAACGTGGGATTGTTTTCGTTCTCCGGTCGTGCCAGTTTCCAGAACCCCGATGTGTCGAGGAACGTTGGAACGGTCTCGTTGAGGCATACGTTGATGACCCCGCCGGTTAAACTATCCACTGTGACTTTGTCACGCGACTCGTGAGCCATCTTGATCTTATGATTGATGTCGAATGATGATTGCCGGAATATATAGACTCGCCGGAAAATTTAAAGTTCGAACTTATATGAAAACCAGCTAGTTGAGAGGGTACATCAATGATTTTGTAGATTCTTGCCGTGAGGCTTGGAATCGGTAGTATTAAACATGGATCCTTAAACAGTAATTGGGTAATCAGATTGGCAATTATAGAATGTGAACGCAGATTTGTTGTCATTAATTGGAAAGATCATCTACAGTCTGTATTTAACTGTATTAGTTTGGTGGGCAGTCGAAAAGGAAATGAAGTTGGAAAAAAATGGAGGAGATGACTTGTAGTTTGTTTACTTTTTGTTAAGTTTGCGGACAGAAATCGTAACGATGCAACTGGAATTTGACATACATGGTTTAGTTGCAGCAAAAGTAAATTAGGTGGTGAGCTTGCAGAATACGCTATATTTAAGTGGCAAACGGTGCATTTAACTCTTAATATTACAAGGTATACAAATCAATAATTGCAATATAAGCAAACCGGATCATAAAAGTATATCAACCAATGACAAGAAGAGTACAAATTAGTATAACAAATAATGCAAAAATATAAAAACCATATCATATAAGTATATAGCAATGACATACTTTACAAACATTAACCACATTCTTTACAAACTAAAGCACATAAATGGTATACAAACCAGACATAGTTTACAAATCAAAACCACATTATGTACAAACCAATGTGACAGACTAGACTATATACGTGTTTATTAACATTTTTCATTACAAAACATACTTATTTTATGTTACAAACCTGACTTGACTTAATAATACCACATAAATAAAAATTGTTTTGAGATGTTCTCTCATACGTATCCACAACGTGTAACACAATTTTTGCATGATGATTGATATAATGACAAAGCTGAATTTTATAAAAAGAAAGACAATGGAAGTGGTCAAACTCAATGAGCTATAGGCCAGCTCGCCTTCCGTATTAATATATGATGCAGGGTTTCGGGTACGGGTTGTTGATTTGGTCGCGGATTATCGTGCATTTGGTTCGGTTTGGTCATGCTTACATATATTAATTCGGTCTAGTTTTCTTCAGCATCTGTATAATTCATGAGATCAACTTGAAGATCACACCCACCATTCCTCGATCTTCCTCCCCACATCACCGCCGGTCGTAACTCCCGTCCCTCTTTTGTGTGCTTTCCGGGCGACTCTCTCCAACATAGCACTCGGACTCATGTGCCTTCCACAACCAGGGGTCTTCGAGCCTCCTGCGTACGATTAGCCAACCTTGGTGAGGCAAAAAGAATCAGACGTCCCTAATATTGCTATGGTTTCTCGGGGTCGAACCCCTGAATGCATTAGGTTGGGGGGGGGGGGGGGGGGGGGGGGGGGGGGGGGGGGGCGATAATAGCTCCTCGGCATCCCAAGGCGCGTTGCCCTCCTGAATGCAAAACATGGTCCAATCTAAATGTCGGTTGTGTCTAGTGTGATCTGTTTCAGACCAACCCGTTGCACACTCCTATTCATTGACCGAGAATGTGCCACATATGCACATGAATTTTGTCGACCATAGTATTGTACAGAAGTAGCAGGACAAGTTGTATCACTGAGAATAGCTAACTATGAGCTTGTCTTCTCTAGTGCCCTTTCTTGGAGTGTTAATATATCATAATACAACGAAAATTGTTTATCTTATTACAATAAAAATCGAGTAGCCACCTGATGTTGACTGTCAGTGAGTCATCTATATCAAGCTTTAATTAATTTAATCCCAAAAGAAACCATTACTGCCAAGCTCTGTTATCATTATTCCATATAAGCACATGCTATAGTCTATTGGCCATATTAGTTAGTAATACATCATATAGTATTTGCTCCAACTATTGCATAGTTCAATCAATTACATAAGACCAATATTTCAATTTGTGTAAACCAATTGTTACATGAATTTTTACAATCTCACCTATACATGATAATATCTTGAATCTTTCATCTACTCACTTCATCTTCTCTGTTTCTCTGTTGATAGATTCTGATTCTTCTTGGGGAGATAGAGGGGGGGAATTAGGCGTGCATAGTTAGAGAATCTACTATCTAGAATCCTCAGTTGCTATTGAATATGGTCGAGAGAGTCAATAGGAAGTGAGTCAAAGGAACGAGGGCTTTGAACGACCGATAGGAGAGAAGATACGGTTTTACCGATCTTAACCATTTAGACCAATGTGAAATTTTGAAAAAAAACCATCAATTTGAAAAATATTTCACATGAAATTATTGTTGGTCGATGTGATACATATGTTACATCAACACTGACACTTGTCAGTAACTCACTGAATGTCAATTTGTCAAAGCCAAGAAGTGTCGAATTTAAAAAACTTGTATATATTTATTTTTTATTTCGAATACCGTAGGCTTTTTTGCTATCCGAGCCCGCCCCTTTCTTTAGACCCGGCCCAACCATTGCCACGGGCCTGAGCAGTTAGCGGCCTCTTTTGAGTCTTTCCTACCAACATACAAAAACCTGGCCGTCGTCAACACTTAAGAACCCAGTCTCCGGCCGGCTCTTTGCGGCAAAACCTCAGTCGCCGTAAAAAATTTCTTCACCTACCTGACCTCGCTGTAATTTTCATGCTTTGCCGTCTACAGCCCGCCACAGTAAGTGTCTCTTTCCCCCACTCATCTCTTGTCCTTTCTCCCGACATTTTTGCCGCAGAAATCGATGCCCGTGAACCTTTTCTTCCGCCCGCCACCGCAGCTACCCAAATTTTACTTTGTTTTCTTTATTATTATTCCGCTGTGACTTGTCGTTTCTTTCTTCCTGTCTTGGGCTCTAAATTCCCACATTTCTTTTCTTACTTGTAGCCGATTGCATCGGTACATTGAGCTGCACCTGTGCTTCTTCTTCTTCTTCGCTCTTTCTCTTCCCCAACTTGTTCGGATCTTTTTGAGGCCTACACTGGGAGATTGTTTTCTGGGTCGGGGAGCTATTTTCTTCTTGTTGTTTCACTGTCATTGATACATACATGGCGGGGGAGAAGTGGGTGCGGATGGTGACGGCGCAAACGCCCACCAATATTGCTGTGATCAAGTACTGGGGAAAGAGGGATGAGAACTTGATATTGCCCGTCAATGACAGCATCAGTGTCACTTTGGATCCGGCCCATCTCTGCACTACCACAACTGTTGCCGTCAGCCCCAGCTTTGATCAGGATCGGATGTGGCTCAATGGAAAGGTAAGCAAAAATAAACTCCCCTTTCTCTGCTCCCAAGCTTTCTCATCTGGGTTTGTGTTAATTTCTCGAGATTAGGGGGACTGGGGGAATAAAATGTCTGAAGGAACTCTAAGACTTCTCCTTTTTGGGGTTCTCTTACTACTTATCATTCCAATGTGGAATTGCTATTCTGGATGCAGCCTTGATCAGAACAATGCACATCTTGTTTTATGCTCCGTTTGGAAATTGGGCTGCCAGTTAGTGAACTTAGATGATTGAGCTGTAGTGTTTTAAGTGGGGCAGAGCTAAAAGATTGATCCCAAGTTACTTGGTTACCAATGTGAGCAAAAACAAAGGAATGAATTGGGTCCAGAGCAAGCAATCTATAGATGCATGTATACAGTATGTAGATTCCATCATGTTTGAGTAAGCATTTTGTTGTATATCCAAATGTTTCAAGATAGGGTATAATTTTAAATAACTACCTGTGCATCTATCTGAGCTCTCTGATTCTCTCTGCCCACGGATGGTGATACTAGATTGTAAATTGTGTCATTCTCTGTGCTTCTTGGTTAGTGTAGGAGGTTTCCCTTGCCGGAGCTCGATATCAGAACTGCTTGCGAGAAATTCGCGCCCGGGCTTGTGATGTTGAGGATGAGGAAAAGGGTGTGAAAATAGCAAAGAAGGATTGGGAAAATTTGCATGTGCACATTGCTTCCTATAACAACTTCCCTACTGCTGCTGGACTAGCTTCATCAGCAGCTGGCTTTGCATGCCTTGGTAAATATCAGCTTATTTTATCCCATTTCGTTATGCTTTCAACCATTTTAGTCATGGTTCCAAGATATCATTCTGAACATAATTGGGCGACAACAGAGGTATATTTCAAGAAATTAGATTTCGTAGGCCTTGTTCATCTACAAAACCATAAGTATGCTGTCTTCTTCATGTGCAGTTTTTTCCCTTGCAAAGCTAATGAACGCTAAAGAAGATAACAGTGATCTTTCTGCAATTGCTAGGTAAGAGTTGAGGGTTGCTTTTTGTTTCAAGCTGCAAACTGCTAGGTGTAACAACACTTGTAACCTTTATGACGGTCACTTTTACTGTTGCTCCTGTTTATAGTTTGAGGATTGTGTTTCACGTGATTATTTTTGACATTCATAAATTGTTCATGTTTTTATGGACGAAATGACTTTATAATCAGATATTTGTTTGCTTGTTACGTTCTGTTGTGCCCTAAGTTTAGCACATATCTTATAGTGAAGCCTGAACTTAATTAACATTTTAGTGATACTATGGAAGGAAATCCTTATAGGAGCAGTTTTTATGTTTGGTGCTAGCACGATGTACAATTACTTGAGTTACATCTCTTTTACTTAATAAATCCAGTATATAAGACTTGGAAATGTCCAGAATACCATACTTCATTGATCTCTGATAATTTTTTACCCCCTTACTTCACAGGCAAGGTTCTGGGAGTGCTTGTCGCAGTCTATTTGGTGGATTTGTGAAGTGGATCATGGGAGAGGTGGAACTGCTTTTTCCAATTTTGTTTACTTGTGATGCAAAAACAAAATAGGGAGGTACTGACGTTGACTCTTCTTAACTGGAATAATTTAAGGCTAAGGATGGGCGTGATAGCCGTGCTGTTCAGCTTGTAGATGAGAAGCACTGGGATGAACTTGTTATCATTATTGCTGTGGTATGTTCTTCTCTTGCCTATTTCTGTCTGTGCATTAGACTCTGTGTTTTCGTTTTTTCTTTTTATTTTTTATTTTGGAATGAAGCGCTTACGACATTTTCTTCATAGCGATAAACCTATCACCTGGTTTTCAATTTCTACTTTGATTGTATCTTTACTGTATATATCTCTGTGAGTGTTAGTTGACACTTGACAACTGGGATATTTAATCTCGTATCACCTTGGGAATGACTGCAATGGGTTGCTGTTGAAAAAAAAAAAGATGCCATGGGTTGCTTTATAACAGTTGATTGATTGGCACTACTATTGCTTTTGTAATTTTGGTATTGATTCCATGTGCAGGTAAGTTCACGGCAGAAAGAAACAAGTAGCACTTCAGGAATGCAGGACAGTGTTAATACTAGTTTGCTTTTGGAGCATAGAGCTAAGGTGATTTTTCAAACTAATCAATGAATATCCTTCGTCGTTGCATGGCACAGTGGTGTGATGCGTGTTATTCGCCACTCTTCTTTTGCATTGCTTTTTTGCACTTGAAGCTCGCTTTGATTTCAGTTTCTGGATGTGGAACTTTTCTTGTCTTTGTGTGCTTATGTTGTCTCACTCCAATTCTTTAATAGGAAATTGTACCAAAAAGGATTGTCCGAATGGAGGAGGCCCTAAAAACCAAGGATTTTGGCTCTTTCACAGAACTAACCTGTGCTGATAGCAATCAGTTCCATGCAACTTGCCTGGACACCTCTCCCCCGATATTCTACATGAATGATACATCCCACAGGTAGGAAACAATCTGCTGCTTCACTTCATCCAACATGGAAATTGAGTTCTGGCAATCATTACACTAGTTGCTATTGTTCAAAATAAGCGTGCTTTCGATATTGAAAAGAGTATTTGTTCCAGGTTAATCAGCTGCGTTGAGAAATGGAATAGATCCGAAGCAACACCTCAGGTTTGGTCAACTGTCCAATATCCTATCTTGATACAATTTAGAACAAACATTCCTTGACTACTTCAGTAGTGCCTTCCCAAGTCTTCAACATAGATCTTTTAATTTATTTTGCTGAAGTATACCCACTTATGCAAAGATGAAAAGGTTTCTAGATGAGATACGGGCAGATAATGGAACAAATATGACTGACTGTGATCATGTACCAGGTAGCTTACACCTTTGATGCTGGTCCAAATGCTGTCCTAATTGCACGCAATAGAAAGGCTGCTGCTCAGCTTATGCAAAAGCTGCTTTTCTACTTCCCTCCAAACTCTGATGCAGACTTGGACAAGTAATTAATTTATCTTTGATTATGCTGTCTGTCATTTCCAGTTTTGAACACTTGCTATGCTAATAAATCCAAAACACAATAGAAAGCTTGTGCTTCCATTCTGATCAAATCCAATTCTTTATGTTTCTCTTCCTTCAGTTATGTGATAGGGGACAAATCGATTCTTAAAGATGCCGGGATTGAAGGGATTAAGGACATCGAAGCTCTTTCACCGCCTCAAGAAAACAAGGATGCTCTGAGACACAAAGATGGTGTTAGCTACTTCATCTGCACGAGACCCGGCAGAGGACCTGTGTTGCTATCCGACACAACTCAGGCGCTTCTGAACCCGCAAACTGGGCTGCCCAAATAAGTCAATCAATCAATACAGAGTTCTCTCTCAGTGGCGCACTTCAATCATCTTTTTCTTTTGGGGATAGTATTATTGGTTGGGGAACAGTCGACTGTTGTTTCATTCCATGGACACTTTCCCTGAATTGCCGTTAGCTAGCTGATGCTACAATGTATGTGTTTGTTGTATTTGTAATTTTCTTTTTGTTGCTTACTCGACCATTTTTGAGGAATAACCAGACAAGTTTGGTTTGTTCCTCCGGCGAAGAAAGCTTCTTTATTTGGATTTCAGCTCACTAGTTATTTTGATTCCGGACTCCAATTCAGTGAATAATAAACTCTTCAGCCAGGCATTTACCTGGTTCACCATTTTCTGAGTGTTTGTTCTAGGTTTTCTATAACTTTCCATGATCAGTAGGCACCATGTAACATGGAATAATGTCCAACAAATAAGGATAATAAAAAGCTAAGAATTTGGATGAGTTTTAAAAATTAAAAAAAAAAATGTCAAGAGTGGGATTTGAACCCACGCCCTTTCGGACCAGTACCTGAAACTGGCGCCTTAGACCAACTCGGCCATCTTGACTTTGATGTTAAATTAGAGCTATAACTGCATTTAGTCAATAAAATTTGTGATATATGCACCATTAAAGAACCCTAAAAAAACAAGTATCAATTAATTTAACTTCATTAAAAAGGATATTAAATAGTCTAAAATTACAATTGATTTTAATAGCAATTACTATAATTTTACTTATGGTATATGTTGTTAATGTTCTTGATTGAGCCTAAGAAGGAGGATGAGGGAGTATGAGTAAGATCTATGTAAAGAAAGTATGGAATTCAATAAGAGATGATGGAGTGGAGGTTGAATGGTTCTAGATTAATGATTCTTTGAATTCATGTATTCTAGAGAATCAATCGTTTTTTTTTTCTTCCAAAAATTTATTCAATACATGCATTTGAGGTGGGCCCTCAAATCTCATATCATCCACAATCACTCATTTTAAATCTCAACTAAAAGGCGAGATTCTTCATTTGAGATTGTGAACTTTAATTTGTTCCACTTTTAGCTCATAAAAGTGATTTTTTTTATTTTCCTTAAAATTTTCGAATGGCTACAACCAAACAAGACATTCTTCCAATCATCCAATTCTTACAATCTTTGTATTTACAATAAATGTATTCATCAAATACACATATTTGAAGAATCTCAACTTCCAAACGACCCCTAGGTTTTTACAAGTTCTCGCGACATGTGTTGATTTTATGAAAATTATTTAAAGGCACAATGATTCTGAAAACCATTAATAGCTTTAATCTCAATGTATGTGCCAATTAAAAAAATAGCAAGCCTCGACAATTATTTTTGTTAATTCTAAATATGACTAAGCCATGAAATATTTCGATTCAATGTTAAACCCATAAAACTTAAAATGTATTGTATACTGTAGAAAGTAAATACATACTATTATTTTTGGGTGATCTTCTCCCAAAACAAGGGGTCCATGGTCCACTCATTTTTTTTAGTTTATATTGAACTCTTAATTGAGTCAAAATTTTAATAAACAAGCCGGTTCAACCTTAACTCAACACGTTGATAAACGAGCAAAGAAAGAACCAAATTTGAACCGGACAAAACTCGACGGATTAACCACACTACTCAGTACTCACATCTCTTTTTTTATGACTGTGGGCTTATAACAATTCCAAAGCCCAACAGTTGAAATCAGGCCCAATTTGGCGCCACAGCCTCAGCCCTCTCGTCTTCTCAATCCTCGCCAACATAAATAGAACCCTAATCCCCCAATTCTTCCTAGCCGTCAGCACTCCATCGCAGCTCTTGCGGAAAACCCTATTCGCCGTAAGCGTTCCTTCCCCCCTGTCCCGCCGCATTCTGCATCAATCTTCACTTTAGATGATCATCTAAGCTCTGCTTGGTCCTCTTTTGCAGCCTTCGCAGGAAAGCCATCTCAACCGGAGTGAAAAAAAATGGTGACCGCAAAGAAGACAGTAAGTTTCTTTTGGCCATCTCTTCTTCCTTTTCCGTCATTCTGTAGCTGAAATCGAATGATGCCCATGATTCATTCGCGTTCTGATTTTCCCTCTCTGCGATTTGTCTTCTCTGCAGAAGAAGACCCATGAGAGCATCAACAACAGGCTCGCCCTGGTGATGAAGAGCGGGAAGTACACCCTTGGGTACAAGACCGTCCTTCGCACCCTGAGAAACTCAAAAGGTATTTTCTTTAGATCAAAGGGTCCTTGGGTTTTTTATTGTCTTTTGTTTTACTTTTGTGGTTATTTTGATGAATCTCATTTCCTGATCTGGTGGTATTTTTTGCAGGGAAACTAATCATCATCTCTAACAACTGCCCTCCTTTGAGGAAGTCGGAGATCGAATACTACGCCATGCTTGCCAAGGTTGGGGTTCACCATTACACAGGAAGTGAGTTTTCTAGACCCGTGTTTCTCTGTATTATGTTTTTTTATGTTTAGCTACCTTATATTTTGATGGAAAAATTTATGCAAATCTTGTGTATCAAGAGGTATGTATTAGGATGTTATATGGTCGGATAGTTGTCTTTGGGGGTGATGTCTGGTACAGTTGGTTATGCTTGCATTGGTAGGACGCCTAATGTGGATTGTAGCTGCTTCGTTTTCGTTACGACATGTTTAATCATATGGGTACTACCCTATGAAAATTTGTATTCGAGTTAATCAATGTATCATCCTTTTGAATGTATGCGAATTGTTTGTGCTTCATACTAAATGTGTTAGATGTATGTGATATCTATCCAATGTAGTTTTCTACTGTCGAAACCTACATATGTTGGTGAAATTATGATGTCTGTCCTCCATGCATTGTGGTAGATGACTTTGATAGAAACCTTGTATTATCTGATATATATTTATGTCTGGCTCATTTGATATGGATAACTCTAATCCTTTGGTTATAGATTCTGTTCACTTGTAATATCCCTAGGTATAGTGAGCCAATGAAGGATTTTGCCTCTTCCTATATATACTATACTGCAATGCTATTTTGTGCAACAACTTTGTAATTGTATATGACTTATCTTTGTCACTTGGTGTGTAGACAACGTTGAGTTGGGCACTGCCTGCGGCAAATTCCACCGTGTTTCTTGCTTGAGCATCATTGATGCAGGTAATTTTGTAGTTAGCATTGCCGGGTTTCTTCAAAAGACGAACTGTTCTACTTGTGATGTGCTAATATTGGTTCTCTCCTGTCAATGCAGGTGACTCGGATATCATTAAGTCCCTTCCAGGCGACCACTAAATGCCTTGCCCGTCTCATGGAATCGCGCTTACTTCAATTCGTGACGGTGTTTCCTTTTGTTTCCAAAATGTGGCAGTTTTTTGTTTTAGAGTTGGATTAGCAAGAATGATGTGTTGTCGTGAGGATTTTGTCCCCTCTCATACTCTTATTATGTATCTAGGTGGTAGCAATGTTTTGTTGGATCCGGTTATGGCAAAATTTTCACCGCAGGCTGAACTTTTCTAAGGAACTGTGTGATTGGTGTTCAGAAATTTTCATGCATTGTTGGCTCTTGCCCTAGTCTTGCTTTCCCCCCCTGATTACAAATCTGCGGCGAGGCCAAGGATTTCGAAGTTTGGTCATGGCGCATCCTCACAAAAGTAGGCCAAGGATTAACCTAAAATACCATATTCATCATAAGATGCGATTATACTAAATCGCCTTTGATAGGAGCAATCAATTCTCACTTTATTTTGGCAAGGCAAAGAAGTAGTTTTTTTTCCAGCTAAATGATGCATATATCTCACATTCAAATTCACCATTCCAGCAACTCATTTGATTTAGTGATGGCAATGGGGCGGGGCGGGTACCTCAATTCTCATGCCCCGCCCCACGCTACTACGGGTCGGGGCGGGTAAAATCAGCGAGGGTACGGGGCGGGGCGGGTCGACCCACTCTTACATGTTGTTCAAAAAAAAAAAAAAAAAAAACAAGTAAATTTTACTTTTTAGGGAAAAACACTTTAAGAATGAAAAATATTGATAATAGAATGGATAATTGAGTCTAACAAGTTGAAAGATCGACTCTAACTAGTTGAAAAAAAGTCAAAATAGGAAAAATATGTATAGATATTGTAAGAAATTGAGATAAAATGAGTCTAGAAAGGGGCGGGGCGGAAGTAGATACCCATGCCCCGCCCCATGCTACTGCGGGTCGGCTAATACCCGCCCCATCGCGGGTCAGATCGGGTAATACCCGCGGGGCGGGTTGAAATTGTCATCACTAATTTGATTCCTCCGAATTTTGTTGTTACTATAGGCATATATTTAACTATCCTTTTTATGTCGATTGTCGTCATCAATGAAATATTCGTAATGAATTGGTGTAATCTCAACAACCAACATAATAAACCAGATCGATAAATTTATTTTCAAATCAAACCAAATAGTACAATTAGTTCCATCAAATTAACCACAGCATACTTCATTCGTTCATTGACCATTGTTATCAGTAAACCTCAATCAAGTGTCCCTTACTTCATTAGCCGTTTCTCGGTGTTTGGTTCTTTTCCAAACATTGGGGAGCTCTCTGTCCTACTTGTACTTCCAACATCCCTCCATCACCAAAACTCTAATTTCTCCACTCCATAACCGTTTATTTTCCCTCTCTCTAGGGTTTCAGGAAAACTCAAAAGTCCCCTGTACCCAGAGTCCCTCCATTGCTAGATCTAACGTTTTTCTTCATCATTTTCATTCTCCCCTCTTCTCTCTAGTAACGTCACATTTCTCCCCTTCTTGAAAACACGCCTCGTTCCCTTCCTTCGCCCAGATGTGGAGGCTTTCTCGTTCAGCTGCAAGTTTCGCGAGCCCATTATTCCTCTTCACCTGAATCCCAATTGGGGCATTCGTTGAAAAGGGTCTTTCTTGGCGTTGCTTAGTTTTTCTGCTTTCGCTAGGGTTGCAAATAAAGTTGCCGCCTTTTTGGTTAAAGCGGCTTGCTCTCAGCAAATTGGCGCCTTTGCTGTCAATTCGTTTGTTCGAGTTGGTTTTTGGAGGAATTCAGTTAAAAGGCAGGGGAGGTTGCATTTTGGCGCGGCGGTGGGGATGAATAGCGTGTTCAGTGAACAGATTCTGGCCGACAAGCTAGCCAAGCTCAACAGCACTCAACAATGCATTGAAAGTATCCTTCTTTTATTTCCTTCTCTCCATCTTCTTCTGAGTTTAGGGTTTAGTTTGTCTTCTGGGTAAGGAATTGGATCCCGAGGATGATTCTTGAGGCCGTGTTTGATGGAAGTTCATATGGTTTGTTCGTTTTTGGTGGATTGTGGGTTGAATTGCACTGGTAGTATTTCTGATTTTGAGGTAAATCCGTACCATCGTCATCTTCCATGCTTATGTCAACATTCTTATGCCAAAGGTCTGATTTTTGAACATTTCATGATGTCTGAATCAGCATGCTTGTTTGGTGAAAGCTGTTTGAAGTTTTGTCTTTATTTTTCTGCAAGATGTTATCTTAACTATGTTCTATAGCTTTGTCGCATTGGTGCATATTTCACCAAACCAAAGCCGAACTCGTTGTTGCGACATGGGACAAACAGTTCCACAGCTCGGAGATTGCTCAGAAAGTTCCTCTGCTTTATCTAGCAAATGACATCTTACAGAACAGTAAACGAAAGGGCAATGAATTCGTGACAGAATTCTGGAAGGTTCTGCCCTCAGCTCTTAAGGATGTTTCGGCAAAAGGTGATGATCGTGGAAAGACTGTTGTCTCTAGATTGGTAAGCTTGTTCTCCACACTTTACATGCTGATTTCTGCTTCCTGCATGATTTACAGTTTGGTACACTGGGAAAAGAAACATCACCATTTGACACTTAAGTTGTAGGTTGCTAGTTTCATGAATCTGAATGCTGTGTAGTTAGGGTTCAATTTTCTTTTCATACTAGCTAATGAGTTATATTGGACAAATACACTAAAAAATGGAAGAGAAGGAAAGCACACCAACAGAAGGTGAAAGGACATGTTTATGTACAATTCAACTTTCGACAAGCTTTGAACTACTAATAGAAAGTAGAATGAGCTGGTTTGTCTGACAACTTAAGTTCGACGGTGGTCAGGTTAATATATGGGAAGAAAGGAGAGTGTTTGGAACCCACTCCCGAAGCCTAAAAGAAATCATGCTTGGTGAGGAGACTCTACCGGACTTGGAGTTCAGCAAAAAGCGTTCACGCACGGTCAAGATTTTTAAACGAGATTCCAGATCTATTAAAACGGTTAGGAAAAGTTCCTTAAATGTTTTTATTTTCGTTGCCCTTCAACCAGCTCAACCATTTAATAGCTTTCTTATCTTGTCTTTTTGTTCCTTTAAGTTCTCCAAAACGAATGTCTCTTATTTTTGTACCATCACCATTGAATGCCAGAAATTGCCCATTGGTGGCGCTGCGGAGAAGATTGTATCAGCTTTCCATTCGGTCGACAGTGAACGTTCCAACGAAGAGGCAGAGATGAGTAACTGCAAATCTGTGGTCAGTCGAGTCAGAAAGATGGAAAAAGATGTTGATATTTCCTGTAGCAACGGTAAGCCCAAATGCTCGAATTAATTACTGTGGGAAAATTGAGATCTATGGTTATATAGTTAATTATTTCGCCGCACTTTTATTCAAGGGCTTCCAGAGCTCCTTGATGTTCAGATTGGGAGTCTCTGAAGCATAACAACTTTTGGCTCTTCAGGAAAAGATCCCAAACGTACAAGTTTGGCGAAAGATCTAGAGCAGGAAGAAACCCTTCTGAAGCAATGTGTTCAGAAACTTAAATCCGTTGAAGCTAGTAGAGCTTCCCTTGTCTCTCAGTTGAGGGAAGCTCTAAATGACCAGGTCGGGAGAACTCTTTAATATGACTTACTTATCTGTGATGAATCTATTAACTTTCTGTGCATGTTTAAAAAAGTTTGTGCCATCTAGATGCTCAGATTTTGCTTTTCTCATCTTGTTCGTTCAGGAATCTCAGTTGGAAGTTGTGCGAACTCAGATGCAGGTATGCAACTAGTTGCCTATTTTAAAAATTGGTTCTTTGGGTGTGTTTGTTTCGGCGTAAAGAGAAGCTACTCGAGAATATAAGGCCTTAAATGCTGAAGCAAATACACTTCTTTGAGAAATACACCCTTTCTAACCTTGTCGTTTGTGTTTAACATGGTGGTACTTGTGTTGATTGGACAACTGAGGGTTATTTATCGAGAAATGAGTTGTTTCCGGTTGTCGATCTCCAGGTAGCTCAGGCTCAGGTGGAGGAGGTCAACATCATGATAAAGCGGCTCAACGATGAAGACTATGTGCCCAAAGCCACAACTGCAACACAAACAGAAGCAGATACAAATGGCAAAGCAGGACACACGCCAAAGAAAACTGCAGCAGCTATTGCTGCCGAGGTTGCAGATAAGCTTGCAGCCTCGAGCTCCTCCCAAATGATCATGCATTCCGTTCTGTCTTCATTTGCGGCGGAAGCAGCAAAGACTGGAGCTTTGAAATCAACCCCCGTTAGCTCTTCTGCCAATGATTCTGTGCCAGACCCCGCCATGTTCATGTCAGCACAGCAACCCCTTTCTGCTGCTCCTTCGAACCATCCATACCATAATATGCAGAATCAGATACCGAGCTCTCAGCCTCAGTTCCACATGATGCCGAATCCTTCCTCTCAGCAGTACTTGCAGCCTCCTGGCGGGATTGTTACTCCCTACGGATATGGTAGCATTAGTTCCTTGCCATCAGGACCACCGCCTCCACCTCCTCCCTATATGATGAATCCCATGGTGCCTATGGCTCAGCAACCACCGTCGCAAGTTCCAATAACCCAACAGCAGCAAATGACCTTAACTCAGCAGCAAGCTGCTGGTGGTCCTCCTGGGTTTAGACCCTTGCAGCCGCCTGGAATGGTGTATTATGGACATCATCCGTCATCCCATTCTCAGTGATGATAATAAGGTCAGTTTGTTTTAGGTGTGTTGTTGATTGTATAATTTATCTTGTGACCCTGTTGTCTTTTGTAACTGAGAAATTTCTTGGTAGTGAGTTAGTGCTGCTGACATTAGAACATCTGACGACGATTGATCAACATTTCTTTTTACATAGCTACCAGTAATAGGGAAGTGTTAGTGATTCAAAGTGGAGGTGGAAAATGAATCGAGCTGGCGAGTTCAATGGTTTGTAACAAATAGGTTCGGTTCGTGTTTGGTTTAAAATGTGTTGGTGGATTTATCGTTTTGATTAAATAGGTAAAGCTTGATTCTCAAGCATGAAGAGAAGTTTTGTGGCAAATTAGATTCTCAAGCGTGAAGATAAGGATTACTACACGAGTCAAAACAAACAGGGAAGTGAATCCGATTGCACAGTGGAGAGGAATCAATATCAGGGTAGTGCTGCTATTCAACAGGTGAAATTCGGTTGATGATAACATCTCTGATACGAAGCGGGAGATGATGCAAGATGGCCATACTCGGCCCGACGAGAACCATGCTGGCTGATCCTTTCGGAGTATGGCAGCAGCTACTGTATCTTTCGCGAATTCTTCTACAGGGGTGGATCCGAGGCTTTGGGAGATGTATGCCCTCTTCCTGATTGCAGCCTCGAATGGTTTGTACAGTTTCCACTCGGGCATCTTGTCGTAGTTAGCTGCCGCGGAGTTTCCCGATGTTCGACCTGATGGCTCCTGGAACTACATTTGATCACGTCCGATTCCCAGCGGCTTCAGTTCCAGCCTGCATTTTCCACAGACGAAGTAGCGAAATCAGGTGTAATTCCCGCCTTAAATTCTGCCGGACTCCGAGCAAAGCCATCGGAATCACAGAAGCCAAATATACTCTGTTACCGGCCGGGGAAAATGACGGCAATTCCCACCAGCGGAGAGTCCCCGGCTTCCCATTTCCACTCCTCTCAGTACAAAATCCCTTAACCAATCTTCCCAATTTCGCAGCAAATTCCTCGTCTAAAGAGAAACTTCTCACCGACATCACGCTGAAACCCTGAAATGGACTCCGTCGGGGTAGAAGTAGTTCTGATCACCGGATGCTCGCAGGGAGGCATCGGCCACGCCCTGGCCAAACAGTTCGCCGCCAAAAACTGCCTGGTCGTCGCCACGAGCAGGTCCTTGAGCTCGATGCGAGACTTGCAGCAGGACGCCAGATTCGATCTCCAGGAGCTCGACGTTTCCTCCGAGGAGAGCGTGCAGCGGGTGGTGGCAAGCGTCATCGAGAAGTACGGGAGAGTTGATGTTCTCGTCAACAACGCCGGCGTCGTCCAGTGCGTCGGTCCTATTGCCGAAGTCCCTCTGTCTGCCATGGAGAACACCATCAATACCAATGTTTATGGTAAAATCCTAAAAAGTTTGAACCTTTGTTTCCAGTCTTGGATTTTTTATGTGCTTGCTTCAATTGCAGAGTTCCTTTTGTCAATTGGTGAATGGCCCTTTTGGATGGTAGACTTGCTAGTGGATAATTTGACATGGTTGAACGAGCTTTGGTTGGTTGGTTGGTTGGTTGTCCAAAATAGCTGAAACTTGGGTTGCTCTTGTTTTTGGAAAATACTATTGGCTTTCCACTTTCTGCAGAACTAAGAGGCCAATTAAGTGTTGTTTTGAGGATGAATTGTTGTGTAACTTGCTAATTGCTTGAGCTCTGTGTGGAGTTTGTACGAAAGGTCGATCGATGGCTATGGCGAGGAACTAGCAAGTAGCAACCATGAAAGGATGGATAAGTTTGCAGTGCACTTAGCCCTTCAGTCTTTTCAATTGGGGAAATGAAGCACACCTTGTCTGGGAAACTCTACCAGCTGCTTATTATCATCCCAAGCGCCAATACTGCTTTGACTATAAACTTTCATGTTCTGTCCTCAGTTGCTACTTCCTATGGAAGAACTTACATATCAATCAAGTAGCAGCATTGCTGGCATTTCCAGTTGAAATGAAAGTCCGAGAATCGATGATTTTTTCTTGCTTGGATGCAGGTTGGAAGTGAAGCCACTGGGGATCGATGTGATAAATGTGGCTCCGGGATCTATTCAGTCGAACCTATTGCCCTCGGCTGAGGTTAGCTGTGCTTCTGAGTGGAAACTGTACAAGCCATTCGAGCCAGCAATTCGACGCTTTCTCTCCCAAGGCAGAGTAGGCACTCCTGCTGAAAAATTTGCCAAGCATACTGTTGCTGCCATCCTCAAGAAGCACCCCCCCTGCTTGGTTCTCTTCAGGCAAAGTTCTCGACCATCATCGCCATCGCGTACCATTTGCCACTTCGCGTCAAGGTTCTGTTCGTGCAATCTTTTGTCAAACCCTGAAAAAAGAGTTTCTAATTCCCTTCATTTTGTTCGCTGGGGAAGGATCGGTCTTGCTGTGCAGCTTCTTGTACAGATGTTCAGATTTACCACATCTGTAATTGTTGTAGCAGAACAATTAGACTTTTTCTCCCCCTCCCATTCTCAGTTCTGTTCAATGGCCAGGGAAGCCAGAAATTACTTGTTTTGCACGACATGGGAAAAGAGGGATTAAGAATAATAGGAAAAAAAATGTTGATGTTCTTTCTTAGCAAGTGTATGGTCAGTGTTTATGTTTGTTTATGAACTCTGAAAATGGTGATTTCAAAATGATGCAAAGTCCTTTCAATTTGAATATAATTTACCATAGCACAATCCTCACTCAACTATGATTACTTACAAAACGGGTTGGGTCGGGTTTTGGGATTGGTTAGTTGGCATTTTCATATTAAATTTAGGTGACATTTGTCGTATTAAATGCAGGTGATATAAGACGGCGGTGTGACTATTTTTTACGCAAAATATATGGATATACCGGCAAAAAGAATTAATTTCATTTCAAAATAAATTACTAGGTAGAATTCAAAATATAGCTCCAAATCAAGGTTGTCAACCCGCGAGTCGACCTACTTTGACCCTGACCCGGTGAGAAAAAAGGGTCGCACGCACCCGCCGGGTCGACCGCTACAGCCTACAAGGTATCGAGTTGGAGGTCAAATTGTGTAATTTTTTCTTCGGTTTGCGAAATGTGCCTATTTTCGGATTTTTCTTTTCGCCTAACTCAATCTTTAGAAACCTTAATTGAACATTTGAACATTGATGTCATATAAATGTATGTGTATTTTCACTATATGTTGGATATAATATAAGTACGACATGTTACTTTGGTGTAATGTTATATGTTATTACTCATATTTTAGATGAGTTTTGATATAATTTATCAAGATAAGTACAATATAATGACTCTTTCCACATTTCCGGGTTAAAACGGGTGACCCGTTAACCCTTGATCCACTAGCTCGACCGGGTGCGGATCAACCCGCGGGTTGACAACCTTGCTCCAAACCCACGAACTACCAGATTAGTGAAATATTTACAAAATTCATTTGGAATTCTATCTGAATTTTTTTAAAATGGTGTAACTACAATCTTGCAGAGTTTAAAATTTAGAGTGAGAAATGAATTCGGTTAAATTCCACAGATAAAATTTTCATTTCAAAGAAATTCCTCAAAAAAACTATAAAATTTCATTTTATAATTTTTTTTTATGAATTCCCTTTTATTCTAAAAGGTATGCTAGTAAATTCATAATGACCTGTATATTAAAATAATAAAATTTAAATGTTAGTATATACTCGTTTGTAGTGACTCTAAATATAAGTGACCGTTATGTAATTGACCCTTCAGAGATAGATAAAAAAACACGTGGCTTTTCTGTAGATAAAATATTGTTAAAATGGATGAACGGTGGAACAATTAACTTTGTAATTCCCGCTGTAGTTTCCCTGAGCAAACGTCGCTCTTTCTGCCGGACTCCAAAGAAACCGTCGAAATCGCAGAATCCAAAAAGCTCCGTTACCGGCCAAGGAAATGGCTCCAATGCCGCCCATCGTTGTCAGCGGAGAAGTCCCACTTTCCGCTCCCGCTCCCGCTCCTCTCAGTACAAAAACGCTTCATCAACTTCCCAATTCCCAGCAATTCTCGCCTGAAACCCTAAGATGGACGCCGTTGGCTTAGAAATAGTTCTGATCACCGGCTGCTCGCAAGGAGGCATCGGCCACGCCGTGGCGAAAGAGTTCGCCGCCAAAAACTGCCTGGTAGTGGCCACGAGCAGGTCCTTGAGCTCGATGCAGGACTTGGAGCAGGACGAGAGGTTCTATCTCCAGGAGCTCGATGTGTCCTCCGAGGAGAGCGTGCAGCGGGCGGTGGCGAACGTCATCGAGAAATACGGGAGAGTGGATGTTCTGGTGAACAACGCCGGGGTTCAGTGCGTCGGCCCTATTGTCGAGGTCCCGCTTTCTGCCCTGGAGAATACCATCAATACCAATGTTTATGGTAAGTTCTAAAGTTTAAACCTGTGGTTCTAGTCTTTGATTTTTTGCTGTGCTTGATAAGATGATTCTGAATCAAATTGAGGGTTCTTGTTATCAATTGGAGAATGCCCATATCTCGATGGTAGACTTGCTAATGGACAATTTGACATGTGGGTTTACCCCTTTTCTGATTTGATATGGTTCTCTTGGAACATGTGGGTTTGATACTGTATGTTTTTGCCATTGCATACTGTTGGAAATAGTTTATGCTAAGGAAACAAGTGCATCATTCAATGGTAGCTCTGAAACTCTGGAAACATAAGAGTTTGAAACAAGTAGACCTATATATTAGACCCAAATATCCAATCTCGCATGTGTAGTGGCAGCTCTAGAAACATAAGAAGCATATCACTGCTCTCTGTTGCTACTTTCATGGGAAGAAGTTTGGGCATTGGTTTGGCACACTCATTTCATTTTATGAAATGACATGTATATGGTATTGCAGGTCCCATGAGGATGATTCAAGCTGTTGTTCCACACATGGCGTCGCGAAGAAAGGGAAAGATCGTGAACGTAGGAAGTGTCATAGTCCTGACGCCTTTCCCTTGGACCGGTGCATATGCTGCGTCTAAAGCTGCTCTTCATGCATTAACAGATACCTTGAGGTAGTATCTATATCCTTTCATCCTATCCAATCCATTTGCTTCTCATTGTCACTTTGTATTGGAAGGAAATTATCTGCAGAAGTTTATGATTTTTTGCTCGGACGCAGGTTGGAGGTGAAGCCACTGGGGATTGATGTGATAAATGTGGTTCCAGGAGCCATCCAGTCAAACATAATGCCCTCAGCTGAGGTTCGTTATATTTCAGAGTGGAAACTATACAAGCAATTTGAGCCAGTGATGAGGCGGTTTCTCACCCAAGGCAGAGTGGGCACCCCAACCGAAGAATTTGCAAAGCAAACCGTTGCTGCCATCCTGAAAAAGCACCCTCCTGCATGGTTCTCCTCGGGCAAGTTCTCGACCATCCTCGGCATCGCTTACTATTTCCCTCTTCGTGTCAAGGACTTGATGGTGCAATCTTTTCTGAAACCCTGAAGAGAGTTTCTTCCTTTCTATTCTTCGCTGGGGATCAGTCTTTCTTTCTCTGCAGCTTCTGATACAGACTGTTCTTCAGATTTAGCATAGTCCATATCTATAATGGCTTCCTTTCCTCCTGCATGACTTGTTGCATCATGTAGATGTTAAGGGTCTGCAACTGTCTTGTTCCCTTACAGTGTTAAATCTGTTATGAAAGTATATCTTGATGATTTATTGCGGAAGTTAGTTGTACTCTGCAAGTCCTTTGTCGTATTGATAATAAACTCTGTTTTGGCTATGGATTTCTGATGAGTACTTCTGGCCGGGTTGTTTAGGCATTGACACCTGCTCTGCTGCCATGGTTTTGAGCTTCTTGCTTAATGCTAACCTAGTCATGATAAGTTAACACCAGCCAGTAATCCTAGAACTGTTGTTAGTTCAATTTGTAGTAAAGCTGGGAGGAGTCTACACAATAAACTAGTGATCCTGCTGAGGTAGTGGCTGAGCTTCAATGCAACTTGCTTGTAGTCTGAGTCACCCGGGAACAACTTTCTGATTTTGGTTAAAGACTCATAGCAGAATAGTTTAATACATCAAACTTCAAAATTAGCCACTAATCAGACCAGTACTGAATATAATAAGACTGGTGGTCTGAAATGAAATCGAACGAAAAAGCCTGCAGAAGTTCATGATGTTTCTCTCAGATGCAGGTTAGAAAGTGAAACTACTGGGGGATTGATGTGCTGATGTAGTTCCTGGAGCTATTCAGTCAAATATAATGCCCTCAGCTGAGGCTAATTACAATACTGAGGGGAAACTATTCAAGCCAGCAATGGGAAGGTTTGTCTCCCAAGGCAGAGTTGGCATCCCCCTTGCATGGTTCTCATCAGGCAAATACTGGCCATTCTGCACCATTCGCCACTTCGTATCGAGGATTTTCTTCTGCGATAATCGCGATCTTTAGAGCACTGTGTATTTTATGGTGCGGTTAACCGATTTGCTTATAAACATCGATCTTTTTAATCGTCACGTTGATTGTAACTTATTATAAGCGGTCGACCGCGTTCTTCTTACTTGCAATGATTTGAGTCCATATTTGTAACTGTACCACTCGGTCACCGTTTTGGGATGTGGTCGACCTTTTTGTGAATGCAATTCGAAATCACATATGCAATTTTAAAGTATTGTATCAAATATGTAAATTATATTACACTGCTGCAGTCTTATAATATTTTTTATTAGATTTCCCTACAATGGCTACGTTACGATGAAAAATACTGTACATGCCATGTTAAATGTGATCATAACTCCAAAGGTAAAGATATTACCGCTAGATTAAACTCATATTCGAGCACTTATATTAATCTTCAAATTAGAAACTAATTACGGTATTACCGCTAGATTAAACCCACATTCGGGCACTTATAATCTTTGTCTTACTCTTTGGACGTGTCCAAACAACCTGAAATATGTTTCCTTTTCTGTGAGCCCGTTGGCTTGGCGGCTCTCTCCCACTTGGAAAGAGTGGACCTAATTAGGCGCATCCATAGAATAATAAAAGTAAATTGTGATTGGTTTAGCTTTACTAATCACAGATTAGAGTGTTTGATGTAGTGGCTTGGCCATATAATTAGTGGTGAAAGAGAGGAAGTCAAATTAGTTGGGCATCAATCAAATGAGTTGTCAGAGTTTCGCTGTTATAATTGGAGGATAACAATAAAATATTATTTACAAATTTTTTTTTCATAGTTGAGACTAAATTGGTACACAGAATTTTATGGTACGAAACGGTTGAACTACTTGGTTTCTATACAAAAAGGTCTATTACTAATTTTTCCAACAAACCAAAGGAAGCAAATTAAATTACCATGGTGGTGGCATATTATTAGTTATTTTACAAACTTATGTAGTACTCTCGACAAATCTTTAAATTTTACATACCAACTCGAGTTAGTAAAGACCAATTGGCTCTCTCGACATGTTTCAGAGTCTTTGACGAACATGTTTGTGTACGAAACCCTTTACGACTCATGTTATTAATAAGTTAGTTGAATTATTGAATACATGACATAACAAGCATGTTCAAACTATTTTTTTTTTTTTTTTTTTGACAATAAGCATGTTCAAACTCCAGGACCATGAATTCGCTTTCAATTGAATGAGCATGCAAGATTCATTCTTCCGCCTTATTCAACAACTCAAATAATTGGAACCAACAAATTCTCAATCATTACTTTGTTGTGATATCTCAAATTACTAAGAGAGATTCAGTTTTATAAGTTCGAAATTAAGAGAAGGTTTTAGATGACAAATGAGATATAATTTAGGAGAAGTTGAGGCCACTCACTGCCACTTCTCCATAAACTATTTAAGCATAGCATGTAGTGCATTGTAAGATGTATCTTTTTAATCTAATTTTGTGGTGGAGAAGTGCATGCTTTTTCAAAATTGGCGCCATTTGCTTATTTTATTGCAACGAGAGAATGGACATATACGTACTCTTAAATTAGAACTAACATACAAATTGACAACTGATTTGGAGATTATTTATAATTATCTTCACATGGATTCTTGATTAAACAAAAGGGGGTTTAATTCACGGTTGATTATGCAAATAATATGTATTGAATTCATCTATGATACCTTTAGACCTAACAAGTGATGCCAAATTGCACATATACCATCATCTCTTTCTTTATTTGTTCCATGCTCCATGCATTTAGGCTATATATATTTTCTTGTTTATAAAACTTGCGACATAGGGTCGAAAGTTTGATACCCGTAATTTTGATATACTTATCTTTTATAACCAAAAGAAATTTGTGATATAACTTCACATATTCAGGGATGGTTCCGGAACATCCCTAAAATTTGATTTTTTTTTAATATCCAGATAATAGTTTCGGGTTTGCAAAAAAAAAAAAAGTCGTTCCTATATTTGGAACTCGTGACCAAAGGGCAAATGTTTCATTACACCACAAGTCGTTTTATGTCAAAATTAAAGGGTAAATACAATTTAATAGCCAAACCTTTCGTTTTAAACAAAATAATAGCCAAACCTTTTCGAAAACAATTTAATAGCCAAACTGTCAACTTTCCGTCCAGTTGACTGTTAGTTGACTATGACGTGGCAAAATTTTAAGTGAGTTGGAAGATTTTTGCTGATGTGGCAGGAAGTCAAACGTTTGGCATGTCACATAAATATTACATAATTTTATAAAATAAATTTTGTTATCATACAAATAAATTAAATTTAGATAAATAATACTAAAAGTAAATGAAATTGGGAAATTTCTCAATCACTTCAGAACACCTATCCTTCTTCTCTGCATCTCAACCCCTTTCCGTCTATCAAGCCCTTTTCCCAGTCGTCCTGCGCCGATGTCGAGTAACTTCACAACCAGTCCGACCATTTCCCCATTTGTCGATTCCCCAATCGTCCGTCAAAACACCACAAAGCCTAGCCCTGTTCTTTCTGCTCTGGTCGATTCCTCTTCTCGGCAAAGACCAAACGCCCTTCCCTCCGCTAATCCTCTCGGATTGCCGCTCAACTGGCAAGAGCCGACCCCGTCAATCGAATCCGACAATTGGTTCAGCATCCTTCCCCGATCTGGCCCTCTCTAGTCTCGACCCGCCACAACGCGACCTTGATTCTGGCAACACTTATTCTTCTTTCTCTGACTCGTAAGTCGTATCCACGACGGCAACATATTCAACTACAAGAAAAAAAATTTCTCTTCCCCGTCCCATTCAGGCGACCGCCGCCGCCGCGTACTACTGCCGTCATCAGAGATTAATAAGATTCAGATCTCTGTCTTGGTAGATGTTTTAAAGTGGAGAATCAGATTCCCATTTTTGTCCCGGAAGAGATTGAGTCTCAGAAGTGAAGATGTGGTGGTAATTTCAGATGATGCGTCCCAGGATCAAATCCCTAATTTTGGGTTGCCGGGGCGGCCATAGAACTCCATTTTAAAACTTGGTGTGGTGTCTTTTATCCAAGTTCCTGAAGCTTCCTCTGTAGTCGATCCTGAGGAACGAATCCCCATTTGGGAGAGGCAAAAAATTTGGACTTTAGAAAGTGGAGTGACTTGCTTGGCTAACGAACGATGAAGAGTCCCCTTACCGCCGAAGAGGGATTTGTATATAGAGAGAGGAAGTTGAATGGACGGATTAGAATAGAGAGAGAGTTGAATGGATAAGCTTCATCTTTATTTTTTATTTTGTTTTTCTATTTTTAAACATAAAAATTAAATTGTAAAAAGAATAGTAATCCATGTCACATGGTCAAATATTTGACATTCTGCCACATCAGCAAAAAATTATCCAGCTCACTTAAAATTTTGCCACGTCATAGTCAACTAACGGTCAACTGGACGGAAAGTTGACGGTTTGGCTATTAAATTGTTTTCGAAAATGTTTGATTATTATTTTGTTTATAACGAAAAAGGTTTGGCTATTAAATTGTATTTACCCAAAATTAAAATACCTAATGAATTTATACAATAAACCAAGGCCCAATTAAGGCCCAACGTAATTAATTCAATATTCTCTCAAATCCTAATAAGTTTTCTTCTTTTTCTGACTAATTTTTCTATGACACTTTGAGAACATGACCATTATTATGGTATAAAATATGAATGATGAGATATTGAGAGATTTATTAGATTAAAAAGGAAACGATGAATTAGTTGATAATAAAAACAAAAATGAGTCTATTATGTTCATCTGTATATTTGCTTATGAAACTAATATTTGATTACATCGATCAATTGACATTGTAAAGATGTCTCAACTCTACACTACATAGAAATTTCATTTTAACATTTGATTAATACTGAAAATGAGCAATAGAGGCAAGAGAGAGAGACCCAGAAAAAGGACCAGAAGAATATATAATACAAAATGAAACTGCAATGGAACAAGGAATTTCACGGCAGAAACAATGAAACAACATGGCAAACACAACCCAATGGCAATCACAATGACTTTGACCCAGAGGAGAAAAAAAAAACCAACAAAACTCATTCAAGAGTAGGGATGGCAATTTTGACCTGACCCGTTTTACCCAACCTATTTGATCTGCTTTGGGGCGGGTCCGACCTGCCCCGTAGGCGAGGCGGGGCGGGCATGGGTACCTCTCATCGACCTGACCTGCCCCGACTCACCCCATTCTTGACCTGTTCTTGCCTAAATTACATGTAATTTTAGTAAAATTATTTAGGACTTTCCTCTTATTACCTCATATTTTAGCTATAATAAACTTGTAAATAAGTGAACACCTTAATTTCTCAAATAATTTAACTACATTTCATCATATAATGGTTTCTTTCTTGGCATTTTAATGAATAACGAATATTTCTAATATTTTTCGCATAAATTAGATACACATTGGGTCGACCTGCCCCGACCCGCGCCCCGTAATAAATTACCCGACCTACCACGGAATGGGTATGGATATCGAGATACCCGCCCCGGACCTGCCCATTGCCATTCCTATTCAAGAGGAAGTAGCTAGTAAACTTCCTACTATCTCATCTCATTCCTTGACCACTGCCACCACCACGGTCAAAGATCAACGAACTTGCCACACAAGATATGACAGCCAGAGTGCCAGCTGTCTGGTTAGATATATAGAATCTGTAAAACTAGTAAAGGTTAAAAGCAAAGCTTCTAATGAACTGTCTCTATTTTCTTCCAAACTAATTCAAAGACACCAATACTATGTTTATGATTCTTAGTCCTGTCCTTATTTTGACCCATCCTGAATCCTGCTTCAATATCTATCTGTATTTCTCCTAATTTGAACTTAAATCATATTTGCAGCCAACGAAATTTTGAATAGCTGTAGGATTTAATTTTTCAGCTAACTAGACACAATTACTCCTCATTCTATTATCACCGATTTTCAATATTCATGAAGTGTAATTTTCCTATATTTCACCGCAAAAAAAATTAAACTCATGTGAAAAATAGTCAACTTGTTGCGACTTATATCAACACATGTATTACTACCCACCCCGACCCACGGGTTGATGCGCGGATGCATATTGAGATACTCACTCCGTCCAATCCTGTTTGTCATCACTACCTACATGGTAATTAACAAATACTTCTACTAGTAGATTGCGTGCTCGAATTCAACATAACAACTCTCCCATATAATTTATGATATGTTCAACCCGCACAATCCAGAAATTCACAAAACTTAATCACTTGCGGCTATTAGAGTATGGGTAGTACGATTAGTATTATTTTATACTACAAAGTAATGTTATGTAATTGGGCAGAGTTACATTCTTTATCAGAGTCGTATAAGACTATAAGTTATGTAATTTTCGTATTAGTGTTAGGGTTATTACAGAAGTCGGTCTCTGTGTACTCAATATAAACCCTATGTAGTGTTTCAGTAATAATACACAACCGTTTTCACTGAATTCTGATTTATCAACCGCGGCCGCCGTGCATTAAAATTCTAGAATGTTTATGGTGTTTGATCACCTGCTGGGATACGTTTCTCGTCGAAGAGGGGGCGGCTGAGTGATGACGTGTCCGACGAAGATTTAATTTGACCGGTCGTTGGCCAAATATAGTCAAATTTTCTGACCCCAAAAACCTTTCAAAAGAAACAAATCACATCCATATCCTACGGTTTCCTTAATCAACAACACGATTTAGCTGCGCTAAGCATCATATATATAAATCAAAATCATAACCCTAATTTTTTTGTTTGTCTCAATCTGCTCTTAATCACCCCCACGAAAACACTAACCAAAAACAACAAATGGCAGAAATGGGCATGTTCCAAATCTCCGGCGACGTGTTCCAAACCGTCGGGCTAATCAGCCGCCGTCACAACCGCAGGACCGTCCACAAAGTCGCCCACTGCCCCACCGGCGCCCTCTTCGCCCTCAAGTCCATCCCGCTCGACGCCGACGGCGGCCGGCGGTTCTCGGCCGTCCAGCCACGCCGCGAGTCCGTCCTCCTCCTCGACCTCGATCACGCCAACGTCGTCAGGTGCCACGGCGTCGCCGAGGATCGGCACGGCGGCGAGCTGAAGCTCCTGCTCGAGTACATGGACGGCGGGTCTCTCGCCGGGAAGAAAATCTCCGACGTTGGCCGGCTGGCGTCCATCGCCGGCCAGGTCCTCGAAGGGATCGCTTACCTCCACGGGAGGTGGGCCCCGCACTGGGACGTGAAACCGTCCAATATCCTCCTCGCGGGACACGTGGCAAAGATCGCGGATTTCGGCGCCAGCAGGTACAAAATATTTTCCTAACAACTCGAGTTATTAGCGAGCTAACTGGTTTGTTCGTCCACGTAGTATAGAACTTTCGATCGAGAGTTCATAGTTTACAACGAGTTCCAATATAAATAATAGTTTAATTAACACTATCGTCTATCATATGTTCAATATGTGCAAAATGGAAAAAAAAAATTCACATGTAGACTTTCGTTTGAGAGGGCGTGTAAAAAATCAAAACTCATACAAGTCCTTTTCTAACGACTCGAATTATTAGGACTAAATGAGACATTGGTTTGAAACGGCATCTAGGATATAAAAACTCGTACAAACAACTTTTTCACCGACTCAAGTTATTAGTACTAAAACTCGTACAGACTATTTACTAACGATTTGAGTTATTAAAACTAAATGATTTGTTCGTTGACAGGTACCTGAATACGATACGGGATAAGTCGGAGTTTGTCGATGCGGTGTCGTATATGAGCCCGGAGAGGATTGAAGGGGAGTTAAACGTCGTCGTTAGGGACTTGTACGGTTTTGCTTCCGACATCTGGGGGTTTGGGATGAGCCTGTTGGAGGCCTATTTGGGCGAGTATCCGATCGGCGGCGGCGGCCGCGCCGATTGCTCGACGCTGATGGCGATGATTTGCGGGGCGGAGCCGCCTGAAGCTCCGGCAACCGCGCCGGCGGAGTTTCGTGATTTTATTTCGTGTTGCCTGAGGAGGGAACCGATGGCACGGTGGAGCGCGGCGGAGCTGCTTAGCCACCCTTTTATATTGCATGGGAAAAGAATTTAGGTTTTTTTTCTTCATTTTTTACTACAAGTCGATGTGTACTAAAAATGCATAACTAGATTTAATCTCTTCATTTTGAGGGTTGATGGTTGAGATTTAAGGGTTTGAGAGTACTTTTTTTTTTATTAACTTGTAATTCATTCGTTTTAATATGCATTTAATTTTTTTTTTTACATAGAATAAGGTTAATGTGATCTACAGATTTATGTACATTTTTTTATATATATTGAAGGTAATTATTTTCCGACCACATACCCTCTACCACTGTCCACTAACATTTACCAATTTTGGTTTTAACTCGAATTTGGGAAGATATTTTCAAAGATGAAACGAAGTTTACTAATGATCTATAAAATAATGTCATTTTCTCTCGATATAATTCGGGCAACTATTTGGGACCCATGATACTAACTACCCTCTATCATAGTGGTTGATGGTGTTAAATGCTAGCAGATGGTGGTTTAATATATCACCATGTATACCACCAATTATACTTATGATATATTCCTATCACCATTAGTATAATTTCATAATTTTCTGTAGCACCATGACATAATTGTAATAATGACTCGATCAACGCATTATTTTTTTATTCGAAACATATCAAAGTAGATGTTAATTTGTAAAACATAATTTAATTATCTGATTTCCTTTGTTGTACTGATGATCAGTACAAATTCTTTCATCCTTCTCTTCTTTTCTTTCTTACATGAATTGCAATTTTACTTTTCTTCACTTGACTGCGACCATTGACTGGCTTGATTAATTCAACAATCCTAACGGTGACAAACTATAAAAATAGTGGGGAAGAAAGATATTAGCCAGATGAACCGACGCCAAAACAATTCAAGAAACCCAACTTCTCATAAACCAAACGATTTCAATATGGGAAAAAAATAAGGGTAAATACAATATATTAGCCACAACTATTATGAAATGGGGAATTATAGCCACAACTATGGAAATTCAAATTATTAGCCAAACGTTAACTATCTGTTAACAATTTTGTTAGTAATACTGACTAAAATTTTATGTTTTAAAGTTATAAATTAAAAGCATTCTAACATGGCCGCTGCCGTGGCCGATGATGTGGCCTTCTTCGTCAAAAATTCAATAACAGTAACGGACAGTTAGCCATATCTTGACCCGCAACAATAGTTATGGCTAATAATTTGAATTTTCATAGTTGTGACTATAATTCCCCACTTCATAATAGTTGTAGCTAATATATTGTATTTACCCAAAAAATAATATATGAATCTTATGTCGTTTTCTACAAATATTCTCGAACGAAAATCAACTCAAGTGCTCAAAATCTAATTCTGGTAGGCGAAAGCCAATCGGATCCCGTTGCCGACGCTAGCCAAAAAAAAAACTCCGATCCTCATAAAAATCAGCATTATCCTTTGGATAAGGCAGCGAAATCGGCCTTCCGGTGACCACCGTCGAATCCCGATCCCGATCCCAATCCCCTTCGTAGTACGCCAGCATCGTCACCCCGCCTTCGTAGTGGAAACCCTTGGCAAACCACCAATTATTCACATCAAACTGCCCGGAAACTCGAGTCTCCACCCTCGTTGCCGGCGGCGGCAGCAGGGATTTCACTGACGACGACACCTCCTCGTTCAGCAGCAAAATTGTCTCGTAATGCAAATTTTGGTTACCAAAACGTAATTTTACCATCAAATTTTTGGGACTTATTAGTAAAAAAATAATTTTAGACACTAAAATGTAAGAAAAATAAATTTGGGTACCAAACTGTAATTTTTAGAAAAATGGTTTATTTATTAGGGTCGACCCACTGACCCGACCCGACCCTAAAGGGTCAGACAGAGTCACGAAAGAAACAGGGGCGGGTCGGGTCTGTTATCCATCTTGACCCTTCAGGGGCGGGTTGGGCCCATTTTTAGCCTTAGTTTAGGGCGGCACCACCCGCCTTTGCCTTACGTGGATCGCCCACTTGTCGTCATCTTAGAGTCCGAGTCCCCAAATTAAAGCCATTAATTTTTTCCCCTGCTGATGACTCTGACCAAGAATTCTCCCGACATTGCTCAAGCTCTTGCCTCGTGTTTTCTCGCAACCTTCGCAATTCGCCCTCGAGCATCCCTGCTTTCGTGGCTGCGTCTTCCTTCTCCTTCATCAGCTTTCGTAATTCGTCATCCTTCTCTCGTAGTTTTCGCGATGTGTCCGCATCGTTCTTCTTCGTTGCTTTCTTTGCTTCTTTGTCGTCCTTCTTTCGTCTTAGGTTTTCGATCTCCTCGTCCTTCTTCCATCTTAGTTTCTGCAACTCCTCGTCGTCCTTCTCTTTCCGAAAAGCCTCTCTGTTATTTCTTCCCCTTTTTTGGGCTTTTAGTTTGTCATCCTTTTTCTTTAATAGCTCTCGCAGCTCCTCGATTTTCGTTTCGCTCGTATCCTCCATCTCCTCCCTTAGCTTTTCGAGTACCTCGTCCTTTTCCTCCCTCAGTTGTTGCAGCTCTTCCTCCATCTTTTCCCTCAACTTCTCCAGCTCCTCGTCCTTCTCCTTCACCAGTCTTTTTAACTCCTCGTATTTCTCCATACCAACCACCCCACCATTCATTTGCTTCGACGAATTTCCACGTCTGGTAGCAGACAACGCATGATACTTCATCTCCGCCCGGCCCCACTTCGTGGTCGCGACGAGGCCAACCCCGTGGTGGGGTCAGCTAAACAGATCGTTCAGCCGAAGATAGTGAGTCCCGTAGTCAGCGTACTCCCCAAGCTCCTTCGCGTCTTGGAAACAGTACCCTTGGGGACTCACCATCAAGTGGAGTCCACTGAGGTGTTGAGCCAGCTTGGTCAACGCAGCCCGTCCCTCGATCTTTCCATGACCGTCGAAGAACAGCAGGTCATCGTACAACGACGATGTTCTCTCCTCCTCCTCCTCCTCCTCCTCCGCCATGTCGTCATAGTCATTGTTTTCGTCTTCATCCTCGTCGAGATTTGTGTTGATGTTGGCAACTACCTTCCAATGAGCCTTTCGGATGGAAGAAGGGTGGAGAATGAGAGTGGGTTTGGTCAGCTCGTAGACTTGCAGGGTAGTGCCATCGGAGGATGCAACGAAGTGCTTGTCTGACTTGAAATCGAAGGGTGCCATTTAGGTTTAGATTGGGTTTTGTTAGAATATGACTTGAATTTGATTGGGTTTGTTTTGTGTTTTAGGCATATTCTGTTTGGGTTTGGGATTGAGATTTGTTTGAACTTTTCCTTGTATGTTTGGGAAAAGGTGTTTGGTTTTCTGTTTGGGATTAGGAGAAGAGTTCTATAAATACTCTTCATCACTCTAGTCTGTAGTAAGGTCAGTCAGGTTAGTTTGTTTGGTTTGTCCGTTTGGAATTTGGTTTGTAACCTGTACTCTCCTCAAAATCAGTGAAATTTGTTCTCCCCTGCCCGTGGATTAGCTAGTACACATTGTGTTAGCGAACCACGTTAAATTTGTGTTCGTTCGTGTTGGTTTGGATGGTCGTTTGCCACGCTTCTATTCTGACAGGTTTAGTGGGGATGTCTAAACGTGGAGCTAGCTAGCATTAATTAGCTTAATGTGGAAGGTGCTAACTAATTTCCAGACCATTGATAAGCACCTTCCTTACAAAAATTAAACAAAGACTCAATTAGAAGTAAACAACCGGGTGGGTACGTAGTCCTGTACAAAAATTAAACAAAGACTCAATTAGAAGTAAACAATAGAGCTACTAATTATTATTTGTTCAATATTTCCATAATTAATTAGGGTATGTATGTATTAGTTGTCTTGCACCATTGCCAAATTGGGGCGACGACTTTTTTCTTATGGTAATATATGGTGGCAGGCGTAGGTTATGTATAAATATTCTTTCTACAATATTTCTCATTCATTTATTAAGTATTTGCTTTATGTCTTCATGTAAAAAAATCGAATATCGACATACTTCTTTTAAATAACATACAAGAATAGATCGACCTAATAATTGGTTAGGTCGGTAAATACTCATACGACACGACGGATATAAGTATTGAGGTACCCCGCTCGTCCCATTACCATCATTTCCACGTACCACCAACGTACAACTTGAATTTGTACCATTAACATGATGATACAAATTCAGGTTGTACCTATACTCTTTTGTACAACATGAATGGTACAATCTGAATTTGTACTTTTATGTTGTGGTATAACCTGAAGTTGTGCCTTAACATAAAAGTACAAATTCTCTTATGGTACAACCTGAACTTATACATTTAACGTTATGTTACTACTTTAACTTGTACATTAAAGCACCAATGATTTAAAGTAGAGTAGAAGTGCTCCGCATATATAGGGGGTGTTTTGTTTGTTGTTAGCTACGCTCTAGGCTTTCAATCTCTTCTAAGAATGATAAATGGTCATCACTCAAATGTGTCTATTTAGGTTCAGATGAGTGTACACAGAAAAAAAATATTAACTATCTCATTAACTACTTTCAATCTAATTACACATTTACTATTGATATTTCCACCTTTTTGTTTGTTTCATAATAAAAAATACGACAAAAATTGTATTAGTTACAGATAACTTTTTTTTATAACCGATACTATGAGTCCAGTTTATACCCAAACTAAAAAAATTAGACATAGGTCTACCCAAAAGTAAATTACTTTTCTCAAATCTGATTTGACACATAATAAATAGAGTTTAAGACAATACCCAAATATTTGTCCCTTTTTTTTTTTTTTTTGTCATCCTTAATCTCATCCTTGACTAACGTTACCATAACTTGAACACTCTTATCAATACAAAGTACAAACAATCAAAAATCGACTTGTACGCGATAAAAAAAAATAGCTCACAAGAATTATTAAGAATGACTTGAACTTATGGAAAACATTCAGGCATTTAACAACACAGATACATTACGTCAACGTAGACAACATAACACAACACAGACATTTAACACAGTAGCATCGCCGGCCAGACCAACACCAAGACCGCCGGCAAGAGTACTTAACACCTAACTCCGGTAAAAGAAACCAAGCCTCAGCCCCACCACCAAACTAACAACCGTGAAACTCCTATTGGGACAGAAATTGGCATCTTTGGAATACGGCAACGGAATGGGATCTTTAGCCACCATCCTAGAAACACTAACACGGTTGAAGTCGCCGTCGTAATAAGCCACCATCGTCGTCCCGCCTTCCGGCGCCGTGGTCTTCGCAAACCACCAATTATTCACGTCGAACTGCCCGTCTCGCGTGGCCACCGTCACCGGAGACGGCGTCGGACCCGCCGTGACATCCTCGTCGATCAGCAGCAGCGAGTCGAACAGAACGTGGTGGCTCCCCTCCGCAATGTCCGGCGTGTAGTGCTGAGCGGCGGCGGCGGAGGAATTGGTCTTCCGACGGAATCTATGCGGCGGCACCGGCCGCCTCCTGCTGAGGTGGATCTCAAGGAGCTTCTCCTTCGGGAGGTGGAGCAGGATCTTCGCGATCGGCGGGCTGCCCCAAGAGTTCTTCCGACACTTCTCGAGCTCTTTCTTCAGACTCTCCGTCGTCGTCGATTCGCCGCCATCTTGATCGCTTCTTCCCTGCTGCCTCAGTACTACGAGTTCGTACTCTTTTTCTTCTTTCTCTCTTTCCAGCCTTTCTACCTCTTCGTCCTTCTCATGCCTCAGTTTTTTCATCTCTTCGTTGAACTTACGTAGTTGCTCGTCCTTTTCCTTCCTCAGCTTCTGTAAGATTACTCTTTCGTCCTTCAGTCCGCCGTCTTTTTTCTGTAGTAGTTTCTGCAGTTCGCCGTTCTCCTTTTTTTGTTCTTGTAGTTGCTCGTCCTTCTCTTTTAGCTTTTCCGATGTTTCTTCCTCTTTTTCGAGAATGATCCTTTCTGCTTCTTCTTCCTTCTCGTTTCTCAGCTTTTCGATTTCATCCTCCATTTTCTGTTTCAACTTGTGCAGTTCTTCGTCTTTTTCCTTCCTTAATGCCTGAAGAAGAGCACCATCGTTCTTTCCCTTCCTGAGCATTTGTATTTCACCGTCTTTCTTCTTCAGTAGCTTTCGTAACTCCTCGTCCTTTGCCCTTGTTAGTTTTCGCAATTCCTCATCTTTCTCGTTCAATTTTTGCAAGGCTTCCTGCTCCTTCTTTTGAAGATCTTCCATTTCTTCGTCCTTTTCCCTTTTTAGCTTTTCGATCTCCTCGTCCATCTCCTCTTTAAACTTTCGAAACTCCTCGTCCTTCTCTTTTCTTAGCTTTTGCAGCATCGCTCCCTCGTTCTTCCCCTTTTTAAGCATTTGCAATTCGCCATCTTTTTTCTTTAGTAGTTTTCGAAACTCCTCATCCTTGTCCTTCATCGCCTTCTTGATCCCCTCATATTTCATCTCGCTTGCTTCCTCAATCTCCTCTTTTAACTTTTGTAGCTCCTCCGCTTGCTCGTCCCTCAATTTCTGTAGCTCTTCGTCCATCTCCTCCCTCACCTTTGCCAATTCCTCATGTTTTACTCTCAACATTGTTTTCAACTCCTCGTACTTCTCCTTGCTCACTCCTACTCCCGTCGTTTGTTTTGGTGATTTCTCGTGTTTCGGCATGATATACCTCAACTCCGAACGATGCCACACGCTGCTCCTTGCAGCGTCAACGCCATGACGAGGCCAGTTGAACAGATCATTAAGCCGAAGGTACTGGATCCCGAAATCGTTATGCTCGCCCAATCCCGTCACATCTTGAAAACAATACCCTTCCGGGCTCACCATCAACCGTAGCCGGGTGAGGTATTGAGCTAGCTTGGTTAACGCCTCCCGCCCCTCGATCTTCCCATGACCATCGAAGAACAACAGACCATCGTAAGACTCCTCTCCCACCTCATCATCATCATCATCACCATCGTCGTCACCAGCATCATCGTCGTTGCGCTCAGTGATGCTGGCGATTTGCCTCCAGTGGACCTTTCGAATCGAAGAAGGGTGAATGGTAGGGTTGGTTAACTCGTATATTTGTAGGGTTGTTTTGTCGGAGGAAGCAACAAAGTGCTTGTCTGACTTGAAATCACATAGAACCATGTTCAGAGAGATTAGGATTGAAGATTGTTAGCTAGCTATAGGATAGAGACGAGAGGGTGGTACTTGAGTTTGTGTGTGGTATTTATAGAATGTCTCATATCTCAACTTGATCAACGTTTAATAGTATTTATTCATAGGAAATTTGTTATTCTTCATCTTTTAGCGACGACTTAGAACGACATGACAAATCCACACTACCATCCGAATATTATACTCTCGAGTCTAGCAATACAATTCCGCGGAAGCTGCGGAGACGACCTCTATAATAACGACAAACTGATTTAGTCGTCGCTAAAAACAATTATTAACGACTTAGAAACCCACGAAAATGACCTAACGTTGTCACTGCATTATTGATCCACCGTTCACACGCCCACGACATCGGTTAATATAATACCATAAACTTCTAGTTTTCGGAATTAGATGAGATATGGAAAACCGAAAAAGGTTCATGATTTATGATTAATTGTCATGGAATTGTTGGTTAATCATTTATAAAATTGTTGATAGCCTACAAATTTTTTTCATAGTCATATACATCGTAAACCCGCCATCCGGCACGGTGGTTCCGGTAAACGACCAGGTGGTTAAGTTTTGCTCCCTTGATCGCTTTCCTTTGCCTTTCGTGTTTTGTGGGCAGATAAATTTAATAGAAATGATGCTTCCCGGTCACCGGCGCCTTCTTGCAGTCACCGGAGTTGGACGAGTGCTTTCTGTGGCCGACCGCCGATGGAGTTTTTGGCGGGAACGAAGGCGGCGGGCGGCCCCCAGCTGATGGTTCTGTGAGCTTTCTGGTGGGCTTTTATTTGTTTTGGGCTTGTTTCTGACTTGAGCTTTCTGGGCCCTTCGCTTATGCAACTTTCCTTCCATGGATATCTGCATAGTTTTTCCGTTGAATCAATGAAACAACTTTTGCGAGGCCCATTCTTTATAGGCCGAGAGCTGCCAATTATTTGGGCCGATCTTACTAGAGTTGAGTTCTTCTAACCATGGTCCACGAAACCGTATCGGAGACCGTACCGGGAAAGTTAGCGGTAAGGTATTTTATAGTAAAATCGTGGTTTAACCGTAGTTCAATCGTAAGTACCGTAAAATATCACCTACCGCTTTAGCCTCTGATACTAGTATTTCGTGGTTGAACCGCCGATACAATACGGTTTCATGGAGACTGCTTCTATCACGAGAGAATGACCACACGAGAGAGACCGAAAAGAGGATGATATGCTAGCAAACACAAAAACCAAATCAAAATAGAGAGTCACCGACGGCAAGAGAGACCAAGAATCATCGGCTAGAAAGATTGAGAAAATCCTATTACAAAGCTTCCGATCACAAATATATCGATAAAATGGAGAAAAGGACAAAGAGAGAGGTGCTGAAGATTAAACTCTGAAAAGAAATTCGAAGAGAACAGAAGCGGAATCTATCGTTCTTATTGCTAGGACCACCCGCTAAAATTCTAAAATCCCAAAGTGCCGCCACCCAAAATGTACAGATATTAAACCGTTAGATGATTAGGAACCGGAGGGCCATAATAAATCTGGTAACGCTATAAAGTTATATACTCAATTTAGTCATTGATACATTGGTATTTTCCACCCAATAGATTCCTAAATGTGCTCATTCTAGTTTATGTGTATGTCATTCTGCCAAAACAGAGAATAGTCTCTTTCTCTTGTAGTCCAATTGTTGTAGGACAAACTTCTAAAATCAATAGAATTCACAAGTCTCCCTTTCCCTACTAGTAAATATCCCCTTGATGCAAGCTAAGCCCTAGGTTATGTCCAAATTACCAATATTTTGGTACCAACTACCGATATACAAATGGAGAGTCTAGAAAGGAAGGATCACTTGTTATCTTGTAGCTTACTAGCTAGTGGCAAGTCATTTTATATGAGGAGAAATGGTATTGAATGGAATGGGGTAGGTCAAATTTAATGCCAAGCCATTTTGGTATGAAAGGGAATGAGGTTGAATGGAATGAGGTAGGTTTTCGCGGTGATCGTAAAATCGTATTGGAAGTTGTACTAGATAAGTAAGCGGTAACGTATTTTATGATGAAATCGTGGCTTATTCAATTTATAGTGATAAAATTCTATACCAATTTAGGCTCCATTATCTAGTTTTCTGGTCGGACCAACGATACAGTGCAACAAACACCGATAGAAAACCAATGTTTGCAAAGCCCTACCATATTGACGTTCCGCCCAGAGAAATCGACTATCGAAACCCAAACCGGTAGGTGGTTAAGCGGTTTCAGCGATATGAAATGGATAAACCAAGATTTCATAACAAAATACCACACCATTGATTTTTAGATAAGGATGCAAACCTCACGTTTAGCCTTATGAAATCGATATTGGCTAAGGAAGCTTCCAACCAATACCATTGCTATTGTTGTGGGATTTCAACTTCACACATCTATTAAAATATTGTCATCCAGCCAGGCATAACCATCAGATTAAATAACCTCTCATTTTCTATAAGTTATCTTGTTCGACATCAAAGCTTGAATAAACTATGTAAGTTGTCCAGAAGAAACCTCTCAATCAATGTAGCTGTTCATTTGTCTTGTCTTATAAAATTATTGATCAACATAATAAACAATACTTATTGTGTGCGTCAAATTCAACATAATAATAGTAGTAGTCCATGGCAGATTGGTGTTTCAATTTTACTCACTTCCGGCAAAAATTGTATTCTCTCTTTCCCTTATCCCATTTGGTGATCGTGTAAAGAAATTAATATAGTATAAGTACACTTAACCTTGGTTTCAACTATTAGAGTTATTGGAAAAATGGTTTATGATACGAAATTAGAATCGAGTTGGCCAAGTGTATAGTTTGTTCGAATCTTGACATCCCATAATACTACCAGTTCCTTTAAACGCAAGGTATGATATTGGACAAGTGTATCGTGGTGGGCATCTGTTGATCCAGTCCAAAACCAAATCGAATCGGTCCCAATTCAATTTCGGTTCAATTTTTTTTTCTTCATATTTAAAATAATTTATAGGATCAAAACTGAAATGAAATATATTTGATCCAATTCGATCCAAATCTCAATTTGATCTGGTGTGGATCGAATCGTTGTCCAGCCCTACTTGTACAAATTTCAAGTCCATAAGTTGTCTTATTGAGAGACCAAACGAATTACGGTAGATTATCTATAAAATAAAACCACACATATATAGAATCTGTCTACACAGCATATCTTTTAAGTTATGACTAATGAGCATGGACCCTTCACCAAATCTTGCTCTCCAATCCATCTCAGCAAAATCAAAAATGGTTTGTGTAGAGTTTGCAAGCAAATTCAAACTTGTTTCGTTTATAGAAACATTATGGAACCATCCTCCTTGTTACCTAATCAATCCTCTGCTTTGCAATAAATAAATACTTATACAATAGTTGTCTTTATCTAATTTTTTATTATTAACTAATCCAGATTCAATTCGAATAATTTCGCCAATATGTTAATACAGACAGATGTTATCACGGGCTTATACTATCAGATACATACAAGTATACAACCTCGATCACTAATTCATAAAACGTTATCATCAGATATATATTTAACGAGCCGGAGAAATAAATATTAGCGTCACCGTGAAGCTGTAAGTCCAAATGACCAATCCACAAGAAATGAACCTACATTAGTATTACCTTTCTCCGAAGTTACAATATGGCCAAATGACTAATCCACAAGAAAACATCGAATTTACCAACTACTAGCCTATAGGAATAGGAAGGTAAGCTAATTAATTTGGTTTACCAATCTCTTTAGTCTTTCCTCCCCAGTTTTGTATATGTTAATTAGCCGCCCCAACTGGCCGGCGAACAATGAATCAAGGCCGCCGGCGTATCGGTACAAGAAAATGTCCGGTGGTTTCCTTGATGCACACAATTATACAATTACAGAGTTTGATTGTTACTCATCTAATTAAATTATAAAAGGACCAATTAAAATATGGTATGAGAAAATGTTGATGTTTTCGTCTTGACATTTTGATGCTTCAAAATTGTTTGATGATGAGGGGCTTCGAAGTATACGTTCAAGAGTATTCTGACCGCGTGAATGCTCAAGGAAACTCATAGGAGCGGCTCAATTCGTACATATAAAAACTCTGTCTATGATAGCAAAAGGGGTTTCTGGACGGTGCTATAGATTGTAATGACTCGAACTCGAAAGCATTCATGTCAACCCTCATCGTGTCTTATTATTTGAAAGAATTCTTGATCGCAATGATAGATTGCACGTAATCAAACCCGAAAACCGACTGTACCAGGTGTCATTCCTCATGTCTTACTACTTTGATCATCCTTAATGGGGTTTTTTTTTTTGCTTTCTAAATTTTGTATTTTATTACTCACCGTTTCTCCTACAAAATTGAAGTACCTCCACCACAACAAAATTGCAATCCTCAACTTACAATAATGAACAAAAAAATACAGGGTCAGCGTAGTAACAGGGTAGCCCACTTGATGGCTCGAAAGACCCTCTCTTTGTACCCGATTGCTAGTCGTTTCTTGGATTTCCAGGTCTGCCTGCTCTCCATGGTGTAACTATCTTTTGTTTCAATCAATGAAGATTATCTTTTGTAAAAAAAAAAAATAATGAACAAAAAACAACCATCTAGAAACACAAAACAGAACAATCATCTCATTTTAAAAGAACAATCAAATTATTAAATTAACTTAATCAAATCGAAATCCACAACCATTATAAATAGTAATACTCCCTTCCTTCTAATTCCCCATTTGTTTCCCCTTTCCCTCACAATTACCTCTTCCGATGGATCCAAACCCAATCTCCGTCACCTTCTCCGATCTCTACACGGTGGCCGCCTTCTTCATCAACCTCCTCCTCCTCAAACTCACCCTCCTCTCCCGGCGGCCGCGGCCGCCCCCCGCCGCCACCGCCCTATGCAATCGAGCCCAATCAATCGAGGACACGTGTCCCTCCTCCAAATTTGCCGCCGGCACCGCCGGCGGCGACGAGTGCGCGGTGTGCTTGAGCGATTTCGCGGCCGGAGAAGCCGTGAGGGAGTTGGGCTGCGGCCACACGTTTCACAGGGACTGCGTCGACAGGTGGCTGCTCGCCGCCGGCAAGGTGACGTGTCCCCTCTGCCGGAGCAACGTGATTCTTCTTCCCCCGGCGGTTGTCGCCGTCGTCGACGACGACGATTGGGGCAGCCAGCAGTTGGCTCTGTTGCTGTCCAAACTGCGCGGTGGAAACGTGACTTGAATTAAATTTGTACGGTTTTCAGACCGGCGAAATTAGTTAATTAATTAGCGTATTTTTAATCGGTAGGAAGAAATTAAAGAGGAGATTCCGATTTGCGTATCATGCGGTGGTTGGTTGTTTTGTGTGCATAATGATTCAGAAGACACTTTCCATTTCTTCATTTCTTGTGGTTCATTTTTTTTTTCTTTCTTGTTGGCTGACCACATAATTAGCTTTGTGTTAATCGGATGTCACAAAATTCGACCCGAGTCGAATTCCAATGTTGAGGCCTAGTGAGATCGAAAAATCGGACGTGACTTGCTTCTAAGTTGTCGTTCGGTTCGAAATGAACCGAAACGAATTTTCGAACCGAACTGCACGAATCAGACTCAACCCATTCTTATCTTGAAAGCCCAGCCCAGTGACCAGCCCAAGCCCACTCCCCTAACCATGATCCCTTTCTCTTGACCCACTCTTAAGGTTTGTGATGTTTGGCGGATGGAGCTCAAATTATGAACTAGAGAAATTTCATGTTTCATGTTATACCTAGCTATAATTAAGGGTTTGCAACGGTTCGGTCCAGTTGGGGTTCGATAGTGAAAGACATCGTAGGACCAAGGACCGGACCATCATTATACATTTGGTCCCGTCCAAATTGTAATTCGGTCCAAGTCAGAGACTCCTCGTCACCAGAGGCAAGCCCTTGCACAGGAAGTCCTAAAGTTATTTGAATGTCGCTAGTCCGGAATGGATTCTCTTTCTTCCCTCAGCGCACTCCAAGACTTTTGAAGAGGAGTTCATCTGCTGCTCATTCACCATCAGGAGTTTTTTTTTAAAAACTGCTCTGTGATAATTTTTTCTTCGGTAATTATAAAATTAATGAAACCAAAAATCAGGTCACATTATATTTTGTTCGGTATTGATCCAATCAAAGAATCAGTGCTGGCCAGTAAGATGGCGACAGCAGGCCAAGCAGTTAGCACCTAATCCTTTTGTCGAGCATATTGGTGGTGGTGGGGGGAGACGACTCTTTTTAACTCAGCACCTAATTGTGTCACTAATCAAGTTGTTGTTGTCTTTCAATAATGTCAAATCACTATAATAAATAGTTTTAGGTTTTAGCTACTTCATTTGAAACAATCTTTTCTTCCTGTAGTATTCGTCCACTTAACCAAACTAGCTCTGGTGACATGTTATATACTAATTGGTCTCTATAACTCGAATTGGTTGAACAAAGAACAAATGTGAGTACAATGTAGATAAGATATGCTCGAGGTCAATGTAGTCAAAAGCGCGTTTCTACGTAGAAGCGTTTTGGTGATCTAGAAGCGTAAAATCGTAAGTTTTTAAAGCGCAGTTTTTTACTACATTGGTTATAAAAACGGTGATTATGTGTAGAAGCATACGTGTTGTTGACCCTTTAAAAAATGCGATTTCCGACTATATTGCTCGAGATACGATACACGATCAAAGATCGAAACTTTGAAGATGCATATATATATGTTGAAAACAACTATAAGTGGCAAGTTTGGGAGTGTAAGACAAAAGGAAAAAAGGTGTATCTATCCTTCACCAAAGTCATCACTGATAACCTTCTTTTTTATAATTTATATTTGCAGTGGTAGGGTTTTAAGTATAACTAATAACTAGTAAAAGTCCACCTTAGTAGAGTAGCATTCAAGTTTGCTAACAAAATCGCTAATAGTTACCTCTCCCTGGCTCCATTATTGGATGTGTACACATCATTTTTCTCAATAGAAAAAAGTACAGTGGGTGAAAAGAAAAATAGTAGTAGTTAACCTATCTATTATGACTTTTTCGGCCACTTCTCTGCCTGGATACATATGGGACTCAATTCAGTCTTATGCGGCTGTTTTGCCTAAGATTCCTACCAATGGCCACTAACGTTTAAAACGTAACAAAAAAAAAAAGTCATTCTGTGTCTTTCCATATGAAATTTTCGATTAGCTTAGTCATGATAAAATGTAGGTTTAAGAGTTAGTTATGTGTTTGAATTTTTTTTTTTTTACTAATTTTTTTGGCAGTGAATCGGCAAGGTAACATTCTATTTTAGATTAAAACATAGATAAAAAAAGAGACCATTTTGAATTTTTTGATTAATTACACTTTTGGATTCATGAAGTTGGCCATGTCACATGCCCTTCATACATACAATTAAAAAGAACACCAAAGCCTTGTTGCATCATTGTCTTGTGTGAAATGTTTTACAATTTAATCTAATATCACTCATATAATTTGGTCAAAGGAGCTTAACGAAATAATACCTAACGAGATCAGCATTCTTTATATAAAAACTAACCAACAAAGATCTAGAAACCTATTTTTTAAAAATATACCTAACATCTAGAAACTTAAAGCTTCCCAATGTTCATCCAATCACCAGTGCAGCAGGTTGGCAATGCGTGTAACATGGACGGTGGGTGATTAAGAAATTAGGGTTTGTATCATAAAGAGCAGAATCAAAGACCAATTAGTACCCTATAATCTTTGATTCTGTTACAGCCTAGCTAAACCCAAAAAAAAAAAATTTGTAATTACCTGAAAAAAGGAGCGATTCGAAATTCTTCAGACCCAACTGCGCTCCATCTGGTTTTTTGTATAGTGCTAAACGAGACAATTCAAAATGATATGATTGGATCAGATTACCTCTCGTTAAGTTGCTCCATCCAAATCAACTTGTAATCTATCTATTTACGGGGAATTAATACGCCAAATTTTGAACTGGTTATTGTATCACACTAGTTAAATGAGGATTGAAATTGTAATTACCTTTAAAAGGAACAATCCGAAATTCTTCACACACAATTGCTCCATCCGATATAAATAAACATGGCAATTTGCTCGAATCGCATCTAAATAGTATAATGGGATCAAATTGCTCCATCCAAACCAACATGTAATCTATCTATGTATTAGTAAGAAATACCCCAAAATTTGAACCGATTAGGTGTATCGTCCTGGGTAGTGGCAGTTTGAATCCAATTCACCAATACAATCCAATCCAATCAATTCACTAGAAAATACAACTCATCTAATCCATTTAAATCCAAATTCACTTAATCCAAATCCAATAAATTGGTCGATTCATGGATTGGATTAATTGATTGTTGGATAATTATCATTTAGTACTTATATATTTAACATTTTCAATGAAAAATATACTTCAAATTTTTATATTTTAGTATCTATAATGACATTTTGATACCTAAAAGTAAAATGCCACTAAAATCTACAAATTCAAACCAAAAATCGATTTAATCACCAATCTAATCCATCACTAATCCGTGAATTTAATCAGTTTATCACCTCTATCCTTACTGACTCTATCCAAACACCTATAAAAGCTCGGCTTTTGAAAAGCCAAAAAGCGCTTTTGTATAACATAAAAGCGGAAGCTCCGATTTGGAGCTTCTGCGAAAAACTGTTTTGAAAATACAAGATTATCCTTACCATATTTTAATTTTATTTCAGAAAATAAATTTTCCTTCATTTATATCATTTTAAAAATAAAATAAATTATAAAATCATATTATTTAATATAAATGAAATCTAGCAAGATCCATTTTGACTACTTTTTATTGTTTAGAATTTTTATTCATATTTTATATTATAAGTCCTTTATAGTCATTTTACACAACCTCTTATATTAAAAAGCACTTTTAATAGTTTTATAGCCAAACACTCAAGTGCTTTTTTTTAAAAGTACTTATCTAAAAGCTCCAGCCAGAAGTTGCTTCTGCAAAAACTACAGCAGGGCCAAACTAAGCTAAAATTATTTGCTTCACAGGATATATTTTAAAGACTAATTATTTTGATTGGGCGATCAAATTTTATGTAAACCATTTGTTAGAAACTTAGAATTAGAGTCTTAAGCTTAGGTATGTTCTGCCAAACCTTTTGTTCTTAAAACAAGACCAATTAATCCAGGGAATTGTCCCAATCATAATTTGGTAGAGTACTAACTCTCTAGCTAACTTCTTGCCCTCAATTTTCTCGATACATATTTTCTAAGAATAAATCAGGGGAGGATTAATACCCTAATTTGGTCTCAATTTTAAACTAAAATATTATTTTTCCGATTTTTTTAAATTCATAAACGAACTATATTCTAAAAGAAATTGGCCTATTTTTCCCTTATCTTTCAGTTGGGCGTTTTTTAACGGTCAATCTATTTTACCGTAAGTGACTTATAATAGGTTATGGTTGACGTGATATCACGTCATCACCGGTATTAACCGTTGATTGAAGCACATGACATGAAGGAGCCCTGCAAACTCTTAACCCAAATCAAACTCAATTATTAACTTCCATAACTCGAATTACTGAGACCAACATCACGTTACCAACTAGAACCGCTGGGATTCAACTTATAATTGAAGCACTAAATTTAATTATTTTTTTTCCTTTTTTATGAATAATTTAATTATTTGCTTCTCAAGACATGTTTATATATTTTCACAAGTTACATAACTATACGTAACGTGCATTGCATTTGGTCTATTGGAAAAAAGTTTTGAAATCCAATGTGTTAGTGTGCAAGCTAGGCTATTAGCTTATTCAAACTTCAATACTTTGATTTCTTCTTCTTCTTTTTGCTCAAGACTACAGAAAATTAGGCTACCCAAATGTATAGAGAGACTGATTAATGAAGGAATTACTTATAACATATCTTACAAAACGAACAACGACTTGACTTAGTGGTGATACCATTAGTCTGCAATTGATATCGTTAAAAACCTAAATAATAATTACGGTAGTAAGACTTGTAGAATTAGACAGGTCAACTTGCTTTCTAATAATTTCCACACTGACACATTCTAAAAATAAAATAATTCAATCATTAACCTTTGATAATAATAATAATTACAGCAATTAGACTTTAGAGATAGACATGTCAACTTGATTTCTGCAAAGGCCATAACTATACATATAGCAGCCGCGGAAATACATTTGTCAACTTCCATTTCTATCTCTGATAATTAGGTCCGAGCCTACTATACAAGAGTTGACCAAAAACCAAAAACAACAAAGCCACTCAAAGAGTTGAATTTGAAACAACAATTTCCCCTAATAACAAGTTGCAATTCAGCTGGTATTGTTAAAAAATAAAATGGTATGTGCTCTATCTAACCGATTGTATTAATCAAGTGGGTTTTCGATACCATATAAACATCGATCGTACAAAGAGCGCCATTATGTTGGCTTCCGAATTTCCTTCCCTAGCTTTCTCAAAATCGACACCAAAACATCTGACAACTCAATCTCTAGCATCGACAACTCAATCTTCTTTGACCGATCTCTCCACCAAAATCGAATGTATTTTTTTAAATTGGAGCATGCAAGATTATAATAATTTTAATACATATCCAACAAAGAGGAAATTTTTTATAATAAGCACCAATTTGAATTTTGAATGGGGGAAATTAAATAATCACTCAAAGCAAATAAAAAAGCGTCGTGATTAAGGGAAACAAAACAGATGCAAAAGGGAATATTTTGTAGCTGAGAAAGAGATGTCAAATTGGCCATACTATAACGTATTGATGTCATGCCTGACTCAGAACGCAATAAACTGATTTTCTTTCATTTCAATTCATCTAATAAAATAGCTACCCTAATACCCTTTCCTTGGTCGTAACGTCTTTCTGCATCCTTTCACAAGCCAAATTATTGTGTTCCTGGTAAAGCATTAAACTAAAGAAGCCGTATATAAGAATTATAGGGAGACAATGTTGCTTATGGATATGTTGGATTTGGTCCAGTATCGGGTCGGATTGAGGGAAGAAGAATCGGATAATGAGATCAATTGGTTATTGACATACTTAACCAGTGACGTATACCATGGTGCTCTCAAATATACCTTGATTTGAGGGGTGATTTAAGACTTGAGGTATTGAGATCAACTGGCTCTTGACATCCTTAACCCAGTAACCACATACTAAGCACATGGTACTTATTCGCTCATAGTATGTGATATAAAATTCAATATTGAAAACCGACTTATCGAATTGTAATAATATTATAGTGGGTATATGTCAGATCTCTCTAAAAATGACGCATCAATCCAGTTTGATCCAATATGAACCGAATCGGTGCACATCCTCAGAATTATGGACCATGAAATTCGATAACTTTCCTTATAAACCATAAAATTCTCTTTCAAACGTGGCAAGCACCATAGGCAAGTTGTGTAGCATGGCGGATTGGTGGTTAAAATAAATTAAGGCAAGAAGAAGTTGGGTGGGGAGTGGGACTATGACAGTGATGGATAAAGTGCAACCAACCCATCGACCAAATCATAGCCTGGACCGGTCAACCAGGTTCCTGGATTCATTGATCGACCCAACCCGATTTTAACCAATTAAGATATAATCTCTCCTTTTTTGAGATGATGATTGTGTTTATTAAGCTCTACATTAAAGATGTTTTTGGTCTCCTCAGATCATCAACAAACACCTAACCCACAGTCCTAGTAATTATGACCTTCAACCGAATTGATTAAGAAACTAAGTTCTAGAATCTTTGGGCAACTTGGGTCTCTTGACCATACAGAAAATGCAAAACCGACTATGCGGCTGAGGTGGAGATTAGTTGCTGATCTGTACAGGGACATTCGGGCCGAGGCATGTAGTACTTGCTGAGTTGAGTTTTCGCTTTGTAGGTCGAAGAAGTTCGAATAAGTCGCGACTCATTTAATGGCGCGCACACTTTATGTAGTTGGAATGATGCGGAAACTGAAACTATCAGACCGATAATTTTCTTGATACGTTGCTACAAGCAGATTGTACCGACATCCAGATTATTCAATATAGTTTGCTTTTCTCAACTCCAAATTAAGTACCAACTTTTTGATTCCATTCCCAAATTCTCTAGTTTTAACTCAATTTACCATGGGGGGAAGTGGCAAGGATGTTGAGTCTTGCTCGCTGTTAGACTGGATTGAAAGGATTCGATTAAGTTAGTTCTCGAATAATAGTATTACAAAAAATATATATTATATTCGTTAGTCTGTTACATCGTGAAAATAAGTGTTGAATTGTAAGAGGTTTAACGGGTTTCGGTTAACAGAAAAATATTAATACTTCTTAGCAATTCGTCTTGGTTTCAAGGCATCAAACCATGAGAATTGTGTAATGGGGTTGCAAATTTTGTTTTCTTATGGGTTTTTTTTTTTTGTTTTAACGAAACCAAATTCGATCATGTGCAAAATGGTTTGGGAACCGCTAAATGCACCTTATCATGTCAGTTTCGATTCAAGTAAAAGAAATCGAAAACAAAAAAAATGACAACCCTAATTACACCTTTTTCAAAATTCAATAATGTGTCATCTAAATTACACGTTTTTTTCGTCACGCCAAACAAATTTCTACAACCTTAAAGATTTATGGATTAGTTTACTCTAATGTAAGATGACACTATTTGACTAGATTCCCTGAAAATGAATTAAGTCGCACGTGGTAAAAATAGACAACAAAAGGTGGAGAGTCGAGAGCCCATAACTTCTGCAAATCCAAATATCAGTTGCCCATAAAAGCACATGGGAAGGGGATGGAAAGGTAACATGCAACATATTTAATTGTCTTCGACATGGATTTCTATTTTGACACCAAAAACACGTTTGATCTTGAGAATGAATGAATACTTTATGGATATCCCAAGAATAAATACTTAGTATTGCGTTACAAATCACAATTCCTGTAAAGAGAATTTGGATTTGGAGAGGAGAAATTCATTCCTAGATTCAAATATGTGATGTTCAGGTTGAAGATTATATTAATGATGATATCATTTGTAGAAATGGCAACGACGCGCCAGATCGAGGTACCTATATACAGTTGCACGATATATTAGGGTTTAGATTGAGTATTTTGTCTACGAGTTGGGATATATCGTCCTATTCGGGTATGCATTCAAAAGGGGAAAACACTTAGGATATTGAATTTTTCATTATGAAATTGGGAAACAACCATTATTTTATAAAATAGGTTATGGTATGATAAATGAAGTTAAATGGTTATAAAATAGAAACTCTTAGGGTTTTCATATATAAAATATAACATAAGAAAATTAAAATTATAATAACTTTAATAATATCACACATAAATAAAGCGAATCAGGTCTCAGAAAAAAAAAAGGATTCATGTCCACCCCGCCACACCCATATGATATATAATATTCACTCAAAATGAATTTGAACAACACGAATAAGATAGTTCATGTCAGAATTGTCATCTCGATAAAAACATCCTTCACACACAAAAATGAAAATTTTACTAGTTTCAAGAACTTGGCACCTGGCATGGTATAAATGGAGGACATACCAACATTGAACCAAGCTCGTAAAAAGGGGATTTGTTGACCAAGAAAAGCTTTTTCCAATCCAAATATTCCAATGCCACCATTGATTAAATTAAAACCGCTTTTGTTTTTTGTTCTGACATTCATATAAGTTGTAAGTTGTAACCAACACATTTATTTACAATTTGTCAATTTCATAAATTTGGAAAAGAAAATGATCTCATAATCCAGAAAATCCACATAAATGCTGAATAATAAATATTATTGTCGGGTAAAATCCAAGTGTCACATATTTATTTGACTTAAATAAGCAATATCATACTAATATGTAGAATCCGGTCTAAAAATATACATCATCTTCTTATACAACACTCTTGTGTATAAAGGTTCATTAACTCAACTTGACATTCTACACCACGCACCATATATACCAATGTACATAAATCAATGGTTTAATATTCGTGGGTATACCAAATACAAACACGAACATAATACAAGAAAATCATCATTTATTTTGTTTCGCAATCTATTCTTCATTATCTTTATACCTGAAAACATGCACGATCACATGTAGCTTTGGAAATTTGGAAGAGTTAGAAGAAGACGAATCAACCTATCAACAAAATAAAATTCTTTTGACAATCATTTTTTTGTTGATTCCGACATAGATAATAAAAAAAATAGATCATATAGTTTCTATAAAGAGCAAAAAATCCAATGTGAACTAAATAGAGGTTGATTTTTTCATTTGTAGTTGGATTAAAAAGTAACAAAAAGAATGAAAGTGGGTTTCCGTTTGCTTTGGTCCAGGACCTTGTGTGGAGGAGAATTAAGATAATAAAGTCCAAAAAGTAGTTAAAACGAGGTTGTTGTGTATCGAGCCTGTTTACTTTAAACTAATGATTTAGCTTATCTACCAGTAGATTACATGAGTGTTGCATGATACAATGTATAGGTCAAGCACTATTTATCCAAATTTTATCTAAATATCCTTACGATTCTAGGGGGCCGAGACTATTTCCGGGTGGATCGGGGCCCACCCTAGTCTCTAAGTACCTCCGCCCCTGAGTCACTCTATCAAATATCGAATTCCAAATCGTGAGACTGTTTAACGGTACAAAATGGTTGGACCACATTTTTTTTTTTACAAATAGCCACCTAACTCTCTCCACTAAATGTATACACAAACTCCTCCAACCTCATTTCTCATGTCTATATATATCTCCACACCACAGAGATAATTTCCTCCATCTCCACACAAAAAAACTCCCAACCCACCAACAATGGCGGCGATGCCAATCGTCTTCTCGGAGCTCTACCTCGTCGCCAAGTTCTTCCTCAACCTCCTCCTCCTCAAACTCACCACCGTCCTCCGCTCACGCTCCTCCACCACCACCACCACCTCCGGCTTCCCCTCCTCCGCCTCCACCGACGACGACGACCGCCGCCGCCTCATCGACGAGAAGTACCCTCATTACCACTACCACGCGCCGCCGCCGCCGGGAGAGGACTGCGCCGTGTGCCTCTGCGAGCTCGAGAAAGGGGACGCCGTCAGGGAGCTGGGGTGCCGGCACACGTTCCACAAGGACTGCGTCGACACGTGGCTCGCATTGGAAGCACGGAAGAAGAGAGCGAAAGGGTCTTCGTCGGCGGCGATGATGACGTGCCCGCTCTGCCGGACAGGCGTCTTGCAGACGGAAGATCTGAACCTCGGACGGCGGCGCGTGGGGACCAGTTTCCTCGGTGGCGGTGGTGATGAGTACGATGACGACAGCTTGGAGTGGGGACAGCAGCAGTTCGCTTTATTGCTCTCCTCGTTACGCGGTGACCACCGCCAGATTATTAACTAATCAATGGAAATTTTATCTCCTTTTTTATCTTCTTTTCCACATTATATATAGATAGATAGATGGAAAGCAACTAACCACAACAAAGGCTTGTTGGTTCATGTCGGTTTGACCGGTTAACCGATAACAAGCAGGAGCAATCGGTTTCGTCTTATGGGTTTTTTATTACGTGCGTAATCTGTGTAAAAATGTATATTCATGTTTCGAATTCGGCATTCAGGTTGTTTATTTGCTTCACCTTGGGTCAGTACGTACTAACTGATGATTACTCAATTTATATGGTCGTTTAGAGTCCAACCACTCGAACATCCAGTACGCCGATAAATCCCGACAATTTGAGGGTCGAGGTGATCAGGCTCGAGTTTCGAAGTTTATATCATTTATATTTATTGATTCGATAAGGCTATTATTGCTGCCTATGTTTTCCTTTTTTATTTGTAGTTTTTTTAATTATTATTCCTATTTCATTGTTAGAAAAAGAAAATGGATTTAGTTTTTGAATTTTGCTAGATTAGTAAGTCCAATATTCTAGTAAACTCCAATATTCCTATTTAGTTTCTCCCATAAAGGGATTTGTTTTTATATGTATGGATTGATCCAAAACTTAATATGGACGAGACAGACAAACAGGCTGTAGACGTGGTGTTTGAGGCCCTCGAATTGAGGGAGTTTGGTCCCGACTTGTGTGCCCAAAGATCAAGTTGTTCCACGACCTCTGGTCTTTTACCCTTTTGTTATGGCGAGGAATTCATAGGTAAATTTTTGAGTTGTTGACATGATATACATCTTTAGGTTCAAAATGCCTAACTCGTTCAGCCTCCGAAAATCGACCGAATTTCGATTACCTCAATTTCCGGTTAATGAATAACCGGCCGGTTATCGGTTTAATCGGTCGGTTAGCCGGTAACCGAAACTCCACCCCTAATAACTGTGTTGTGAAATGTATATGTAAGAATCATAGTCAAGGGACAAAACATACAATTGACCCAGAAAATGTATATAAAAACGAATATAGGATTTAGGGTTTATCGTTTTAGGCAAGATGGTGCTTGTTTTGGAACTTATATGATTCTTGCTTTTATAATGATGCACATGCTGGAATAAACTATTAGAGATAATTGATTTTTCCTTTTATTCTTTTATTATTTCTCCACAACTTTCTGCTCCTACATTTTTGGGTAGTGCCTACGTGCACGTGATTTCTCTCCTCCAAAACTTGTATATTAGTTTACAGAATCCTTCAATGAGAATCATATCAGATTTTCCTCAATTCTAAAACTCTATAATCTCTCACATAAACATGGGATTGTACACATTGTGGAAACTACAAGGTATCCAAGCAGTGGCTTAGCCAGGATTTCGTTTAAGGTGGGTACACCTCGAAAAAAATAAATATGATAAAATAGTTTTTTAATATAATCTTACGTTGAAAACTTTTGATAAATTAAAATACATTAGCCGTCCAAAATATCAAGAATATCACTCTACATATATACCAAACAATCGTTGATTTAGTTAGTCGTAGTGTTTCAAATGGTGTTCTTTGTTAAGAACCGTTAGTATCAATACCTAGAGGTTTAATAATAAATCTTATACCAACCAATAATTCATGATTTACCTAGTCGTTCGCTTTTGAATGATGTTCTTAAAAAAATATTTAGTATCAATAAATCGAGTTGTTGGAAGATTTCAATAATATATTATACCATTTACTACCATGCTCCCTTATAAGAAAGTCAACTTATACGAAATTGATGTTTGCACAAATTTGTATACCGTATGCTTAAGAAATGAGGTCGCCAAGACTCAAACACAAAACTTTTCGAACAACTATTCTCAATTAAACGCGACCTAGTTTTCAATATCAATTAACTATCGTACCTAATTTAACCCACCCTCTCCCTCATCCAAGCCATTAACGGGTTTCAATGCCAAACAACAAAACAAAACCCACGTACTGAGGTTTTCTTGAAGCAGTATTGCGGTTGGAATAATGAATGGAAATCACGATCGAGAACAAGTGGAATTTCAAAAACAACTTGTTTGGAACGTGACAAAAGAATCTTTGCTTGGTTCCACTCAATGGAGCTGGGGTTACCAGATATTTTATACTCATTGATTTGTTACAAGTTTTATATGTATCTGTATTTGATAGATTAAAGTTGATGGACACAAACCATTCTGTTAAGAATTTATTAATTTCGATAACTCAATTAGTTGGAAGAGATTGTAGAAAAAGAGGGACTAGCAAGCCTGTAATTCTCCATTAAACCTAGAAAGTTGTTGGGTGCACACTCAATGGCGGACCCAGACTTGTAATTAAGGGTATTCAACCATAGATCAAAATTATTAAGGGTTGTCAAATAATCTTACATTTGAATACTATATATAATCACTAAAACAAAATTTTACAGTGATTTTGGTTTTCCAAATTGGATTCAAGGTTTGTCAATTGACAACCCTTTCACCCACTTGGGTCCGCCCATGGGTGCACTAGTTGCAAATGTTGAAACTTAATTAGTAATGGATGTAACCTAGCTAGGTGGATGCGTAATCAAAGAACAGTGCATATATAATCCTATTATCAGTCTTCTTTGCGTCTTCGTGAAGCAACTTACTTGCATGCAAATTTCTTCAGTAATAGGGTTGACTCACTGCATTTCAAAGTCTTTCACGATATGGTAAATCAATGCAACGACAATATTATGACTAACTAGAGTGATTTCGTTTTCCTTGCTTTCTTAGTCACCCTTTGTTTTCTCTACTCCTCCATTCCCTTTTGTTCAACAACATTTTCCTCTCTATAGATAAGGGTGGCAGTCTCATTTGGAAATTGGAGTATGAAATATCATGGAATCTGCACTTTGATTGATACTTCCAATTATCAAAAGTTGGGTTTTCGGTTTTATTCGAAACTCAAATCGATAAGAAGTTTGATAGTTTTGGTTTTAGAATTTAAAATCGTTTTAACATTTTAACGGTTTTTGGTTTCGATCAAAACCAAAAGATCGATGAGAAATTAACAACATGCATTATCTCCAACTTATGTATTTGTACTATACTATTTCCTGTATATCTTCATGCTTCTTGTTGTCTTTTCTGGCTCCATTTTCGCACTTCCCAAATTATGAGTTTGGTTTTTGGGTTTATCAAAACCAAACCTAAACCGTTAAGTGACTTATCGAGTTTCGGTTAATCAATAATCGATAAGGTTCCACAACAGTACTTCTATGACCGCTACATATATTGATTCAATTCGATATTCCAAAGGTTCCACAACAGTACTTCTATGACCGCTACATATATTGATTCAATTCGATATTCCAAAGGTTCCACAACAGTACTTCTATGACCTACAGATTCAATTCAATATTCCAAAGATTACATCATCAATTTCAGTTCATCAAAGACAACAGAGAGACCCACATGACCAAAATTATTTAATCTTCTTTGTCTCATTATCTGCAAGGCTCCAAAGCTTATCCTAATTGTAATTGGGGAAGGAAGGAAAAAAATGGCATCGTACTGTGAATCTGTGATTCCGGAAATAGTCGATGCATTCTTCTGATGTAACTCGATCGACTACGTTGAATTTGAATACTAGCTTGATAGGAGAAATCTTCCACAAAGTAATTCTTCTATGTATGATGTGCCCTAAGTCATCGATTTAATTGTTTCCACATATTACTATCATTTGAATGCAAAATCAAATAAACCCCATTTACCAGAATCGATAAATTTATTAGCGAACTTAACATGATGGTTATACCTCTCATCGTTCGCTCCACCTCATGGGTATAAATAAGAAGAAGGGCTGACATAAACTAAAGAAAATATATAGTTTTTTACATTTCTAGTGACTTTATATGAATCTAAATTACTTATTGTTTTGTATAAATGAATTCTATCAATTTTTGAGGAATTTATATTTGAATTTATTGATTTATTTGACTACGAATGGTCTATAAAAACAAGTTCTACCAAAAAAAATATATAAGTTATGTAAAAATGAAATTTTAAGGTCAGATTAGCCATGGTTACATATTGCTTTACTAAGATCAAGCGTGAAAGTGCTAGAATTCTAAGTGATTTTGGTTTTTTGGTTCCCCGCAAGTGGATTTTGTTCCAATAAGGAGTATGTCAAAATTTCTTTTTTGTAAATTTTATTATTTTAATTAGATAGTTTGTAAATTTTTTTTATATAGATAGTAATAATTAATTAAGACGATAATATTATATATCTTATTTTAACTTGACATAGCTCGTGAGGCACGTGATCAGTAGGTTGCTTGTTAAGCTCAACTCGTGCGCTCTCTTAACATGTGAGATATACATTTTAATAAGCCTATAAATTATCAACAAGCCAAGTCATATGATATAAAACATTTTTCTCATAAGCCGATAGTGAAGTTGACTTACTGATTTCAATTTTGAGACATGTCACGAGTTCAATTGAACTCTCTTATTTTTGTTTAGCACAACTAGGTGTATTAGGATTCGTAGCCCATGCATGCAGAGACGTAGCTAGCTAGTTGCCGTGTTATGAGCCTAGGGTTGTCCCTATGTATACATTATTGCACTCTAACCGAGTGTGAGAGAAACTCAACCCGAATAAGAGATTTCTTACATCAATCGACGGTAGTATTGGAACCGCGTAAATTAGGGATGATAATTTGAACTCACGTCTTACCGGGCATTACATAACCTGACTCGTGATGAAATGTGTATTACTTGACCCGTAGTAGCGTGGAGCGGAGTATGGATATTTACTTCCGACTCCATGCCCTGTCTCGCCCTGCCGATTTCTTGGTCAGGGTTGTAATGATCTGTGAAAGAATCGGTATACGTGCCAAAAACATTTGATTGGAATAGAGCCACTAAATGAGTAAATATGATATAGGCTCTTTTTTTCTCTTTAATTTCCACTCTTTTTCATTCGGTGCCAACTTGTTGATTGTAATGTCATGGACAACACATGTTTGGAAGTAGCTTCCCTACTATAAGCGTCGGTGTTCACGTTATTATTATTTTCTTTTACGAGGTGAATTTGTATCTATAACGTTATCTTACAAATAATTTGTATTTATACATTTTCGTATAAATTTAATTATTGTACAAATAGAACTTGTACTTTAATGTTATGGTACAAATTTAATTGTTGTCCATAATTTTCGTAAGAATTCCTTCATGTTACAAATTATACTTGTATCTTCACAATTACTATACAAATTCAAATTGTACTTAGAAGTATCATACAAATAATTAAAATTAATTTAACTACATGTCTACATTATTTACATAAAATATTAATTATAATAAATAATATCAATACAATTTTAATCGTGACTTCATAATTTAAATCCAAATTTCAATGCATCATATAAAGAATAATCAAACTTATTCATCCAATTTTAATGCATCAAATACAAGGACCACAAGATCATCATTGTTCACAAACATCAAACAAAAAAGATCACTAGAGTCTGAAGTTCCCTCTGTCAACTGCAAAGGTGAGTTCGAGAGAGGGTGACTTTCGGCTTATGACTCTTAATCACATTTGAGACTCTTGGTGACAGGTTGTTTGCAATAGGTGGGAACTAGGATGTTTGGAATTGCTACTTTAGTTGATTTTGAACATTGGAACTTTCCCCTTAGTCAAAGGTCCAAACCAAGTGGTTATACTAGTAGGAGGTTATCGGTTAACCTCCAACCAATTAGTCGGTTAGCGGCTAACCACTAAACAAAATACTGCTAACGAAACCGAATCAATAAGAAATTATCGGTTGACCACTAATCCTCTGTATTGGTTCGGTTAGGCTTAAAATAGATAATCGACTAATCGTTTACCACCTCTATTGGTGCAGAATGGACTCAGGTCGAATCCGTGATCTTTAGCCTTCGAAATCCAAGGAAAATAACCTTTAAAAAAAATTAAGAAAATGCCCTTCTAAAAAGATTTGCCAAAATCTGCACTTAATACACTTCATCATCGGTGAAGAATAGCTTCAAGGCGAATCCATAATCTTTAACTGAAAATTACATTTCGAAAAAATTACATTGTCGATTTCCCAACCCGTTTTAAGTTTTAAGATTTCCCATGACCACGTAATGGCTACACGACGGAGATAATAAGCATTCGTCGGCCGGCAATGGCGGCATCTTTGAGGGAAAGGCGTTGTTTTGGAATCAACAACGTACAATTAGTAGGTAGTAAATGTCGGATGTTTTTGTTTTGTTTTGGACTTTTTAGTGCTTTGCCAACTCTTAGTTAGCAATTATTGAGGTTGTAATGAATCCGTGAAAGAATCTATACGCGCTAAAGCGTTTGCTTGCACTAGCGCCGCGGTGAATACGATAACCTTAACTTCAACTCTTTTTGGGTCGGTGCCAAGTTGTTGATTGTAATGTCATGGAGATCCTAACTAATGTATTCTTCTTTCATTATAGATTTCATATACAAATGAATTGGAGTTGTTGGGGGGGAGAGTCGACTCTCGAGTAAGGATCTTATATCACTTCATCAGACGTTTCATTAGATGAAACTCAATTTATAGATTTGAAGTTTACATAGAATCATCACACTGTTTGATAAGATTAACTGAAAAAAAAAACAATGAATGCGGTGAAGATATGAGTTCGAGATCTCTTGACCAAACTACGGTATGATATCATATGAAGAATCTTCAGATAATTCGAGCTGTTCGAAAGTGACCCAAATATAAAGATTGCACCAACTCCTTCTACCACATACTAATTGAACATAAATGTTGTCCTAATAAGCTCTTTTGTGAATTCCCATCTTAGGAAATAGACTGTTTATTGGTACTTCTCAAAAATTAATAAACCGCGAAAGAGGTCCAGACCCCGTTGGTAGGGAGATGGATTGGCACATGAAAGATCATGTGTTTTTTTATTTCCCTTCATCCATTGGTGCTTCGTGCACTTTGAATAACACCGTTGTTTGTTTCGTATATTTCATGATGAAGTTTGTTAATAAGATTTGTATGTATGAAGTGAAATTAACTTTTATCGTCCTCAATGGTATGAGAAGGTGAAGGAAACACAGAGGGGTAGTTTGGTCACAAATCATGGACTTCACCTTAAAAGATTATGTGATTTTCAAATATGTATGATCCACGAAAACTCTCTCGTTCCATTGTTTGTGCCCCTAAACACATCAAACAAACAAAGTAATTTAGACAAAGTACATGATCCTAATTCATCAAGCAACAACCCTGAGTGAATAACTAGAGAAAGTTTATTGGGTTAGGGATGTCATATGAGCAATTAATAATTGGATTTCAGCTCCATCAATCTTGCCATATAGGAAAGCCCAACTACAACTTCGTAAATTTTTCCACATTCCTACACGGGCCTGCAGATTCCCAAATCCATGAATGAAACTCTCTTTTCTACTATAATTTGAATTTTTACAACGTACAAGATCAATTATAGTTAACAAAATTTACAAAAAAATGGCATTAATGTATTTTGGAACATAAAAAAAACACGTAAGTTTACTGGTTCTATATTATTGTAACACAAAAATTATATCACCCTGATATTAAAAAAAAAAAAAACTATACTTTGATAGTAAAAAAATTAAACAATGGTAAGAATATATATCATATTGGTATGAACTATAATGTAGTATGTGGTAGTACATGAAAATATTATAGCTTTGTGGACGTTACAGTGTAGTTGGGCACGTGGTATGAGAGAAAACTATAATTTTCAACCACACTTAATCATATGCTTAAGACTCCCCATGGACCAGTAATTTATAACGCCAACTTAATTCTAATTAGTTCCTTCGATCAACGCGGCAAAAATTACTTTTATTGATTGGTTTGAGAAGAATTGAATACCCCGCAGAATCACGATCCTTACAGGAGACAGTAAAATCCAACTCTGGGATGTTTTTAGCCAAGCAGCCCGTCTAGCTCAGTTGGTAGAGCGCAAGGCTCTTAACCTTGTGGTCGTGGGTTCGAGCCCCACGGTGGGCGATTGCATTTTTTTATGCTCAATGATTTTTTTTTTTCCGCCTTCCCATCTTCCCTTCAATCGTTTTTGCTTCCCTAACTTAACTAAGCGAAGAACAAGATCCAGATGCCAGCCCGAAATCGCACCAAAAAAACACATCTTTACCATATATTACACCAATACATAAACTTCAACAACAGGAACTTTTTTTTTTGGGGTGGTGGAATCTTCAGGAACAGTTAATCTGAAATCCCTCCCCTGTTTTTTTCTCGTTTCCATGGCTGTTCTACTCTACATTTACAAACTCATAAACCCAGAAGATGAAAACCCAACAAAAAAGGGAGAATGATTTTTAATAATTTTTATAGAAAGATCAGGCCGAAAAGTATCCAGTAGAAGCAGCTAGGCTAATCTGTGACTTGGGCTCTATAGCGACCTTCTTGTTCTTCACAAGCTCCACCATCTTGCTCCTCAAGCTTCCAGCAGCAGCAGCAGCAGTGGATTCCCAGTTCGCATTGATCTCCACCAGACGAGCACAATCAACTTTCCTCTCCGAAGCAGCAGCAGAAACCGAACTCCTTCTCTCCCGATTCAATCTCCTCTCGTACTCTTCCGCCACCAGAATCGCAATATCCGCCATCGCTCCTTGACACACTGTTTTTTTCCCCCCCTCCTTCCTCTGTTTCCTCCTTTCCTCTGTTCCTTCTTACGAAACTCGGTCAAACCCAGAATTTGAATTCTGATGGGAACCCAAAAGTTTGATTTCGGAATGGCTTAGGAAAGATCGTTGCTTTTTTGTTGTGACTTGGGAAGGAAGGTGGAAGTATTTATAGTTGTTGAATTAAGGAATATTCTTCAAGTTTTTTGGGGAAGAAGTTTTCGGGGTTTGGTTCTGGATAAGGCTGGTGACTGTCAGCAAGGTGGTGATTCGAATGATTGATTTGTTTAATCTCTAATTGATTCGAGGACGGTTTTATTGTATTTAAAAAAAATTCAGGGGGGGATTGAGCTGTCGGGTTTCTGGGAAATAGTGGGGAGGCTGCATGTTCATCAGCTTTTTCTTTAAATCCAAGTCCTGAAGCCATCCGGTTTTCTTTACCATGGGACGTTGAAAACATCTGTGGCAGGCAGCTGCACGTTGCTTCCCATTTGCCAATACCGCGGCATGAATAGAATATTATAGGTTAAGCAATAAGCATTCGTTGAGAAAAAGCTTTGATAAAGCATTCGTTAAGCTTTCAATAATGTCTTCTTTTAGAAGTGGGGATATGCATTTAAATCAACTTTGTTATGGTGTTCACATTCCGGTTGTGAAAACGTGCTTACAGGAACAAACCAACTAGATCTAATCAATCAGGGGCTAAACAAGCTTTGATTAACCTAAGTGGTCGTTGAATGGAGCTTGATTAAGTTTCGAACTCGAGGCTTTTTTGAATGAAATGAAATTCTAGACTCTCAACCAACTCAACTACGCCATGTGCAAATTGTACATTGGTTCTATCCGAATCGGAAATGAAAATTTATTTGGTTCGACTTAGTCCACTATTTTAGCAAATGCAGAGGGTTTATAACGAACGTTTGTTAAACCAAATTATTAGTATAAGTCTTTTTCTTTATCTCAAATCAAATGATTGATAGAACATGTCCACATGCATTGTTTTCTGCAGCCACATCCAAATGAAACCAACACACCAGAAAGATGTTACCAAACTGCAATCACAAGAACACCCCTAATGCATTGATTGAACCATATGACCAGATTCTAGGGGCCAGGAGTCGGCTGCCAAGCTTCATCATGTCATCCACATGGATGATCTCTCGCCACACCCAATTTCGACTTCTGGAAACAAATCGAACCATTTCGGGCACCAAAGGCGCTTCAGGGAAACCATGTTATCAGTCATCAGATATGTTCTGAAATGTTGCTGCAAGCAGGAAAATGAGTCTCCTCCAAACTCAAGGCGTGACCTTTTCCCCCATTTCCTAGAGAATGATAACCACACATAACTTAATGTTACACAAATGGTACCGTCTCGATTCTGGTCTCGTTTCGTCAACTTTCACTGGTTACAGATATGAATAGGTGGGTCTTTTGTTAACTTCCGTTCATCGGATTAATGCAGAGTTCCTGTACTTACTCCAGAAGGCTTACAGTAGTAGTAGTAGGTAGCGACCGACCTATCAAAACAGCCAGTCCAGTCCATCATCGTTCCCTCTCTCTACATTGATGATGTTTTGTTACAGCACGATCAGTGGCGCACGATTATCTGCCTCCCGTCGATTGTTAATGTTCTCATAGGAGGCCGAGGTTTTTCAGTTGCTGGACATGTTCCGATGGAAGGGGCGGAGGGGTCCAATCAGAACTGGTCATCTCTCCATCTACATCCTCGACCACATACTCCTGAGAGCAGCATATAGCATATGTCACATGAAAGTATTAGTGCCATGAGCCATGAAAATACAAAACGAGAGTAACAGTTAACATCCCTATGAGCAAAGATGCTTCGGTACACAAAACTATGGATGAAACGTTTCAAGTCAAGTGGCAAACTACTCTATCAGATTCGATCAATTGGATATTGAAGTCCACTTCTCCAATTCGAGCAGAAAACAATGAACCAACTACATGGATGCAAACTACTAATACAGCGATATCATGGACACGGGATCTTTGTTATTCTACATGTTCCTTACTCCAGAATCACGGTAACCTTTTACAGCTACAGGTCATAGTCAATGGCTTTTAGAAACCTCCTTAAGAGGTTAACAGTTAAGAGTTTTGGGGCTGCTCCAGAAACTTCCATTATATTTTGGGATGTCATAATGGAATCCCAAGAATCAGCAGGGTAATATTGTTGTTCCTTACGGAAGTAGGGTCACACAAATTACTGATTTGATTGTTTGTTCCATAGTAATTTGCACGGCAAAATTACCTAGGAGAAACAAAGGCAGATAGAGCTACTAACCTTTGTCAGCATCCGTTTGGCAAGTATATGATAGTGACGCTGCCAAATCCGTTGCCCTACCATCGTGGCCACCAAGACGCTGTAGAATATTCCAATGACAGTGAACAGTCCAAGCACAATCAAAGCCATTATAAACAATAAAGGTAGCCCTGCTTCACCAGCACCCCCTAAGCAACCACATTCTCCAGCAGCAGTGGCACAGCTTTCGAAGCATGTGGTACAGTCCGTCCACATACAAAGAGTACCGGGCAAATGACAGTCCGCACACATTCTGCAACAGTAAGAAAAAGCAACCGGTAAATACTACAAAAAATCATAGGCTTATATTAGCCAACTAAAAGTCTAAGATCTCGAAAGGTTTATACGACCAGATGTAATTAGCACAAAATCCTGTCATGAAGTCACATGGTTACACCACCTACACTCCTACTATGTCACTGCATATTACTAGTGATGCAACCATTTGTCATATTGATTTCTCATTCCACAATAACTTAGATTTCAACTGCTTCCATCCCGTGTAACATACGGTCCTAACAAAAGTTTAGCACAGTCCATTCCTAAGCAAAAAGAGCACTATGTGTGGCCATGCTACTCAACACAAAGTCCAAATATTGCTTTTATGTTGTATATTATTTCCAGGTTACAGGTAAAAGAATGTGAGTCTGAAAATACAGTATCCTCCTAACCAAGGAAGGACTGGAAAAAGAAATAAAATCTAGGATGTTCAAACAGACTCGAAAGTGAAATGGATGCTGTGGAAAATACAAATAAAAGTATGCACCTACTCAAATCTGTCCTTCCAAAATATTACTAGCCAGATTGTAAAAGGCACTTTAATGAGGTAAATGGATCAACCATAAGGTATTTTGTTAGAACCATATGATAAAAAGGAAAGGATGTACAACTTCAATAAAACTATACCAGAGGAGTGCTACAATATTTTGATAATCAATGAAATCTTTTTATTAACAACTACAAGTCAGGACAAAGAACATTTTATTAAGTTTCAAACAAGTAATTGTGCATTCAATCACTAAGCTGTCAGTTTCTCCAATGTTTCACTAGTTTCAAAATTTTCAAAAGTTTTTCCAAATTTCTCAACACAGATAAGAAAATCAAGGACATGTTAAAAACAATTCTAGTGGTAATACCACTGGTCCTGAACCTGGAGGCCAAGGTTTGAATCTCTTGAGTAACACCTAACTAAAAAACCCAAACTTATATCACCCTTATAAAAAAGACATAGAAAAAACGAGACTTATGATATGTTTAAAGCCTAAAAAAAATAATATTGACATCTAAAAATTAGATAGCATTTAGTATTGAAGTTGTCCCAGAAGTAAACATTCTTTAATCAACTATCAGCACGCCTTTCCTCCCTTGCAAACAACCAAGTAAGCTCATGAAGAGTCTTCATTGCAAAACAAGACAGTAAATTTTTAATACCGAAAATGAGCAATTACTTTATTAGGGATAATCAAATCTCCTGCATCGTCTTTCACAAGAAAAAACATACACGTACCCTGGATGACAACAACAAAGACACAACTCTCGGCATGGCTGGGCCAAGTCATTGCGCACTCTCCGGTCATAGCAAGTAATAAAGCACCCTGACAGACCCAGCAAGGCAAAGAACAACAGTGCCCCTGTACATTAAGATTTTACAGTCAATATAAGCTGAGAAGAAAAAGCTTTAGTCATTAAAACTATTCAGATTGCAGATACTACAGATTGACGCGGGAATAAACTAGACAGGCATATGTCAGGTATAGGAAAACATGAACAGATTTTATATGAAGGAAGTTATGGTAATGATGCTAAAGTCCGACCAAATTTGAGAGCAGGACAAGCAACTCAAGAAGTGCAAGCCAATTTTGGATTTGATTTTTATCTGAAGGGTATTATGATACTGATAGTACCATATCCGAAAGTTGACTATTGGGGTTATACCACATATGTAGTAGAAACTAATTCCGCTGTCAAATCTCCATGTATGACGTAGCCATGACTGCTGAGAGCTGTCAATTAGATAAACCAAATAAGCCAGTGACGAGATTACCTGCAAGGACATAAAATATATCAGAACAAAAATATATTTAGATACAAAAAGCAGAAATACACAGCAACGTCAACACACAGAAGTGTAGAATGAGCACAGAATGAAAACCTACAAGTTGAACTGTCAGAAATATAAAAGCAATATCCCTTGTCACAAAGAATCGGAACTTCATGGTTCTCCATTTCCTATCTGCAGCAACATGAACCCTCAGATGGTATGGCGCCTTGCAAGTCGTGCAGTGTGCAAATGCAAAACCTTCCTGCAACAGTGAAACAGAAATGACAAGTCAATTAACAACTAAACACTATCTTCCAAACCAAGTAAACACATGAAGTAAACCACTTACTTGGAAAGAGAAAAGAAAAGCAAAGACTTTCCTCATTCCTTATCAAACACAAAGTGTGTGCAGACACTAGAACTAAATGTGTATACTGCACTAATTGAAGGTGGTGATGAAAATTAATGAATTAAACATGACTAACTATTCCAACACTTGTATTTCTCTAGAAATTGTTCACTAACGCCTACATATCAACCACTTATGCACTCTCTGTAGCATGCTATCGACGAGCAAGTAAGAGCTCAAATGAGAGAACAGTAGCATCCCTCACCTTTATGGCCCGCCAATGATCCAAACATTCTCGATGTACATACTTTGATGTTCCTTTGCACTTGCATGGTGCAATAAAATCCCTGCCTGTCAATACCCAGACAAGAATTAAGTCACAATGTAACCAATACAAAGTATCACCGCACCACCATAATCCAAACATTCCTTCAAGTATCGTAAGAAATGCAATGTCAACAAAAGAATCAAAGAAAGCAAGTCCCTTTATCTCCTTCAACTCTCAGGTGATGCCCTTCCTTACTCTCCATTGTCACAGATTCGAACAAAATAAAAAATGATCATTGATGGCTTACAAAAGAATAGGCTTAGCAAGGACCACAACTGAAAACAACACATTCAGTGGTACAAAATAGGAACTTGATTCAAACCCACATTTGCATTTTCCGACACGGAATGCAATTAGAAAGAAAATTGAGCTACAAAATCTCCACACTTGACGAACTCGTGATTTCCCCAGAAACCAAACAGAGGTAGAAACGAGCAGAAGTAAGAAACAAAGTGCCCAAGCGAGAGGATGAACTAATTAAAGTAAGCCAAGCAGAGATGGAGTGGTTTTAGTAGAACAAAGAAGAGAAATACCGTCAGTTTCGAGGCAAATCCGGCACTGAATTTGGTCGCCAGGGCCGGCTTCGAGGTCGATCTCGGAGGCGTCGGTGATCGGCGTAGGAGGGACGAGCGGCGAAGGGTCAGCATGATCGGCCATAATCAGGAGATGAAGAATTAGAAGAAAACCCCGCTCCTCCAATTTGGAGGAACCGATCGAGGAATTACTCACACAAATGGCGGAAATTTGGGGGTTTTCTACGGAGTGGGAATTGGTGCCTCCATGGCAACAAAAGATGGAGAATCGAGAAGAGAGTAAGAAAGTGAAGACGAATTGGTGACACAGACTGTAGGTTTTTGAGGTTGGTTTCCCTTTTCAGGTTCTTCACTTCTTCTTCTTCTCCTACTTTTCTCCCTCTCTGTCTCTCCAGTCTCCACTAACTTGTTCTCTCCATCGTTTTTACTTTTTGGGTTTTCACTTTTCAGTGGTTTCTTTACCCGAGTCGTAGCGGGTTAGCAATCAAGTTTGTATAATTTTGGTATAATTTAGGTCGGTAATGTAACTATGAAGTGAACTAATATGAGTTTAGTTAGTGTAATTGTATAACGATTTTTTTTTCATTTAGATAATGAATTTTACTCTTTTTTTTTTTATATGAGTTCATACGCATAGTTTTTCTTGGATATCAAATGAGGTTTATTTATCTTTTTGTCATAGAAGAACAAAAGGTTGATGGGTTACCCAAGTCCAAATTTTTCCTTCCTTCTTGTTAGATGAGACTCTTCAAATGTGAGAAAAAGTGAAAAACCCCTCTACTTGCACTTTGATAATTGATTATGTTCTATAAATTTTGGTATGTTGAACGATCGTACATGAGTTTCCAAGACTTCACTATGACGAGTTTCAAGCATATTTGACTTCACACGTTATTCTCAAGTTCTACCGAGTGTCGGAGACCCCCAATTGCCATGTTCGAGTTTGGAAAGTATGAACCAGACTACTATTTGGATATGAAAAGTGAAAGCTAATCCCTACAAGCGAGATGAATTCATTCATACGGATGATATGTTTACACCAGTTGATGATTCTTAATTAACTTTTTTATGTGCGAAGCTCATATTTTTCGCGCACTTTTATCGGATGTCCTCGAAGGGGCTAAGGTCTTTTTCTATCGTCCCTCTCTTATTTCCCTGTAAAAGCCAAAACAAACCAACCAAACCATCTGCAGAAGATCTACTGCTTCTGCAACTTAATTTTAAGAACTTAACACGATAGAACAAAAAGAGGAAACCAGGCTATGAAATTTAAGCCATTTTCAACTTATTTATTCAAAAGGGGGCACACGCCGGAAGTGGTTCTGCTCTAGGTTTCTACTCTCCAGAAGAAGGGGAAATATGGAAAAAAATAACACAGATTTATTGACAAGCAGCCACCCCCTTGATGGCAGGGAACAATTATGTGAGAATCAAACACTGAGAAAAACGAAAACATCCAACCAGCCCTGGTTTTCATCACTGCACACCATCACCCGCCGCCAACCATGTGTTATGTAGCCTACCGTCGTGGACAGAATCATCCATTCCGAGACTCACGAGGATCAGGCTGCGGCAGCTTTCTTGCAGTGGTTTTCAAGCCACTCCATCGTGACACTCTTCGGCCTCTCGAGGGGCAACCCGAGAGCTCGGTCCCATATCAGCTGTGCAATAGACAAGTCCCATATCAGATAGAAAACAAAGGACCAAAAAAACGAAGAGACAAAGGAAGGATTTTGAAGCGAAAAGGAGGCGTGGAGGTGGATGAGTGTAAACCTGAGAGCAGATTCCGATACTCCTCGAGACACCAAACAGAACGGTATAGTACCTGTGACGCACAAATTCAGACAATGGTCAGCATCCATCGTTGGAGTTTTGAACAAGGGGGAAAAATGGAATGATGATGACTGCAATTACCTGGCTTCTGTTAGACCGTAGTAGTTCAACAACACTCCACTGTGGGCATCGACATTGGGCCATGGGTTCTTAACCTGAAAGTAATGAAGGCAAAAAAGGGAGTTTATTAAATCGGCTGGCTAATTGTCGTAAGTTGCTTGTGGTTTCTAATTAAGTTCGGGTAAATCGAGCACTCACCTTGCCCAGCTCGGTAAGAATTGGAGGCACAACATCGTAGAGCTTAGAAACCAGCTGGAAGAGTGGATCCTTGGGCAAATGCTTCAATGCAAACTCTCTCTGGCACATGTATCTAGGATCGGTTTTTCGCAGGACTCCATGTCCAAATCCAGGAACGACCTGTAAACGAAAAAGAGATGAAAAATATGTGGGTGGTATTTTAAATAGAAGCTACATGTTCATGCTAGTTCTGGTGATGGTAAATGGTTTATAAAAAGATTTGGAGATGCTTTTAATACCTTTCCACTGTTCAATGTCTTCCAGACGTAATCTTTTAATTGGTCTTTACTTATATTTTCGCCGCATTCCTCCACAACAGATTTGATCCATAGCAGAACTTCCTGCAAAAGCAAGGTAGGTAGCAAGGTAAATGAATATAGCAATGAAAATCAATAGAAATAGAAGCGAAAAGACTGCTGGCAGCCACAACAGGGCACGTTACCGATCAAGTACACAGTTATACACACATAACACACCTGATTTGCCAAGCCATGAAGGGGTCCAGCTAAACCGTTTAATGCAGCAGCAAATGAAAGGTAAGGATCCGAAAGTGCACTGGCAACCTGGATACAACACAATGATTGATCAGCACTAAATTGCAAAGAGAAACTCCTGTGAACAATATGGCTCAAACAAAATAAGTATTTCTAAGCCCCTTTTACACACATGTACAACTCACCAGATGACCAGTGTGTGCACTAACATTACCACCTTCATGGTCACTGTCAAGGATAAGAAGAAAATAATTGCATGAGGTCTCATGCATTTCAATCCAGCAAAAAGCATGTTAAATCAGGATCACAAACAAACCTATGGATTGTCACATAAAGCCTCATAAGCTCGTGCATTTTGGGATCATCAAATCCCAACATATGCGAGAAATTTGCACCATAATCTAGAGAATCGTCCATGGGTATGATCTTTCCATCCTTGAATATTCTGCAATACCACAGTTCAGTTAGCAAAGTTACATTTACTTTTATATAACAGCGTACAACAAGAAGCAGAGGGAGACATGAAGCTCTAGTCCACTGATAGCAAATACACGACAAAACCAACATGCATGGAAATTATGAACTGAAGCAATGTTCTCTCTAGCATTATACAAAAAGGAAAAAAGAAGAGCTATGTCACCCTCAACAGACCTTCGGTAAACATATGCAGCCACTGCTGGAAGACGAGCAATTAGATTTAGAGAATCTTCAAATGTAGGCTCCCAGTACCTGAAAATAATACCATGTAAGAAATCAGTGCTTCAAAGATCTGGATATTTGGGGATAAATAAACACTTCAAAAAGATGCCTTACTTTGATTTATGAATACCCTGGTCATATGCTTTCTGAAACTCACTTTGGACCTGGAAGAGACCATTTGGGAATGTCATCAACCTCAAGGATAAGAAGGTAAAGTGTCACGATTATCTACGATTACTTTCTTCAATATTACTTTAAATCACTTTAAATATTTATATGAATGGTTATTTAGGTAACCCCATCTGAAGAAGAGACCAATCAAGGAAAAGGAATGACCAAAAAGAAACTGTCAGTATCAAGAAAAAACAAGCTGCCACAACTCTCTATAGGTTTCGCCAACTTCAGTCGCTGTCCCTTTCTGCCATGCAGCCGCCACATGCCGAGTCTCAGCCAAAGAGGGATAATGTCTTCTCCAGAAATAAAAGTGGTTGCAGGGGGCTCTTACAATTCGTTTCAGAGGTCCGTACATCAATTTTTACAGCAAAAATCCCACACTCGTACAGAGTTTCTCACTTTATTACTCGAGGAAGACACCAGACGCTGAATTACCGTTTTAAGTAGACAAAAACAAACATGAAAGAACAAAAGACGAGAAACAGGCAAGGAGATAAACCTGAAGTGCCATGACACCAGTTGTAAACTGAGTCATTGGATGAGCTGAGACAGGGAGAGCATCAATGGCCTTAAATGCATAATCTGCACATACAAAAATGAAACAAAAAAAGCGATGACGCGATCAATTTGTGCTCAGGATCCTAAAGGATGAAAAACTTTCATGGATGAAATATGGTTCAGAAAACCATCTAACCTAGGAAATGAATATTTACAGTGATCAACCAAGTAAGTGTATAGGAATACAGATTGTGCTGAATATGGAAGAAAAAAACGAACAGACTACTTCTCAGAGAAGTCAAGTGCAGATATGAAAATATTGCCACAGCGATACTTCTCCAGAATGTGTAAAATGACGAGCCCCGAGGTAGAATAATGCAAAATGATAAGTTAACAACGGACCTGGGACAGCAGCACGATCTCGCAATTCCTTTGATAAGGCATTAACTTGCTCCTTGCTTGGCACCTTTAAACACAGAAGGATGAGAAAAAGAAAAGGTTGATTGAGATCAAGAAAAGAACAGGAATAGACGATCACATCCAATGCAGATGTAACTTCTTAATAGTCATGAAACTAATTCACCTTTCCCGTTAGAAGAAGCCACAGAAGACCCTCCGGTAATGGTTCTCCATCAGGCTGAGCAGCCGGTAACACCTTTTGGCATTCAGGAATTGAGAGACCTCTAAAGCGAATCCCCTGAACAGGATTTATAACATCATCAGGAGACAAACCAAAAAGTACACTCATTAACCATGAAGTACATGAAGTGGCAGATTAAGTTAGTTGACAGCAGTAGCTTCTTCAGTTTAAAAACTGAGAACAGTTTTACCTCTTCCGGATCAAGCAGTGAGGTCTCCCATAGCAATCCAACCATTCCTCGCATCCCACCAATTACCTTTCAGTTCAAGTGCACAAAAGAAAGAAATCACCTCCAGACGTCAGGAAAACTCAAAAAAAAAAAAAAGCCACAAACTAATTAATGAAAGAACCTAGAATCTCCATCTCAAACAAGAAAAGAAAGAGCCTAATAGGAACATTTACCATGTCGGTGGTGATGTTTCCCAACTGAACTTTTCCATAATCCGATCTGATCTTTTTGAGGCGCTCCTGCAATCACATTTGACAATCACATCTGAGACCAGGGAGCTCCAACAATTGATTTTTTTCACATTCAAATCATAGAAAAGAGAAACGATCATGTCTTTCATCTAGCTGGTCACAAACAAAACAACCAAGAATGGGAAATGCAACCAACCTGTTGCTCTGGGATCAACTCTTTCAACTGGGAGTGGAGGTCCTACATCCACACCAAAAAAAAAAAATCGTCAAACAAGAAATGACCAAATAGATCCGAAACAAAGAGCTCCAGGAGCTTAGATGCATGCACCGCATTTAGCAAGAACCAAAAAAGCGCCAGCACCGTTGAGATTATAAGCGCAAGGATATCACATTGTCAATCGCATTATAAACTGGAATACAAGGAGAAGGAAGAGGAGAGTTACAAGATCAGTGGAGGTCTGCATTTGAAGCCATCTTACGGAACCGAGATTATTAGGCTGCTGAACCTGACAGTAATCACCCCAGAGAGAAATATTCAACAATCACACCCTGAACAGTAAGATATAAACAGGAAAAACAACTACAATCGACAGCAAACGGAAAAACTGCTAGCTTACAGTGCGGGAACGGAGAGTGGAAGAAAGACGAGAGAGGCCTCTGAACAGCACCATGGCTGGCTTTCCACAGAAGCTCCAAATTCACTTGAAATAATCACTACCTGAAAAGCCGCAGCCATGAACAGACACAAACCAACAGTCGATTCATTCATTCACTCACTCCATCTTAATCTCGACCAAAGCGACAGCAAATCGCGACATCATACCGGAGAAACGAAATCAAATCGAGAGAAGAGAAAAATACAATCAAGAGTCCAGCTGAGCAAACAGCGGATCTCAAATCGGAGAGGATGAAATTACCTTGTTCAGCGGTGAGCGGAAGAAGCTTTCGGAAGCCGAAGGAGGAATAATATGGGGGGAGGAAAAGGGCGGAAGGATTCCGAGGGAAAGGGAGAGAGAAGCGGGTCGGGGAAGAACTCTCTTCTTCTGAGTAGCGGTGTGTTTCTTTCAGCGAGCGAACTTTGGGACAGGAAAGGGAAAATTAGAACCCGCGAGAAAAAAGGGGGAAGAAAAGAAAAAAGAAAAATCAAACCAACTTTTTTTTCATATTCCGTCGTCGTCGGTCGGCTCGTCTGAAAGGTCAGAGAAGCCGGGTCGGTAATGCATCCATAATACGGTGTCGTTTTAAATAAGCGATAGAACACTCAAAATAAAAAAGTTCCGTTGCCGGGACTTGAACCCGGGTCTTTCGGGTGAGAGCCGAATATCCTGACCAACTAGACTACAACGGATTAGTGTTATTATTTCGTAATATACCTTTATTATTGTTTTTTTTATTCTGGGAGGTTCAATAGTCTAACAATAGAAATGGGACGGAAAAAATCCAAAAGTACCACTGTTTAAAAAAAGAATTCCAAAAATACCACCCAACCCCAAAAAATTCCAAAAATACCATCTTTTTCAAAAACCGCCACCCCACCTTGCGGTTTACACGAAAACCGCTGGGCGGGGGCGCGGTTTTCTATGCAAACCACTGGGCTAAGGGACGGTTATAAAAACCTATAAAAACCGCTGGGTGGGGCGGCGGTTTTGGGCCAAACCGCCACCCCACCAAGCGGTTTGGTCCAATTTTTTTTTTCGATCAATTCCTAACTTCGGTCGAAACATCAAACGAACGTAACTTTGTACTCGGCTATCCGATCGTAGCAATTTTTTTTTTTAATCCGAATAACTTTTCGAGATCTACAACTTTTACTAGGATGAAATTTTCAAAACAGGAATTAGTTGTGGATATATGCACCCCGCCCAGCGATTTTCGTGTAAACCGCAGGGTGGGGTGGCGGTTTTTGAAAAAAGGTGGTATTTTTAGAATTTTTTGGGGTTGGATGGTATTTTTGGAATTTTTTTTTTAAACAGTGATATTTCTGGAAAAATCCTGCGACGTGGTACAGCTTAGAAGGCAGAAGAGTAAATGATCTTTGTGCAACAAGTTTTATTTGATCATCAACAGTTACAAACAAAGTAACAAGCTGAGGCTCCCAACAACAGAAACACAACTAGGCAACGACTAAGACTTCGAGAGCTTTTTGAACACATCTTGTTCTATGGAAAGATGCCTATGACTCGAGACTAAACATTCAGTAAACAAGTAAAGCTCTCAAGGACACCTTGGGGGGATGATAGAAGTGACAGCAGCGTGATCCAAAAGAGGTGAAAGCAGCCGTGCGGATTGTATCTTCAAGATGCAGCTTGATATTCCCTAAAATCAACAGTGGTCTGTAATGAAAGAGATTTGCAGGTTCACGTTCTTGATTTCTTCCAATCACCTTCACAGCTTTGACATAGAATAGTCCAATGCGTCGACAAGGAAGTCTATGCATACACAAAAAGGGGGAGAAAACAGTCATTGCATGCAAGGCTTTGATATTGGTCATATAGACATGAATCAGTGATCAGGTTGTCAGTCTTGTTAGATAGATAGAGAGAGAGAGAGAGAGAGAGAGGAAGGGAATTACCAGCATCATCTTTGGAGAAACACATAGGTGGTTTTATTCGAAAGACGTTTCCGTGGAGCCCTCCTTTCCCAACTAGAATACCGAGCTCTGCAGATGGCAAGGATATATGATGAGTTGCTAATAAACCAGATTGAAGAGAACTACTAGCAATGTGCTCTATTAGTTTACCTCGGAGCTGCTCGAATAAGACTGCTGTTTCAGCTTTGGCAGGGGTCTTCTCCTTCCTGTCAGTCACTAGCTCTACACCCACCATCAACCCTCTGCCTCTAACATCTCCAATGACTGAAACCAGATTGGACATTTAACTACAAGATTCATTCATCCCTTAACGACCCAGAATCCATCACCAAAGGTAAGGAAGAAATAAGAAGTTTCATCTTATTCTCAGAATATCTAAATGTATCAATTCATATTTGCCTGCTTGGCCATTTATGCAGCAAATGGAAGACCAACGGCTAGATGAGAGCTTCTCATGGAGCTTTTCTCATGGATTAATACCCTAGGGATATCAGGAGATGTTACAAGCCAAGCAGACACTTTTCATAACGTTGTATGTGGTTTGGTTATAGAGCCACCATCGGCTGTGCATTAGCAAAACATCTGATATGCAAGCACAGAAATTAATCTTCACATGGGATGAAAGTAAAGTTGGAAAGAAAATTACTTTCATATTTTTCCTTTAGATCTCTCAAACGTCCAATTAGGTGAGTGCCAACTTGGGCACAATGTTGTTGACGCTTCTCTTTGTCAAGAACTCTCAAGACAGCAAGTCCACCAGCAGAGCAAACCGGGTTGCCACCAAAAGTGTTGAACTGGATTTTCTGAGACATCACACTAGCTATTTCTGGTGTTGTCACCACTGCTCCTAGTGGTAAACCATTGCCAATGCCCTGAGATGAATTACACGGTAAAAAAAAAAGGGCACCATTGAAAGAACAGCGCTGACAATTTAGTGAAGAATCTCTTTTGAATTTGGTTACCTTTGCCATTGTAACTATGTCAGGGATGACACCTTGTGTTTCGAATCCCCAATAGTGGCTTCCTGTTCGTCCAAACCCGGTTTGAACTTCATCAGCAATACATACCCCACCAGCCTTTCGAACAGTATCATATACCGTCTTCAAGTACCCGGGGGCCAATTCAACTGCTCCTCCAACTCCCTACATTCGGCAATTTCTCGCACAAGCTAAGTCAATAATTTGATACATACTACTTTAGTATCTCAACTCATGTAAGCCACGAGTACCAACCTGAATTGTCTCGGCTATAAATCCCGCAACTCTTCCTGAAGTGCCATAAGCAATGTGGTCTTCTACATCTTTGGCATAACCAGCCGCATCAGAACCAAAGATCCCTCGGTATGGATCGGGGTTCATGACATGATGGATTTCACCCTGCAGCAAGATGATCATTTAACTACTAAGCAACTATCAAATTATAGAGCTTGGAATTAAAGCTGAAGCGTTCAGAAGTTCTAGCTGAAACTACCTGTGGTATGGGGTACTTCCATGTGTTCAGAGCCGTAAGGCCAATAGTATTCGAGCTTCCACCATGATAACCATTTCTCAAAGATATCATTTCAAGATTACCAGTGTACAACCTAGCCATCATCATCGCCAGTTCATTTGCCTCGGACCCAGAATTCACAAAATACACAACCTGAATGCAGCCATTACAAAATCAATTTCACAGCAAAGCCAAAACCATCATCACTCACTCTAACTACTACATATCAACTAGTTAATCAAAACCCATATGCAGGAACCACAATCAGACCATAACCATTCAGAGAAATTAATGAGAAAGTAAAGAACCTTAAGGTTGCCGGGCATCTTCTCCGCCAAACCCTCGGCAAAATCAGCAATCGCGTGGTGCAGGTAAATGGTGGTCGCATGCTGCAGAAGCTCACTCTGCTCAACAATGTCTTTCAAAATCTCCGGGTGGCAATGGCCAGCAGAAACAGTCACAATCCCGGCAAAAGCATCCAAATAGCGCTTCCCATTCTCATCAAACAGATATTGCATCTTGCCCTCCACTATATTCAACTAGAGAAAAAGATACAAAGAAACAAACAAGCAATCCACTCAGCAAAAACCCAACAAGGGGGGAAATAGGAAAAATCGAGATGATTTCTGGACGAGACCTTACAGGTTTCTGATAGTAGTAGAACAGAGAAGGACCCAGATAAGTCTTGCGCTTCTGGAGCACTTCCTCGGCGGAAGGACCCTTGTAGGGCTTGGGCCGGTGATCGAACGGCGGGAGCTGCGGCGGCGCGTCGGCGGTGGCCGCGGAAAGGGAAGGAGACGCGGTGGACAAGCAGCGGCCGCCGGCGCGAGCGAGTTGTGCGAAGCTGTTTCGTTGGGCATTTTGCAAAGTAGCCCTGATGATTTGCCTGCGGAACGCCATTGTTTCACGTCGAGATTCGAACGGAGAGAGAGAGTGTGTGTGTGGAGAAGTGGGGGAGAGTTGGTGGAGATTATGGAGAAAGGGATAGGGATTGAGCGTGGCAGCACGAAGGGAAGTAGTTAGTTCGGAGAAATGATAGAGTGAGCTGACATGGAATGAAAATGGCGTCTTCGAAAAAGGTTAAGACGATGGAAACAAGCAAACGTTACGTTTTCTGATTCTCCTCGGCCCTCGCTTTGTAATCTAGCGATAAAAAAGATTCCCGCATCAACTTTCCTTTTCATACCCGTTTTAATTGCGAACTCAAAAAATTCGCTCAATATTAGATTTAATTATATTCTATTAAATAACGCTTATTTTGATATATTTAGAGAAACAATATTAATCAGAGAATTTTTTTTTATGACCGTATATTATATTGATATGAAAATGAATTATGATGATATGAATATATCATAGTAGAATAGTGGATATAGATTAAGTGAAGTTAAAAAAAAAAGGAAATGTGAAACGCTCTCTTCTCTCTCTTCGTGTGGCTGTCCGCCGTCGAATGCAAGCTGATTAGGGTTTCGACGGAGCATACCCAAGGCCTGGCAAGCAAGGAGGCTATTGTCCTGGGTGGTACTCCCTTCTCGATCTGGAGAAGGTGAGGTGAACAAGGATTCATTTAGATGGGCTCCTATAGGAGGAGGCCCGAGATTAAATCGGCGAATGGGGCAAATTGATTTGCTCGCCCGATATATCCAAATTCAAAAATCAGGGAAGATAGACCCGAATCGGGAGACCGTCCAGAGTACGGTTCTCCGCTTGGCTTCAGAATGGAGTTATATAGTGTCCCAGATGTAGATCCACCAACGAAAGCGCGGTGTCTACAGTGGTGGAAACTTTATCGGCGACCGGAGAATATTCAATCTCGACGGCGATACTTGATAGCAACTGTGGAAGCAGACCATTATGGTGATGATTGGAGAATCGATGGATGCGACTCCTCCCATGGTGGAGGGTACCAAGATGCAGAAGACACCTGTGTTGGATGAAGCGATGGAGACGACATCACCCACAGTAGAGGCGACAGGGAGGAAGGAGTCTGATGATGGGGATTCAGCTCAGGAGGTGATGGTGAAGGTTGATGAGGTAGCAACTGGGATTCAGGCCCTGGCTATGGATCAAGTCGTGGAATTCACCATGGAGGATGTGGCTGCTGGTGTTCAATGGGAAAAGATGAGTCTCTTGGGAAGATTATTCATGGAGAATCCTCCAAGCTTATCTGTGATCAGTAAGGCTGTGAATGGTGAATGGAGCTGCGCGGTGGAAGTCAGAGTTCTGGCAGCAAAACGGGGATTGTTTCAATTTTTCTTTGCGGATGAGGCTGATCGTGACTGGGTGCTGCAAAGATCTCCTTGGACAGTCAAGGAGAGGGTGTTACACTTGAAACCATGGTGTCAAATAACCAAAACGGTGGTTGATTCTTTCATCCTGGTCCCCTTTTGGGTCTAGATGTGGGGAATTCCTAACCATTGTCGTACAGTGGCTTTTGGGAAGCGAGTGGCTGGAACTAAGATTGGAAGGGTCTTGGAGGCTGGGGCATTCGCGATTCAAGGGATCCCTGGTCACTTCATCAAGACGAATGTGTTGTTGGATGTAACTCAACCTTTGCGCTCTCAAGTGTATGTGAGCAACCCTCTTGCTGGTGAATTTTGGGTAACCCTCGTCTATAAATTCCTTCCCCTACTTTGCTACCATTGTGGGAGGTTAGGGGACACGGCACCCAACTGTGCATATCCTAACCCGGTTGGCATTGAACATTACGGCCCTGAGCTGAGCACGGAGATTATTGGGTATCGCGTGGAGGAATCTGCATTTGTGCCTCTGCTGCTACGCCAACCGACTCAGTCGTCTGTTTGGGTGAATCCTCACATTGGGGGAACTACTTCAGGTGGTGGGAAGCCAAATCGAGATCGTGATGTGGAGGAGATGTCTACTGATGAAGCTGGTAATCCAGTGGTCCTTGCTCTGCCGGAAAAGGGCCCTGTGGAACATGTTCAGGGGATCAAAGGGCCCTAAATGGCGAAAGGGAGTAATATGGGTGTTGCATCGAGCTCAGGTGGACATGGAGGGCGTGGTAACGCCCATCGTGGGGCATACTCGAAGATGAAGGGGAAAGGTGGGTATGGACAGCAGCAGCAACATCCTAGGGGGAAGGTGAATCTCGAGCGGACTCGTTCACAGTACTGGCGTGGGGGAGACTCGGGCAGTGAGACTGGGTACAGGGGCGCTGATACCTTTGGTCCGCGAGCTCCAAAACAGCAGAAACAGAAAGTGGATCCAAGAAGGCCTCATAGCCACCAGTCAAATGAACCTGGGGCGCAGCTGGCAGCAGCAGGTGCTGTGAAGAAAAAGAAGAGGAATGAAGTCTTCCGCATGGTGGCTCCAGATCTTTTGGAGATAGATGAAAGGAAGAGGGCAGCGGGGGGAGGTTGCAGGGCTGCAATTTGATCCTACCCCTGTTAAGAAGAAATGTGTGCATAATGAGGTGGAGGAAACCAGCCAAAAGTGGTCCCAGATGGATAAATGAAGCTGCTTGCTTGGAACGTTAGAGGTATCGGGTCGTCTCTAACGTTTCAATCGTTATGTGGCCTGTGTCGGTCGAATAAGCCAGATGTCGTTTTCCTTTCAGAAACGAAGTCGTGCAGGCGAGTAGTTACTCGGCGGATGCGGGGTTTAGGTTTTCAAAAACTTTTTCTTGTTGATGCGTTAAATGCGTCGGGAGGGCTTGCTTTGGCTTGGGATATTGATGTCGATCTTCATGTCTTGGAGCATGACTCCTTTTTTGTGTCTTTTGGTATTGGTAATGAAAGAGATCATTTGAATTATGTGTGCGTGTGTTTATTTCTCTGCTGATTTGGATAGCAGGTGGAGTGGCTAAGGTTGTATTGTTTACAACTAAATGTGCCATATATTGTGTGTGGAGACATGAATTGTGTCCTGGATGCAAGTGAGAAGTCGGGTGGATTGCCTTGGGATCCATCCAAGTCTGCAAGTGTAAGGGATTTTATGAATACCCTTGCGTTGCAGGATGTGGGTTTAATGGGACCGCAATTCACTTGGACGAATAGACGTATGGGTCCGGCGTGTATTATGGAGAGACTGGATCGAGTTTTGGTCTCTCCTAGATGGATAGATCATTTCCTGCAAACGGTGGTGAAGCATTGTACTGATCTAGGGTCAGATCATAGAGCGTTATTGCTGGCGGACAAACCGTTTACCAGAATTTCTAAACCTTTGTTTAGGTTTGAGTCGAGGTGGGTGGAGAACCCGGAGACAAGGCTCCTGGTCAAGTATGTGTGGAACCAATCGTATACTGGGTCTCCCATGTTCATACTTTGGCAGCGGCTGAAAGCTCTTCGCCATCTGCTTTATGACTGGAGTAGGGCGGGAACGACTAACTCGGCTAGGAATATTCGAATTCTTCAGACTGAGATTGAGGCCTTGAAGGTTGGTAATGTGGTGGACTGGGAGTGCATTGGTGAATTTGAAAATGAATTATCTCAACAATGGGCGTCGGAGGAAGAGTTTTGGAGGCAGAAGTCGCGGGTCCGATGGCTGAAGAAAGGAGATCATAATTCCTCGTACTTCCATACAGTCACTCGAACAAGAAGTCGACGTAACTTCATTGAGGGATTATGTGACAATAATGGTGTCTGGGTGACTGATGAAGTTCAAAAGGGAGGGATTGCCGGGGATTTCTATGCTTCCTTGTTTTCATCAGAGAGGCAGACGACGGATTTGCCAGCCAGGATGGCGGAGCTGCCGGTGCCTCAGCGTGTCTCTGAGGAGATGAACCGGAATCTGACAGCTGAGGTGACTGCGGCTGAGATACGGAGAGCGGTGTAGTCGATTGGGGCAACCCAAGCACCAGGGTCGGATGGGTTCAATGGGCACTTCTACCGGACATACTGGGATATCGTGGGGATGGAGGTGGTGGAGGCAGTGTAGTCCTTTTTTTGATCAGGGATACTTCTGAAGAGCTTCAATCATACATGGTTGACGTTGGTTCCTAAGGTGGATGTCGTGGAGTCTATGAAGCAGATTAGACCAATTAGCCTTTGTCAATTGTTCTACAAGATTATTTCGAAAATCATGGCCGAGCGGATGACCATTATTTTGCCTTCCATTATCTCACCGGAGCATAATGGGTTTATTCGTGGCCGCCAGATTGTAGATAATGTGCTAATTGGACACGAGGTCATGCATTATCTTAAGATCAAAAAGCGGGGGAAGAAAGGCTACCAAGCTCTGAAGGTCGACATGGAAAAGGCCTATGATAGAGTAGAGTGGGATTTCTTGTTCGCTATAATGACTAAAATGGGGTTCAATGATCAATGGATTGGATGGGTGCGAGAATGTGTTTCGACAGCTACATTCTCGGTGATGATGAATGGTACACCAGCTGGTTACTTTGGCTCGACGAGAGGCCTTCGACAAGGAGATCTGTTGTCTCCTTTGTTGTTTGCTATATGTTCTGAGGGGTTTGCGGCTTTACTGCGCCTGGCGATTGAGAGGAAGAGGTTAGCGGGGATTAAGGTAAATCCACGGTGTCCGAGTATCTCTCATTTATTTTTTGTCGACGACTCGTACCTGTTTTTGAGGGCTTCTAGGGAGGAGTGTGAGACATTGGTTCAGCTACTGCAGTCATACCAAGACCTGAGTGGTCAGAAGGTAGATTTGAGCAAGTCGGCTGTGTGTTTTAGTGGTAATGTGGTGGCTAGGGAGGCGGAGGAGATGGCAGGTATCCTTGGAGTAGGAGCTATTGGAGTCCAGGATAAGTACCTAGGTCTGCCTTCTTTGGTTCAACATTCTAAGGTGGAGACTTTTCCGTATCTGGAGGAATGATTGCTGTCAAAGCTTCAGGGGTGGAAGCAAAGGTAGTTGTCTTGCGCAGCGAAGGAAGTTCTTCTTAAGGTGGTGGCTGCGGCGCTGCCTATCTACGTTATGTCATGCTTCCTCTTGCCGGTAACCTTATGTCGAAAGCTGGATAGGTACATGGTTAGATTTTGGTGGGGCTATACAGATGAGAAGGGCATCGCATTGGGTGTCTTGGAGAAATTTGTGTCGGAGTAAGTTCGATGGCGGTCTTGGGTTCCGGCGATTCGAGACCTTTAACCAAGCTTTGCTGGCAAAGGTGGCTTGGAGAATTTGGCAAGACCTGGACTCTCTGCTGGCTCGCATCTTGAAGGGAAAGTATTTTGCCAAGTCTGACATACTCCAAGCTAGACGGGGATCTAGGCCGTCCTGGGGATGGACTAGTGTGCTACATGGACGGGATTTGTTGGTCCAAGGGCTAGTCTGGCAAATAGGTGATGGTTCCTCAGTGCGGATACTAGGTGATCCCTAGGTCCCGGGGTGTGGTCAGGAGGAGATAACGCTGCGTTCTGCAGTTCCAAATTTGGCGGAGGCTAAGGTGGAGTCGCTTATGGTCCCTGGATCGGAGAAATGGTGTCTTGAGTGTTTACAGCATTGCTTTGCTGATGAGATTATCAGGAGGATATGCATTATTCCGCTCCCGGTCCAGCCGGTTCCGGATAAATTAGTTTGGGCTTGAGAGGGAGATGGTGTCTATTCTGTTAGCTCTGGGTACCATTTAGCGGTTCGTTTAAGTTGCCGATTGCCGGGGTGGAAGAGTGAAGTTTCCTTCTTTGACATGGCTTTTTGGAAGAAAGTGTGGGCCTTCCCTATTCCTCCGAAGTTAAAGTTCTTTATGTGGCAGGTTATGAAACGGATTTTGACAACTATGGAGGCTTTGATTGAGAAGGAGGGGAGGGTACTGGAGGAGGTTGGGGATGCAACAGAGTCTGAGGCTGAACTCTCTCCTAAGTGTCTGGTCTGCTGGGATCCATGTGAGATGTTGGAGCACATGTTTCTCTCTTGCCGGGTCGCCGTTGATCTTTGGAATAGTTCAGGCTTTGCTGGGGAGGTGATCACCCCTGAGGTCACGAATTTTGCCTTGGTCTTACGAAAATTTATTGAGCAGGATTCAGGGACGGAGAGGAACTGGGTGGTGTTACGAAAATTTATTGAGCAGAATTTTGCCTTTGTAGCCTTACTATGGCGAATTTGGAAGAGTAGGAACTGGGTGGTGTTTGATCATGTACAGTATAGTGTTTCGACCCTAGTTCGTCAGTATGAAGCTCAAGTTCGGGAGTGGTTGGCATCTATGCAACCGAGTCAGGATCAGCGGATGCCAGGCCAGGTGTCGAGAGGCTTGGCTGAGGTAGGTCGTGTTTTGTCTTTCTCCTGCTTCGTGGATGGGGCTGCGGCGCCTGGCTCACATGGTGAGGGTGGACTGGTTGTTCGGGATGCGATGGGCAGGGTTTGTTTTGTTCAGGGGTTTTATTATGCAGGTCTCGTGGATCCTTTCATCGTCGAGCTGATGGCCTTCCGGGATGCGATTTGGTGGTGCTCTTTGAAGGATTTTGCTGAAGTGAAATTCTGCGGAGATGCGAAGGTTGTCATTGAGAAGGTTCAAAGTAGGGATGCTCGGGATGTTAAGGGCGGTTGGATTTTTGTGTAGATCGAGAATTTGCTTCGTCAGTTTCAAGAGTTTGGCGTTGATTTTGTTGGCAGGAGTAACAATCGGTTGGCTCATGATGTGGCCAGGAAAACCCTTTCCTTGTTACCTGCGAGTGTAGAGAGTTTTGATTTTTATCGTTGATTTTGTCTTGGTGTGTAAACAGTGCTATCTTTTGGTCTTGGTAATGCAAGTTATCTATTGGTAAAAAAAAAGTGGATATAGATGGTGTGAGGAATATAGCATAGTAGCAAAATGATGATAAATCGATGGTAGACCACAGTGCAATTGGTCCTTAACTTTGTCCCTCAAAAATCAAAATATATTGAAAATGTGTATAAATTTGTAGATCACAATGAACTTATCTATTTCGTTCAAAATTTCACTTGTTAAATGAAGGAGGTAGAGGATGATATAATTGGTCTGAATTTTTTTCCTTAAATGCATAAAAAATAAATATGGATTTGTAGTTTACAATGAATCTGTCTCTTTTGTAAAGTAATTGTACATCTAATTATCATGATCATACTCTACTCAAAATTAAGATATCATATATACATAATCTAATTGTATATCAACTATCATGATGAGACACTGCTCAAAAATCAAAATTCAGGATCATTGTAGACAAATGCATAATTATGCATTTGATCAGTAAAGTTTCGCATGAGTTCCACTTTGGTCACTAAATTATTTTCCTGTATCAAATAGACTACAAATGTATTATACTCGTAGTTTAACAAATAAGAGTGTGTACTATACCGTCTATTGATTTCTATTTCTGGTAAATTACGTTAAAAATTCCACTCCAAATCTATCTCTAATGGTGGTTCGACCATGCTAAATAACTTCGTCTTGATGTTGCACATGTCATTCACTGTGAAATTATGTGTTCTTCTACCGCATACAATTCGGCGCCATTGATCAATATCGACTCGATTGCATCCCAAATGTCACCTCTAACGTAAAATCAAGAGAAGATATGTGATTTGAGAGTCAAATCAACATTGCATTCAACTAAACTTCATTCTAAGAAATTATAAAAGTACTAATTTTTTTGAATTTCTCATTTTGTCCTACCAAAATCCTCTACATGGAAATTCATGTCCAAATTCAGAAACCAGCAGGAAAGCCTCCCTTTCTAGGGTCACTAACTCCCACAAGCCTTCCAAAAGCTGTTGTTCCATTGTTGTTTTTCAAGGAGGAACGATGATCTCCCTGAAACTCTTGGACAACCAACTGGGAGATCGTCCCACCAGCAAGCCCTTGTAGGACATGTCCCCTTCTTTCTAGGAATGCCCTTGTTTCAGCAGGAACTTCAAAGTGATCCCTGTAAACCGTGGTCCAGTTCTCGTACGACACCTTGTTGGGTATCAGCTGCCACAGCCACAAAAATCCAAACAACCATTTCAGTAGTTTCATCGCCAAGAAAAAGAGAAATCAGATTAATCAACCTCGTTAGTTCGGTGGATACGAGCACATCTCAATACCCATATCCGACGAACATCAAGTTACGAGACACGATTGTATACATGACACTAAAAAGAATGTAATAAAGTAACATAAGTTTGAAATAGGTTAAAAACAACGTACAGTCCATCAACTATTAATGTCGCGAACTTATATGTAGTAATATCCGAGCAGTTAGTCACCTAATGGTATCAGAGTACTTAGTCATGTATGACTCTGTGGCAATAAAAAATAAAATAACATTCATTCGAAATAGATTACAGAGCGAATGATTCGATTGTGAATATACAGTCGATGAACTAATGTTGAACTTTATACGTGATATCATAGTATTTAGTGATCGATCACCTGATGGTAGACTCTTGGAGCCAGGACAGAGGAGAGAGGATCCATTCCTTTGCCAAAGTAATTCAAGAAAACCTCCGTCGTCGCGTCGATGATCATGGCTCCCCCGCTAGCTCCCATCACCGCTCTCAACTTTCCGTCCTGAACATGTCTCAACAATTCGAGTAAGTTTTTTCGACGTAACATAACGGTTTCTTCTTATATGATCAAAAAGGATTAACATTGCGTTTTCAAACCTCAACTAACCTCCAACACAATGGTGGGCGCCATCGATGACAACGGCCTCTTCCCCGGCCGGACGAAATTCGTGGGCGCCGGCGGCGGCACGTCGGCGTTCCCACCGCCGGTACCGTTGTTACTCGGTATGGAGAAATCGTCCATTTCATTGTTCAGCACGATCCCCGTGCTCGGAGACAGGATCCGGGCGCCGAAGTAGTAGTTCACCGTGCTCGTCATCGCCACGGCGTTCCTCTCCCCGTCGACGATCGACACGTGGCTGGTCCCGTGGTCGTCGATCTGGTTCCACCTGCCGGTTTGATCAGCTTTCATTACGTGGAACGGCGGACGATAAATTAATGGTAGGACGTCATCAATTTGCAAAGGTTTTAATTAATTAATTAATTAATTACCTGCCGCCGTAATGATCGGGGCCGAACGTCGTGTTGTCGTAGATCGTCTTCTTTATCTCCGCCGCGAATTTCGGAGAGATCATGTCGGAGAGGACTTGTTCGACGCCGTTGGCGAAATCGGGGTCGCCGAGGTTCATCCTGACGGCGAATGCGTGCTTTAGGGATTCGATCAGCCGGTGGACTCCTAGCGGGCCGGAGATGCCGTTGGGGACTCCGTACTGGGCCAGGATGTTCAGAATCTGCAGCCAACGAGAGAGTCAGTCGCATCATCACGTTACAAACATGTCGGAGAAAGAACGAAATGGGAAATCATCTACGAACGCATAAATTTACGTGATTCACTGATACGATCTGTATTAGATAATTCACAGATCACATATATGAGAGACCCATCTTCAAACCCTCAAATTCACTATACTTGACATGATTCTTTCTTTAGACGGTCTAATCCTAGTTTAACCTAGAAAGAAAAAGATTATATACCAGGTTCAAATAGTAAAAACAAATTAGTATGAGTTCATACACCGGGGATCGGGTGTTTTATCACTGGATCCTGACTCCAAATCCTCAGACTCACTATACTCGAGGAGAAAACACATTCCCTTGACGGTCTAACCCTAGTCATACCTAAAAAGGAAAAAAGGTTCAGGTCCAAATAGTAAAACAAATGCGTATGACTCCATATATCATGGATGGAGACGTACGCTAACCCTAAACCCTCAAACCGAGCGTTTCGTTGTCTAAACCTGGACTCGCTGACCAGACACAAAAAATGCCGCATCCACACCTAATGATGCAAAAAGTGCTACCATTTAACAGTGAAATGTTCTTACAAACTCCCATAATGTCAGAAACACATAATCTGTCTTCAAGTCAAAGCAACATATCAAAGATTTGTATATGAAACTCACCATGAACATGGCAGCGCCACCGGACGAAGGAGGAGGCATCCCGATCAGCTTCATCCCCATAATCTCCGCCGAAACCGGCTTCCTAACCCTAACCCTATACCTCGCCAAATCCTCCACCGTCAAAATCCCACCAAGCCGCTCAACATCTCGAACCAACTCCCGCCCAATCGAACCATTGTAGAACTCCCTCACACCATTAAACGCAATTTTTGCCAGCGTCACGGCCAGCTTCCTGTTCCGGCAAATCTCTCCGGGACGCTTCAGCCTGCTGCCGGACTCGGTGGCGTACACTCCGGCGAGTCCTCTGTCGGCGAAGATTGATTGTGAGATTTGTGTCATTTGGAAATGAAGGTACTTTGAGAGCTTGTAGCCCTTTCCGGCGAGAAAGACGGACGGCAGGACGAGGCGCTTCCATGGGAGCCGGCCGTGTCGCTTCCAGGCCTCGTACAGGCCGGCGAGCTCCCCTGGCACGGCGATGGAGAGCGGGCCGCTTGATTTCAGGGAAGCGTTGCCGGCGTACATGTTCTGTGTTTTGTAGAAAGAAGAGTGGTGTTAAGTGTTAGGCGAGAAAAGTTCGGGTACTTAAATCGAAAATTTACAGTGATTCGGTGCGCACCCCAAATATAATCTACATTCTTGTTTTCATTATTTTTTATGAATATTGAAACAAATGAAGGTATTGATATTTGAATCGGAACCAATGCACTAATCATCTTTCGAATTATTCTCTACTATTGAAAAAAGAGTCATGGTTTGATATGTTTCTGTACTATTGGACCGAACCGTTGTTATCGACACAAGTTTACTAGTGGATAGTGGGGCTGCACAACAATTTGGTTTGTATCTGTCGACCATGCTGGACCAAGCCGATGCTTGAAAATCAGACCGTAGTCGATCGAACATAATGCAATCCGATTCTTGGTTCCATTAATTTTATGATACAGAAAGAAAAATGAAACGTATGGATCGGATCAGATCAAATCGACGAATCCTAAAATGTGTTTCATTATCGGATTCGATTCTCAATTTCTCATGTCCGATTTTTACTGTTGTGTTGCTCACCCCTAGTAGTGGAGTATAGCTCCCTGGTGTGGTTATTCATAACGTATGTAATTAATTAATTTCCGTATCTTAATCTCTGCTTAATTTTAGCTAATTACTTTTTTCCCACAGAAGAATTACTGAAAATAATACCTGGGAAGCTTTGATCGGAGCAACCTCCCTCATGTCGAAGGCCTGGGCTTCGCCGGAGGCCATTCGGACGATCATGAACGCGCCGCCGCCGATCCCGCTCGACGCCGAGCTGACGACCCCCAGACAGAACGCCGCCGCCACCGCCGCGTCCACCGCGTTGCCCCCTCGCCGGAGAACGTTCCTCCCGATCCACGAGCACCGCCCGTCGTCCGTCGCCACCACGCCGCGCCTGGCCGCGACTACCCGGTTCCCGAACCTGCCGATCGCCGCCGGCGGAGGACGATCGGCCGGAAGATCCGACGGAGAGGTTAGTGGAAGGAGAACGAGTAACAACAGGGGAACGAGTACAGGGCAATGGCGCCACGGCGGCGATTTGGGTAACATTTTTTTTTTAAAAGCTTACGCTTCTTCTACTCGCTATTGGAGAGTATAAAACTGTGTAAAAAAAAAAAAGACTGTTAGACTGTAGAGCTCTGCGGCTGCGGCCATTAATGGAAGAAAATCGAGTTCTCAATTCTTAACGGAGAGCCACTTGGCGGATTTTACGGTTGTGCTTTCTTGTTTGCGCAATTTGTGCATCAGGACAAGAGAAGAGAACAAAATGAGCATTTTTAGTGTGTGTATTTCGGGGGGATCACTTATCCACTCACGACGAGCTGATTTTGGATTCTTCTTTTTAACTGGTGTATTGATTAAACCTATGTTTGGTTCAGCGTATTCGTAAAGATATGATCGCAACAAAATACAAAAGTGTTTCTTAAATCGTACCGATGGTCAGACCAGAAATTTTTTTAGGCTAAATTGTTCGTTTTTAGCGTTATGAAACGGCTGAACCCAGGGGCGGAGCTACGTTGGCTCTAAGGGGACCCCGGCCTCCCCGAGAATCTCGAACTTACCTGTAGAAGGTTTAGGATAATACGTATAAAAAAGAAAATGTTGAATAAAACTAAAAAGCATGCAAATTATGACATAAAATCTGAATTGGCCAATACAGAAGGATCCAATGGTTATGAGTTCGATTCTTGAGGTGAGCATATATTTTTTTTTTTGTCTTTTTGGTAAGCAGTAACCTTCTTCTTTCTTTTTGGAAGCTAGTTATTAACTAATTCGATTATTGTCATTATGATTTGTAGTGAACTTAATGTGAAAAAGTTTTGAGTTTTAACAATAATAATAATATGTTTTTTAAAATAATTTTTATCACTAGTTTTTCCTCTTTTTCTGTAACATATTAAGAAAATTCCAGCCCCGTTGATTAAATCCTGGCTCCGCCCCTGGCTGAACCATTATTGAACCATGGTTTCAGCTGATATTATTATTTCTGAGTAACTTTTTAGGAAAAATATTAATTTGGAGAGTAATTATAAATTACTTAACAAGTTAAAGAATTTTGCCATTTTGGTGACTATTTTGTACATTTGTAAAATTTGGAGAACTGAACTTAAAATTTGCAAAAGAATAACTGAATCGGATTCTAATTCTACCGTTCGCGCTTAACAGTTTAGTTGCTACGAATGAAGCATATGGAAAAGAAATTAGCGCGCCAATCCAAAAAAATCACCACCCTGCAACAATTTTTTTTATAGCACCCGGTTGTGATGGCATCAATCGATCTTGCCGCCATAATCGACGAATGCGGGAGCTTCCTCTCAAGATGCATCACGGCCAGGAACCAGAAGCTGGGGGCGGCAATTCACTCAAACCTCCTCAAAAGGGCGCTCAACTTCAACCCTTTCATCGTCAACCGTTTGATCGACATGTACGCCAAATGCAGCTCCATCGAGTCAGCCGAGAAGGCCTTCGAGGATCTTCCATTCAAGAACGCTCGTTCGTGGAACACCATCGTCTCCGCATGCTGGAAAATGGGTATGGTCGAGACAGCCCGCAACTTGTTCGATCAAATGCCCGAACCAAACCTGGTCAGCTATAACTCGTTGATTTCGGGTCTTTCACGTCGTGGGTATTATGTGGAGGCGTTGAGTGTGTTCCGGGAATTGCAGGAAGATTGCGTTGGTGGGTTTTGTTTGGATGAGTATACTGTTGTCAGTGCGGTGAGTTGTTGTGGGTGCTTGGGTGGGTTGGGATTGGTTCGTCAATTGCATACGGTGGCTTTGGTTGTTGGTTTGGGAGTGAATGAGATTGTTTCCAATGTTCTGATTGATGGGTATGGGAAGTGTGGGGAACCCGAGACCAGTTATCGTATATTTAGCAGAAAGAATGAGAGGGATGTTGTGTCATGGACTTCGATGGTGGCTGCATATGCTCGATCGTCCAGACTGGATGATGCGATGAGCCTTTTTGAGCAGATGCCTGACAGGAATACTGTTGCTTGGACTAGCTTGATGGCTGGTTTTGCACAAAATGGCCAGAACTACAGTACATTGGAACTATTTAAGCAAATGCTGGAGGAAGGGGTGGTGCCAAATGCTTTTACTTTTGTTACTCTTTTGGGCACATGTGCAGATTTAGCACTTCTGGAAGGAGGCAAACAGATTCATGGGCACTTATTTAAGTTTTGCAACCGAGAACATTTTGGTAGCATGTATGTAAACAACGCGTTAATGGACATGTACTGCAAATGTGGAGATATGGGATCTTCTAAGTCTTTGTTTGAAGGAATGATTGAGAAGGATGTTGTGTCCTGGAACTCAATGATTACAGGTTTTGCACAAAATGGACTTGCAGATGAATCACTCAGTGTTTTCAGAGAGATGGTTCAGGGCAAGGCAAGGCCTAATCATGTTACATTTCTCGGAGTGTTATCAGCTTGTAGTCATACAGGATCACTCGCTGAAGCCCTTCAGATTCTGGAACAGATGGAGAAGGATTATGGTATTAGCCCAAGATCGGAACACTATGCAGTCTTGATTGATTTATTAGGTAGGAAAAACAGACTGAGTGAAGCAATTGAATTAATTGGAAAATCACCTGGTCTGACAAACCATGTGGGGATGTGGGGTGCTCTATTAGGTGCTTGCCGGATCCATCCCAATGTTGATCTTGCCATGAAAGCTGCAGAAACTCTGTTTCGGTTGGAACCGAGTAATGCTGCACGATATGTCATGTTAAATAATATTTATATAGCAGCTAATAAATGGAGTGATGCTTGTAGAGTAAGGAGGGCGGCAGAGGAAAAAGGTATAGTGAAAGATGTAGCTTATAGTTGGATTGAGGTGAGGAATGAGAGGCATGAGTTTGTGGCCAAGGATAAAGCTCACAATCAGAGAGGAGAAATATATCAAGTGATTTCTCAACTTCTTGATCATATGATGGGAGCTGGATACCGTCATTGTACAAGTGACTGTTATTTTGTAGGAGGAGATGATGCTGTAGTTTTGTAGGCTGTCTCTTCTCTATCCGCAGAAGAAATACGGTGGATGACATTCATGCTATGCAGCCAGCTCAGCCAATCTGGACTCATGAACAGGTTGATATAACACATCTTGAACCACCCTTCCTGACTCCTGTATCCAGTTATGCTTTTGTTTGCAGCAATTTTGAGTAGTACTTATGAACTTTTTCATGCGATACAGGAGGAGCTTGTTTTTTGACATGTTCAGTTTTCCTTCCAGGAAGAAAACTTGCAATCTACCTCTTATCATTGCAAAATTTAGATGGTTAATATCGGTGCATTGGATGAGAAAAGGGAAGTTGCTAGGAATATTGGAAATCGTCAATATCATGCCTCTTTTCTGAAGGTGCATGAGCTGAAGTATTTGTGTCTCCATTGGTGATCCCTCTGATGTTTGTGTATCTTTGACTATGGAGGTAATGATGGTATCTTTCTGACCCTTATTTCAGGTATTTGCTCAAATTATAGTGCTTAAGAGCTACATCAGCAGCTACAGTGGCCTCATTGTCATTCTTCTTTTTCGTTTTTTAGCAATAGTTCTTCTTCTTGATACTCGTTCTATTCACAATTGTTCATGCTACTGTTGCTCTTTATGAATCTCCAGAATAGATATCTGAAGCATAGATTTCTGGCACTGCAGATGTGGTTCTACAGAAACAAGTTAAATTGACCACTTATACAAAGTCAGATCATGGAAGGCTTCTAAACCCTGATTGAGGTGCATTTCTGTGCTGAGAATAGCTTGTTTCAGAATCTTGGTGAACCACTATGTCTCCATGATTTTAACAGTGGCCAATTCAAGTCTTGTGGGCGTTCAGAATGCAGAGAGTATCCACAGTTTTAAGAACTTCATGCAGTTTTGCACTACAAGGTCTGCTGCTCATGCTACTTTGCAACAAAGCTTTAAAACTCAAGGTACATACTCTACATCTTGGCTGATTACATTAAAATCATCTCTAATTTCTACCCCAACTCTATGTGTTCCTTCTTCATCATCATGTTGAATGTTTCCCTATTGACTGAATGAAATCTAAAATGCCTTTCAAGTGACACTGATGGATGATTATACGTAAACGGAAATAACTACGACGAGAGCATCCTGGGCCGTACACCTAGAACCTTAGGAGGTCCTTTTCCTCGAGCTTTGTTGATTCCAAAGTAGGCAATCAAAGTCAACAGTGGGGCTATACCTCTCGATTTGAAAGACCTTTTAAACCACATAAAAGATCAGCTCTCCAGCCTATCTTGCTTTCTAACTAAAACTTGTTGACAATTCTCTGGTTCTACTTTTAGCACACGGCAAAGGTTAGGAATTCCAGCAAAATGATCCAAACTTTCTACCTTGAAAATATACCCGTGATCTTTTGTGTCAAGTGCATGCTGTGCTGAGCCAAAGTTGCTAATTACTATGGCCCCGTTTTGACAATACCTTGGTTAGGCTAATGGGTATATTAGTATATTTGGCAAGGTAAATGGATGTGTTAGGTATATATGAAGGTTGTCAAAGCGGTTTCTACTGTTATGCCGTGGTACAACCAGTTTATATGCCAGTTTTAAGTTTTAACAAAGTATAGGACAAAGTAGGAAAGCATTAACACAAAATGGATTGTCATTTATATAAATCTAAGACAATATATCTATAATCTCCATCTATATTTAAATAAAATATTACATTACAAACAAAATGACAAATCATCATAATTTAAATGCAACATTTAACATTAATATGAAGACATCACAACCAACTCTTTATGTCCTGCGTGCACCACAACCCTAAGGAGTCATAAGTATGATGTTTACGTCTATCCTATTCAACAGAATATCCAAATTCAACTAAGAAGTTCATTGTCTACGTAGTAGTTTCTTATCAATGGAGACATATATCTAGAGAAATTATATTACCGAAAGTTCCCGGAAGAAGAGCTTTGTACTGACCGCGATGACACTTTGTTTTATAGAACCAATAGCTTAACTGTTCCGAGTCTCCAAACTAAACCGACATTCCACGCCAAGAAAAGAAATGTGCCGGAGTTAATCTAATGTTTTATAATATGACAGACAAACAAACAAACAAGTGAAGAACAACGTTGCCGGTTGATCTTTATGCTTTGTATAATTAGAGCTTCTTCTCTGCCATGGGTAGTTAACTAATTTTTTATATTATTATTACACGGCAGCGAGCAACTTAATAATTTAGAACTTAAACTAATCAGATCAGTGTCAAGAACCAGTTGATCCCAATAACTCGAGTTGTAACTGGTTCTTGACATGGTATTAGAGCCTTCTGTGACCGACAGGTCTTGTGTTCGATTCCCGGTGACCCCCATTTGTTAAGCACATGGTATTATTGTCTTCAGACCTGTGCAAACTCCAAGCCCTTGTGAGTGGCTTTCGTTTGAGGGGCCGTGTTAGTGTTGTGATATATGATCCATGATTGAACCTCTCCCAACAACTCGAGTTATTGGGATCAACTGGTTCTTGACAATCAGGTCATCATGTAATGTCGGATATTGGATCAGTCGATCCAAAATGTATGTTCGGCCATGACATAATGAATCATCCAATCGACAAATTCTTGTTGATTTTACCTTGTTTTGAATTCATTGGAGTGAAAGCTCTAGGTTGATTTGTCCTCTAGTTATTGGGGGTGATGCAGTTTAACTTGCTGCAATGATTGGTTTAAAATAATTACTTTCACTCCTTTAGAAACAGTAGAGCTATATTGTCTGAGTTGGGGACATGAATAATTTTTGTGATTTGTATGAGTATTATTAGAACCATGCATGTTTTTTATATTGGAAACTTGTATGGGTGGTTGATCCAAAGCATTTAGTCTAGGTTAGAATTGTCTAACCGGTTCTGGTCTTTTGGCTAACCGGTAAAATGGACTTGTTCCTGGTTCAGTGTAAACGACGGTTCTGGTTCGAGTATATGATACCCGATTGTTGGTTTTCACCAAACGGACTGGGAACACAACCGAGAACCGCAAATTCCTTTTTATTTATGTAAGAAAAATCATTAAAAAATATGATGAACTAGTTACATCTTAGCGAATTCACGCAAAAACCACGGAGATCTTGACCATCAAGCTCGATTCGGTTTTGCTGTTTCTGGTAACTGTTAGGGTATTGGTTTTTTTTACGACCTTTAGCTTAATGGGTTTGTTACAGTCTCATCTATGAATTCCTTAAATGGGTTTTTGGTTTTCAGTTTAACTAGGGGATGAGTTAACCTTCTTGGGTTGGAAGTTGGGAGAAAGATCCAGAAATTAGGCAAAGAGTAGTGATGATTAAGCCAGGCAAATGACAGCAGCAGCTAGACTAGAAATAAATATAATGTGGCCATAGCCCATATGAGCAACTAGATTGTTGACTCAGAATTCTATCGAGGAGAATGGAAAAGGACCATTAATTACTTAATGCATGCACAGGTAGGAGCATTAAAATGTTCCAATCTTTTTTCTTAATGTAATATGCTTATTCTATATTCACTTTTGTTCTCTAGCCGTGTAGCCATGTCGTCTCTTGCAAAACGGCAATGTCTCTATTGACAGAGTTGCCATGGATGGGCAATAAACCGGACCGGATCTTTTACCTAATCTGGTGTCTGAATGATGCAGGCCCGGTTCCAATCCTTGCAGTATCATACTTAAAAAGGGTCTTGAAAGGTGAACCACAATGGTAAGCAACGCCTTCTGCTCTCTCCTCTCTCTCTCTCTCTCAAACAATATCAAATACATCACCATGCTTGCTTCTACTGCCACCCGCACACACCTCTCTTCTCTCAGCTCATCTTACCCTCCATACAACGAAGCTTATCTTCGCAGGGACAATCCGGAATTCGATTTCTGGGCTACAGCCGAAACAAACCGCTCTTTGAGGAGCTTCCTGAGTCGAGGAAGCCATGGAGACGAAGAAGAAGTTGATGACGACCACCACTACAAAAAGCTCGAAGCAGAGTTATGTTTCCCTTTGCAGAAGCACCAGCCGCGGAGCAGCTTGTCTAATTTGCAGGCCATAGCCGAAGGCAGGAAGCAGCTGATGGAGCTCGCCGGAGATATGCCGGACTCCAATCTCGAACTCTCCCTCAAAGACATCGTGAACGAATGGAATGTTTCCCCGTCTCGAGCAATAACAGAAGGGGATCATGTGGGGGTCGTTAAAGGTGGGAGCTTTCATTTTGCGACGGAAAAGCAGAGCAGCAGGAGAAACAACAGTATGCAGCAGCAGAAGAAGAACGCGGCCATCAAGCCATTTGTTGTCCCGAGGAGCTATAGTGTCGACAAAGGGACCTTCTTGATCAAGATGTTCGGTCCGTCTACTCGCAGCAGCTGGAAAACGAACGTGAAATCTTCGTCGTCGTTGAAAGAAGGCTGTGCCGTCAGAAGCAGCAGCAACAGATGCGGAAGCTCTAGAACTACCAGCAGAAGCAGCAGCTGTAGTAGTAGCGGTTTCAGTTCCAGCAGTACTACCAGGTATCCACCTCTTTTAATCGATATTCATTTAACAAAATTTCATTGCCGATTTCCTCTACATCAGCTTTCTGCGTTTTGCTCCATACAGACTCAGAAGGCAGAGCAGCGTTACCACCACTTCCACTTCCTTCCTCGACTGCTTAACTTGCTTGCCTTCCTTTTGCGCCAGAGGAACCCACAAGAGCAAGCAACGAAGTAGAGAGTGCATGTTTTGAACAGGGAAATCACACTAGAGATCGAACCGGTCTACTGGTAAAAAAATCGTTGGCTCCTAATCAACAGGAATTGGCAGGTCTTCTCATCAGAATCTTTCCTTGACTGACAAGTAATTGTAAACCCATGCCAACTTCTCTTCTCAAACATTGGCTTGGAATAGGTTCTCATGGTAGAAACTGTTGTTCATCAGGTGTTTTGCTCTAAGCTTCGGAGACTTCCTCGTTCGCACTTCTCTGTACCATAGCACAGTCGTCGAACTGTGTTCGATTGGTTGGCTAGTTCGATTGGTTGGCTAGCCGGCTGATATGTTGGATGCTCTGTTTTTTCCGTTCTTCTAAACACTGAGTACGACTGAGACTGAGACTGGGACTGAGATGTCTTGTTGTTTGGTTGTATTGGCTAAATTGATTAAACTATTGAGACCTGGCCAGGATTAACAAATGGAAGCCTTTGTGGTTTTTAATGCTTTGAACTACTTTCCTGTAGAATCTTGTAGCAGAGCAGGAGCTTGATGGTCTCAGTTTAACCAGAAGACTCTGTCCTGATTGATGTTTTGGGTAATCAGTAGGGAGTGGTGGTTCGGTTAAATCAAACATAAAACCATTAGAAATTAGGACCCGAATTCTCCAATTGTTCAAAATAGAAATTGAAACGGTTAAAAGAACTGAAACGTGCAAACCCTTGATGGTTTCGGTCAGAATAAACTAAAAAAGAACCTTCATTTGTGATCAGACTTATCGATTTTTATTGTTTTTGTTAATGATTTTCAGTTTTAAACGAAACCAAAACTGTTTAAGGGTTTATTGGTTTTTATCGGTAATATTTACCATTCTTTACCATACTCTACCATTCTATGTGCCGTAATGACTAAATTGCAAAGTTTATGTGCTAGAACGACCAAACCAGTAAAGTCAAGCGTCGGATTCAAACTTTATCTCCCCAGAAGCCAGAAGTATAGCTGGGCTGATTTGGGAAAGAATTGGCGCTTCAAATTCAAAGTTCAAACAGACAAAACTACTCGAACTGAAGGAAAAAAAAAAAAAAAGGTCACCGCGACTCAGTAGCAACTCAGTGCTCTCCATCTTCGCCGTCTTCTCCTCTCATCCTCAGCTTCTCCTCGGTGACAGATTCGGTGCCGGAAAAATCGAATTCTCAGTTCCGGGAATTCGTCCGCTCGTCATTCCGTTGTTGCTGCCATTGTCTGTTTCGCGAATTAGGGTTTCTTCTCTTTCTCTCCCTACGCGGAACCGATTCGAAATCTCTCTCTCTCTCTCTCTCTCTCTCTCTCTCTCTCTCTCTCTCTCTCCTCGTCGCTTCATCTCTTGTCGAAAATGCCGAAGCGGAAAGCTAAGAGGAATGTGAAGAAGGCTGTGCCGCCGCCGCAAGAACCTGATGGCGGCAACGAAAGTGCGCTGCCGCGAGCTGAAGAGAGGAAGCCAGAGTCGTCGATTATCCTGGAAGGTTAGAAAATTCGCTTCCCTCCCTTGGTTTTGGCGTTTGTGAAGTTAGTAGTTCTGCTATTTTTATGACGGAGAGCTGTTAGCTACTGGAATTAAGAGTTTGCTTTCGATTCGGAATTTGATTTAGAAGAGAGCATTTTACGAGATTTCTACTGCAATTGAAATGCTCCGGGTGTCTCTTGAAGGAACAGGGATTGGAATGGCTTTGTTTATGAACTGCCAAATTAATACCTCTCTAAAACGTGGCTTTTTTTCTTCTTCTTTCATGAAGTTGAGCGGCAGGTTGCAGCAATTAGGGCAATACGTGACATGGAGATCGAACATTCGCTAACTGCTTTGCGTCTGCTACGTTCGAATTTCACTGAGGAGCAACTTGATACCCCTGTGCTTGAGATTTTCAAGGAGAATTTCCCGAACCTGTCAATAGTAAAGAGCAGCGAAGCCGGTCAGTTTGAACTTCAATGGAAAGACAAAGGTGATGATTCTTCTCTGCCCCAAGTAGCTGGTGGAGAAGACGTACATGATTCTCTTCTCCGGGGTTTGTCCATGGCGTATCCTAGCTGCTCTGATGTTCCATCTCTTGGTGCTTTTGAGTTACCTAGCCATACAGGTAATGCCACTTTTTGCAGTCCTTTCTTTTGAATGAATGAATGAATGAATGAATGAATGGAGTATGCTATGCAAGTTCCTTCAATTTGGTTTTGCGTTTAGATTGATTGTATCTGACGTGATTCTTTTTGTTGAATGGCAGTGACAAAAAGTGTATTTGGTAATGATAGCATGCAGATGGACGACTTTGTAAGTTTTTTTTTTGCAATGCCTATAGTTAATATTCACCATTTTACTGTTTCAATACCATAGTTTGGGAGGTGGAAGGGAATGGGTGCAACTTCGTTTAGATCTTCACTCACTGAAATCCTTGTGTTATCCTAAGCATGGCATGACTTAGTCTAGAGCATTGAAGATGGATGATAAACACCCTGAAACTCACACTGACATTGATGTTTATTTTTGGGTAGATCTTGGAGGGTCAATCCAATTTCAATATGCTCTCGATGCAAGATGGTCTCCGAACACCAGGGGTTTGTATCTTCTTTCTTTGTTCCCTTTTGTTCTTTCTGTATTGTCCATGATGGGCACAATGTCTGGCATGTAGTTCAGTATTTCTATACATGGGTTCATGTTTAGCATTCTCCAGAAATGTCTGGGGATGCATAATAGTACGTTCGTGCTGATATCTTGTAGATTTAGCAACCGATAGGAATTGAAAATGCCTGTTGGAAAGTATTAACTATTGTATTTTGGAAGGGAAGATCATAAGGCTAGTTTGTTGAAGTTTACCAGAGAAGCCTCAATTTACCTAAAATCTGTCAAGTCTACTCATTGTGATCTTCTTTTCTTTTGTCTGGTTGAGGATAGTTCTTGCTGGTGATTAGATTTACCCCAAATATCTAACAATGCTTCGTTCTCGATGTTTAGAGAATTATGAGCTCTTTGGAATATTCTCTTGATGTAGTAAATTTTAGGACTTGAAAGCACTGTGCTTTCCAGCAGTTTCTAGGTTATTCAGCCATGTGTGTTAATTGATTTCAAGCCTTCTTGAAGTTCAAAGGAACATCTGTAATTGCTACAGGCTACCAGTCAGAGACTCTCTGTGGGGATGACACCCAAAACCTTAAGACTGCCTAAGCATGGTGAAATGCTTCTCTCGGTTCGTGGCTCGCCCCTTGGGGTCTACAAAGAAGACAACATGGAAGCAATACGAGGTATCCAAGTTACTCAAACAATAACCCCTTCAACTAAGCTAACTAACCTGTGCTTATTAAACAAGTGGCCTTAGGGCATTGAACAGAATTAAGGTCTTTGTCTTACAGTGGTGGATTGCATAGCATCACATACCATTGGCTTCCAGCTTCTTCTATTTTAATAGTTCATAAAACCCCTCTTTCTTCGTCTTGATGTCTGGATCTCTGATTGCAGAATCTGAAGAGGACTGAACTACTACTGCAAGTGTATTTCGATGTTTGGAGCTAAGAATGCTGTGCAATCTCAAGTTTCTAGACTATATGTACAGAAATTACAATTAATCTCTCCTACTACAACAAAAAAAATCTACTTCATCACTCTATAACGCCAAGGAAGCTCGAGCCATCAATCTGTTTATCTCTGTTAACGCGAAGGATCTCAAGTTTATCCTGCTTCTTCATCAGCCAGCTTCACCTGTGTAACTGCATTTTCTCTTGGTTTTGAATGTTGATGTTGGTAACTTCTCAAGCTATTAACACCTGAACTTGACAGCGTGATTCTAGCATATCAATAACATTGGGAAAAAGACCTATTGTATCCTAGTCCACAATATCAACTTCTTGCTGTAAATTGATCTCTTTCTATCGCTTAAAGCAAGCTTGCTAAACAGTATGAGGCTGCTGTCTTAAGACTCTTCACAACATTCTGCAAATTCCGTGGTCTCCTATTCGACACTGAATCTTTCTCACAAGTCTGGAGAAGCAATTATGCTCAACTGTGTAGGTCGTTCATGATTTTTATCAAACTGCTGCTTCTTGTCGATTAAGTTAAGAAGAATCAAGGTCCTAATGTCTGGCTTACAACGAAATCATCACATTCAGCCACCTCCAACACTTCCCTTCTCTTAACAACCCTTTGAACACCAAACTTTCAGGCATTTGGCCTTGCTAAATGATATGCTTGAAACTGGGGAGTTCAGTTTGAAACTTTGAATCATCGATGGGTCTACAAAGAGTTGTACTGATGAAAGGAAAACCCTTATATTATTGACTTCACAACCTGGTTCTCTGTTTTCTTGACTCAAAACACAGTGCTGAAAGTCTGAATAGTTCATAGGAAGTTAACCTACGATGCAGGTGTTCTTGCCAACGACCTCTTGCAGTCCTTTCTTTCGGACTAATGAACTTGTATTAAGCAAGTTGCACTCATTATGCAAGTTCTACATCGTATGTACAGAATTGCAATTTGCTCGACTACAACAAAAGAACCTACTTCACCGCTCTATAAAATAACAAAAGCTCACGAGCTGCCACAAAGCCATCACTCGATAAACGTGGAGTGAAGAGCTCAAGTTTTGTCGTCAGCCTGCCTGCTCTTAATCAGCGAGCCTAACCGGTACAAGTTATAGCAGCAACGCTTTGGTCTTGAATCCAAGAGTTGATACCTGCTGAAGCAAGCAAAACCTAGCTTGACTAGTTACTCTAGCATAGCAGTTTGGCATCCATCACCTAAACCACAATATCAATATCTTTGATCTCTTTCTTGTCCTCCTTTCGTGGGTGAATGGCTTTGCTTGGACTTGAAGCAAGCTTGCTAAAGTAGGGGCTTGCTGCTGTCTTCAGACTCTTTGTAGCATTCTGCGAATTTGTCGATCTCCTATTAGACTCTGAACCTTCTGCCGAAGACTTGGAACTTCCCAAAGCATCCAGGAAAAACTTCTTATTTGGGACAACACCATCTCTCTCCATTCTCTTCAGCAATCTCTCCACCAGCTCTTTCTGATTAGCTTTAGTGTATGCCTTATAAAGAAGCTTATACGTTGAAGAATCCGGTCTCACCCCAAGCCCGCCGACATTCTCGAGAAGCAACTGTGCTTCACTGTGCAACTTATTCATGCAGTAAACACTGAGCATTGCATTCAACGTTGACACCCTAATCTCCTTCCCTGACCCAACCATCGAATCGAATATCTCCCGAGCATAAGACATGCAATCACAAAACCCGTACATAGTGATCATACTCTCAAAGGTGATGAAGCTAGGCGTGTACTTCATCTCAACAGTCATCTTCTCGAACACAGATTCTGCTCTTTCCCTCTGCCTCGCTTTCCCATAGCTCGTGATCATCGAGTTGAAAGTGGGGAGAGTCGGTTTCTCCTTGGGATGACTCAACAAGCTCTTGAAAACCTGCTCCATCTTAGCAAACTGCTGCTTCCTGCCATATGAATCTATCAGAAGATTGAAGGTTATAATGTCGGGTTTACACCGATCGCTCTTCATCAACGCAAGCAAAGATTCCATCTCAGAAATCATCCCGTTCTTTCCGTATGCATCCATAACGCCATTATACGTATAAACATCAGGCGACACATTGCTGCTCTCAAGCTCTTTCAACAATGCATTGACTTGATCCACCTCTCGAGCTTGAGCACACGCTCGCAAGAGGATGTTGTAGGTAACTACATTCGGCTGGCACCTCTCCAAGCCTTTCATCCTCTCGAAGTAGCCGAGTGCCTTTGCCAAAGCTTTCGCTTTGTCCCTGGAATGGAGGTGAGCTGATATCAGTGAATTGTAGACTGAAGTATCGGGGCGACATCCGCTGTTGCGCATCTCTGAGAAGAGCCACATTGCCATCCTGATTTGGCCGTGCTTCCCCATGACAGATATCAGCTTGGAGTAGACACCATTATCGGCTACATACCACATCTGTTTCTGCATCCACCTGAACACCTGAATGTATTAACTCATGAGTGAAGGGTGGCAAAACCTAAGTTGACTCTCCAATATATCCAGTGATCAAGTTAATAACTTTAACATACCCAATCTACTTTAGATGAACTCGTTCCATCTGCAAATGAGATTCTTCTAACCCTAAGAACAATTCTACCGAATCAGTTCGCTAGAAGGATTATCTAATTATCTCATCAACCCAACTCGAATCCGCCGTAGCAAAATTGGTGAAGGAAAGAGCGAATTTCTTACGAACCTCGAGACATTGGAGCCATTTCCCCTTCCTCCCGAGCTCCTCGAACAGCATGAAGCAGTGTTGAGTCCTTACGAGCCTTACGTACTTGTTCAGCGTCTTTGAGAGAGGCTCCTTCTCGGTGAAGCTCCTCACAATGACGCGAACCAGCTCCTCGGCCTCCGCTTTCTCGGCGTCTGGCGAAGGTTTCCTACGGGGCGGTTTGGTTTTCGCCGTCGAGACGCAGGCGACGACGCCGAACCGGAGCTGCGGCGGCCGCCGCTGGGATTGAATCTCCGGACTGCGAATTGGAGCAAAATGAAGGGCGAATGGGGAAGAATTGAGGGCTGTGATTTGGTGCAGCGCCATTTTCTATCTGCAAGTCTCTGCAAAAACCTCGTAGGCTGCGGCTCTGGAGATAGCGAGTGGTTGATGAAAGGGAGGGAGAGAGGACTAAGGAGAGAGAAAATTTGGAAAGATAGGGGATCAAAGTGAAATATTTGGGCTGGGCTGCATTGACGGAATTTTAATGTAAATGACTAAATCTGCAAAATGTGGAGCTCTTTGTAATAACGTGATTCTTTTGGGGTAGAGGTGAAGTTTGGATTGGTAAGATAAAAAGGGAATTGAACCCTACGTGAATCGAACACGCAACCTTCTGATCTGGAGTCAGACGCGCTACCATTGCGCCAAGGATCCACTTGTTGTACGGACTAACAATGAAATATTATTATTGGTTTGTGAAATCTCATAGAAGCACATTACATAATTATCTCAACCCTAGATCTTTACAAACAATGATCTGGTCTATATTTGGCCAAATCAAATTGGATTGACGATATTTCAATTCAATTTCGATTCTATAAATTATCTTTAGTATGAAGGAAACATCAACCTAAATTAAACCGGATCGAATGAAGACGAACTAAATGAAGTGACCATAGTTTTGGTATGATTTTTGTTCTCAACTTTTCAACCGAATCAACTTGTGCATAATCGATATTCGGCCAAACCGAATCGACTTAAATATATTTCGATTCAATTTGATCTTATAAATTATCTCAGTATGAAGGGAATATGAACTTAAGCATACTTTCAATATGATTTCGGTTCTCAATTTCGTTTGATTATAATCAAGTCTTATCTCGATTCGATCCGGTTCTAGATAGAATCAAAGAATGCCCACTCTTGGTGTGGGTGGGTACCAAAGACGACGATTGTTAAGGGAAAACTTAAAAGAGTGGCTCTTCCATTGGCACCAAAATTGCAAAGCCATGAAGGCAGAAATAGTGGACCAAAAAGCTTAACAGAAAGAACAATTCATTTCTTGAAGAAGAACCAACAATCAATCAGCTCTAAAGCCTGCAACTTAAACTAACAGACCAGCAACAACAAAAAATAAGGCTACAAATCCTAGAATTCCCTTCTCACACCATCTCAAAAAATACCAATCATCAACTGCAACCCCACTCCCACAACTCCCCTCCATTGATGCACATTGCACAGCACTGGAACTCATAGCAAATCCCTCCTCACAGCTCAAAAAAGCTCCAACCTTTCTTTCTTAACTGCTCTTCTCATCTCCCACTGCAGGCTCCTCCTCCTTCTTCTTCCCTTTCTTCGCCGTCACCTGAGAGTACAAAAACGTCCCCAGGATGGCAATCCCTGACCCCAGAGCATTCAATGGCTTCACCGGATTCCTGAAGAACAACACGGTGGCAACAATCACCACCACCCTCTTCATCGTGTTCCCAACAGAGAACGTCAATGGACTGATATCATCAAGCGCCTGGTACGACGACTGGTTGTACAAGTGATAGAAGATCCCCGAGCAGAGCACCATTCCATAAAACTCCATCGACCTCCCGCCCACTGCGACAATCACATTCTTGTAACCCCCAACCCACTGCGAGCCCTCGACGAGAATCGCGACGGGGAGCAGGTAAACAAACGAGACTAAACTAATCAATCCATACAAATTCAACCCGTCGATTTCTTTGAAATTCTGCAGGCTCTTCTTGGAGTAGATGTTTCTCAGGACGAAGCCGAAGTTGCTGATCATGGCTCCAGAGAGTCCTCCCAAATTGAAGGAGACTTCGGTCACTGCGGCCAATGAGCAGCCGAAGACTATGGGGAGGATCGAGAGCCAGACCTTGAGAGGGTAGATCTCGCCGAGGAAAGACGAGAAGATGACCGAGAAGACGGGCTCGGCGGACTTGATGACGTGGGTGAACGAGACGGCGACTTTGGAGAAGGAGACGCAGGCGGAGATGTGGCCGACGGTGTGGAACAGCGCCGGGCCGAAGAGGGCGAGGAGGAACTCCTTGGAGATTTTGGGGAACCGGCGGTTGATGGACCAGTTGGCCAGCATCTAGATGCAGCCGGTGAAGAGCTGGAACGTGGCGAGGAACCATGGGTAGGGGAAGACGTTTAGGGATTTCTTGTTGTAGATGTTGAAGATTACGTTGTGGAAGTACCAGAGCCCGAATGCGGTGGCGAGCTTTAGGGTTTGGTTGACCGGTTTAGGATTCGAATTTGAAATCGAATCCGAATCCGGGATTGATGAACCGCTACCTTCTGCCGCCGCCGCCGCCGATTTGACGGCGAAGCGAGATCTGGGGGTAGCTGATTGGGCGGGGAGGAATCGAGATTGGTCGCCATTGGCGGCGGATGCGGAGATGAGAGACGAGTTTCGGCGGTGGAGTTGGGGGAAAGCGGCGGGGATGGAGAAGTGGCGGCGGTGGCCGGTGGTGGATTTGGGGAAAGCGGCGGGGGTTGGAGAGTGAGTGAGATTCAGTGACATCATGGCTCGTCGGTGGTTGGTGACGGCGGAGGGAAATTTCCGGTAGAGAAAGGAGGAAAGCTAGAGGCGACGAGAGAAATGGGCAACGGGAGGCGGGAGCTGTTAAGAGTCAGAAAGAGGGACTAATTAGTAATTACAGTTGGTCAGTTGGTCCAACAACAAGTTCGACGACCAAGCCCAGTCTGAATCAAGGATTATTGGGCTTCTTTTTTCGGGCTATCGGCCCAATTCACAACAGAACCCGACCGATTCAGCCTTGCTTCTAAAATCTCGACTGCGACGCGAAACTTCTAACCAGTGCTGTCAAAGCCGAGCCGAGCCGCCAAAACCGCCACCCGACCATAAAACCGGCTCGACTCAACTATTTAGCCGGAGTGGTTATTTGGGGCGGCTGGAGAGCGGCCGAAGCGGTTAACCGCTTGAACCGCTCGAGCCGCTCGCCCGGTTTTTTACCTTTGGGCCGGTTGCTTTAATTAAAAAAAAACTAAAATATCGAAACCCTAATTTCATTCTTCCTCTTCGCGTAGACAGCCAGACACGAAGGAGAAGCAGCTTCCTCCTCCGCAGCCGCCGTTCCCCGTAGCCCGACGCCGTCGTCGTTCACCATCACTCGACGCCGTCGTCGTTCACCATCACTCGACGCCGTCGCCGTCGCCGTTCGCCATCGCTCGACGCCACTCCCCCGTCGCCCGTCTCCATAGTCGTCGTCGTCTTCGGCGGCTCGTTCCCCGCTCCTGCCGGCGAGCGCAACGGCCGGCCGGTGAGGTCTCCCTTCTCCCTTTTCCGGTCACGGCTGCCTCTCCCCTGCATCGACCCCTGCTGTCCATAGACACTCTGCTTCCAGGTTTCTAATAACCCCTGTTCTCCTTTTTCTTTCTACTTTCTATTTGTCTTCCTCATGTCTCTGTGTATATGATATCCATAGAATAGCGCTGTAGATTTCCTCCTCTTGATTCTAATTTGGTCTGAAAGGTGCGACTTTCTTGTTAATTTGGCCGGTGTTATTATTGTGTATACTTGCTTTCTCTTTCGTGAGCTTTCCTTATTACCTGTCTGCATCACATAGTCATCATGTCTTTTCCATCTGTAGTATACATCTAGCTAACAAAGAATGAGTTAAGAAAACTAGAAACTGGTTCTGTTGTTGGTTGTCAAATTTCATGAACAAATTGTAAACTGATAAGAACCACGAAAAAGAAAGAGTAACTTTCAGATTGGGTATTTGGGAAACTAAAGTTTCGAGAGTCTCTCAGGTACGTGCAATGGACAAGAACAAATTTCAAGTGATGGGTAGCTCTCTACATCATTTCTGCTTTGCTTGTGTAAATTACATTTGTTCCAGGGGCCATGTCCCTTTTTGTGTAGGAGTAGGATTATTGTCTCTCTGTTGGACTAACGGCAGAGTAAGAGTGATAAATATATTGAAGTTAATTGTCTATAGAGAAGAGTTGGGTGGGAACTGATACCATGATTAAGAAGTGTCTACTATTTATACAAATGACTATTTATTAGGTACCGGTTCTCAAACAGGTTTTAAACGGTCTAATGCCGGCTGGACCACTAAAGACCGAGCCGTTCATGTTACCGGGTCATACTCCGGTTCGGTTCTGACAACATTGCTTCTAACCCCTCTCCCTCCAAAAACCTTCCGAAACCAATGGCGAACGTCGGCGAGAGCTCTTCGGCACCTCCGATGTCCAACGACGGAGTGAAGCCCGTCGTCGTTAGGGTTAAGAGGAAGTTGCACCAGTCTATACTCGACGCCTTCTGTCAGTTTCCGCTTCTCTTCTCTTCCACTTACTGGTCTTTAATTTGGCGGTGCGGCTCGGTAATGTCGCGGCGGACTTGTTCGAGGAGTTGTTGAAGTAATTGGCTTGAGCGGATTCTTGATTTTGCAGGGCTGGAAATCAACGAGAGGCCGTTTAAGCGCGCGACATTGGATTTGGCGAAGCTCTCGCTTGGCGATTCCGCTAATGGAAACGGTAAATAGTGATCGGCAACCCCAGCATGTTTGGTTGCTTACTAGGGATTACGAAATTTTATCTAAAAAGCAGTTCCATGAAGTCAACCATGGGAACGGTCTCATGTTTCTTCGCCTTGCTATGTTGAAATTGGCGGTCTCTTGTTTTTTTGGAGCAGGAGAAGAATCTAAGACTAGGAAGGTCCTTGTGCAGCATGTTGAAACGATCAGCACCTCGGAGTCCACCGTTCGTGTTGTGAAATCGTTTGTGGTTAGTGGAACTCGTCTATGTTTTTGTGTATTTCACAGTTTCTGTAATCATTGATGCGTTATAGTGCTTGCAAGATCCTGTTGTTGTTGTTGCATATCGGCTACTGCGGGTTAAATATGGATTGGTTGTGCAGAACATTGAATCATTTGATTGTTTATCGAGCAAGAATTCAGTAAATAGATATTAGGTGATTTGATTGATTGTCTTCATTATGATCTTGTGCTTGAATTTGAACTTGGAGCATCATAGCTATGTTCAACTTTCCCCCTTTTCTGATAATTTAGATGTACGTAACAAGCTTCAGTGGTTTGAATACTGATTCTTTGTCTTTGCAGCCTAACTCTGTGGATGTGGTTGAAGCTAAAACAACAACGGAGGACCTGAAACGGACCTTTAAAAGTGTCAATGTGTGGTCCCTCTCTTTCCCTCCTATCACTCCACCTTAAGTATTATTGCCGGAAATGTCATTGGTTGCTACATCTGATACTTTCTGCTTTTTTGTACTAATTTCTGCAGAAACAAGAACAAATTCTTTCTAAATCCAGACAAAGTCAAGAGGTATATTTAGTGAATGGAGTTGGAGCTTGTGTTTATATAATGATGTGAGATGCAATTTGATCAGTCCAGTGTCTGATATGAGTTCTGAGTTTATGGGAAAATGATGGAAATAGAATGCCTTTTTTACTTGAACTGGGATAAGAAAGGCCCCTTATATATATACAAAGGCCCTTGGTAATGCCTAATGAATCCATGCCGGTTGGGAATCCTTAAGCTCTTAGTTTGTTAAACATGAAAGATAGTGCCTTTTGCGTTGTTAAGAGTTATTTTTCTCTAATTCTTGTTTCATCTTGCTGTACATTGTGTTCTTGGTATTAGCAAATAGCCAAAAGTGCACGCTTCCAACAAATATGGAGCAGGCGGAAGGAAACAGAAGAAACAGTGCATGATATGTGTCATTTCTATGATGTCATTCGAATTGATGCCGAATCCAGTCAGGAGAAGCAGAAAGAGTAAGTATCTTGCTGTTGGAAGTTATTGCATCTTACGGAGACAAAGTAAGGTAAACTAAAGTTAGTTCCTCTGGTTTCAATGCAGAGCTCTGTCTGTGGAGGATCAGAAGCTTCTTTCTAGTTATTTGCCTTTCTTAAAGGAGTTGATTCCGGATGCTGCCGAGGAGATTGAAGCTGAAATCAGTGCTTCCACTTCCCAGGAAGGTAGGATTTCGAGGATTTTTCATAGAACAGTTTCGCTTGTAGGAAATACTTTGCCATGCCATAAGCCTTGAGCTGATCTCTATTTATGCGGCCAATTATTGTTTGATCGGTTCTTTTTTCCATTTCATTTTATGGCAGATGAGTATGTGTATGACTACTACACTGTGAATGATACCATGGACATAGAACACGAAGACACGCCTTTTCCATTTCCTCTGTAAGTATCAGAAACCAACGGTTTTTGTGTTTGTTGTACGTTCATTAGCTGACATGACGCCTTGGTCTAAGGGTGCAAGTTGAGGACGAGGATTTCTACGATGGACCAGATGACGAATCTGAATGCGACAGTGAAGATTCAAATGGTATTGTTGACTCCCAACTCTTTTACTCCCTTAGCTAGATGTTGCTAACTGGTTTGGTCTGGTTAACCAGTGACTAAAACTGGTAGTCCTAACCGATATGATCTTAGTGACCAAAACCGATTGGTAACGTCACTAGGTTACCATCAATTAGTCCCTCCTGCACCTTAGCTCAAAGCATTGTGATGATACTGCTTTCTCATTTCCTTCTCCTCGTCGCTTTTTTTCCCCAGCTGAAAATCATCCATTTAATGAATATCCCGATGAAAGTTCAGAAGCAGAAGACGAGTTGCAGAGTGAAGATAAAAGTGACGACGATGAAGACGATGGAGAAGAAAACGAAGAAGGTGGAATGGAAGAGGAAGAGGAAGCTGATGATGACGAGAATCGCAGTTTGCTGAATGGTGAAGCCACGAATTCCGAGGACCAGTATGAAGCCTACGTTGATAACTACCTTGATGAAGCTTATAGCTTTGCTAACATCAAACCTGAAAGTGAAGACGGTTATAGTGAGAGCGACTAAGAGCTCAAAGAATCTTCCTCTCAAGTGAAGACAGACGGTTATGTATGCAGTGTTACTGTTACTAGTTCACGAACGATATCTTTGCAAAGACGAGACGAGCTTTCATAACTCCTCATCCTTGGTCTCCAACTCTCGTAGCTCCGCCTCGTGCTTTTCGCTTAGCACCCTCCCTCCATCTCTTTTTAACTTTCGCATCTTGTTCTTCCTGTCTCCTCCCTCGACTTGTGTAAGACACAAGTCCTATTCCTTTCTTACTCTCCATTTTACCAATGCTTTCCGACTCCTCGTACTTCTCCTCGTTCACTCCTCTCATCTCATCGGCTGCTTCTCCTAATTTGACATGGCTTACTTACAAACCGCTGTGATAAAACCAAAAAGAAATTTAAATTCCAAAATATGAAATAAGAAGTGATTTGTATTGAATGCAGTTTCCATTGTCACAAAGTAGAAAGGAAAATCAAACAAACGACAACAACTTTGCAGAATAGAGTGGAGGCGACAACTGATGACAAAATCAAACAAACAGCCTGCGATTCCTACGCTTAGTCTCGATACATGAAAGCAAACTTGAATTCGCCGTTCAAATAAATCATGAAGAAAACCGTGTTTGTCAACAGAACAAACTCCCTGCTACGAATTGGAAGCCGGGTAGGATAACCTCTGAATCCAGGAGTATAGCTCCCATCCCCATCGTAATATGCCAGCATGACATCGCCGCCATCCGGATGTGATATCTTCACAAACCACCAGTTGTTACGGTCGAATGATTCGGCGATATCCGTCAAAAATATATCAACTCTAGGGGGAGCCGGCCAATCTTTGGTGTCTTCATCCACCACTCGAACTGAAATGTTCCCCTGAAAGAAACCCGTGAACCTCGCCGTCATAGTGTTCTCACAATAGTATACCGATTTAATACTACCGGCGGACCACGTATTTGCTGGCACCGCCCGTCTTTTGCTTTTATGGACTGCCCAATCATAACTGTACTGTTGTGTCGTAGGTGGGTGCGCCCACGATTGCTTCCGACCATGCTCCAGCTCAAGTTGCTCTTTCTCCTTTCTCGCCTTTTCTATCTCTTCTCGCATTTCCTCTCTTAGCTTTCGCACTTCCTCGACCTTCTCCTTCCTCAGCTTTTGCAAGTCGTCGTCGCTTGCCCTTTTGAGCGTCTGCTGCACGCCGTCGTTTTTCTTCGTCAACAGCTTTTGCACCTCGTCCTTCTCCTTTCTCGACTTTCGCAACTCCTCCTCGTGCTTTTCGCTTGCATCCTCCATCTCCTCTTTCAGCTTTCGTATTTCACCATCTTTTTCATCCCTCAGCTTTTGTAGATCTTCTTCCGACTCCTCCCTCAGCTTCTCCAGCTCCTCGTCCTTCTCTCTTGCCATCCTTTTCAACAACCCCTCGTATTTCTCTTTGCTCACCCCTTCGGGCACCATCGGTTTCGGACGCTTCGCCTCGTCCCTCTGCCTCTTCACCTTTCGTAGCTCCGCGTCTTTCTTTTCGATCGTCTCTTCCATCTCTTCTCGTAGCTTTTTTAGCTCTTCCTCTTTCTCCTCCTTTAATTTCTGTATCTCGTCTTCCATTTCGTTGGCTACCTTCTCCAGCTCCTCGTCCTTCTTGCTCAGCATCCTTTTCAACTCCTCGTACTTCTCTTTGCTCGCCACAACCCCACCGCCCGCCATCGGTTGCTTTGATATTTTCTTCTGCCTTGGCACGGCGTACTTCAACTCCAACCGCGGCCACATGGTGATCCTCGCCAACTCAACACCGTGACTGGTCCAGCTGAAGAGATCGTTCAATCGGAGGTAGCGAGCGCCAAAGTCTCTGTGCTCTCCCAGCTCGGTCACGTCTTGAAAGCAGCAACCTCCAGGGCTCACCATCAAGCCCGACCGAGCGAGGTGTCGGGCTAGCTTGGTGAGGGCTTCATGTCCCTCGATCTTCCCATGGCCATCGAAGAACAACAATCCATCGTAGTAGTACTGCTCTTTCGCCCGATGATCACCGTCTCCATTGTCGTTACCATCGAGGATGATGATGGTTCCAACTTCCTTCCAGTGAGTCGTTCGGAGATAGGAAGGGTGAATAGTAGGGTCGCTCAACTCACAGACTCTAATGGTGGTTTCATCGGAGGAGGTAACGAAGTGTTTGTCTGACTTGAAATCAAAGAGAACCATTGCTATAGCTGGCTAGTATTTTTCTTCTTGATCGAGATAGACAAAAGAGTAGGGTAGCGTTGGAATATTTGTTAGTCTAGGATAGGATAGGAGGGAAAGACAGATGAGAATTGAGATGGGGTGATAATGATATGTTTGAAAGGTTTGTGTTTGGGTGGATATATAAATAATGCCTCAATGTGACCATCGCTCATCAATAGATTTGAATATATGAGATTTTTATTTTGAAAATCAATGATAATACCGCTACATTAAGTTGACATTCGTAAGAGATAGCGTCCTTCGATTTTGTAGGGTGGCTTCACTAACTATGTTTTTGGGGTTTTGGGTAGAGGATTTAACTATTGTATTAAGTTGACATTCGTAAAATTAAAATTTGTTTTCAGACAAGGCAAATGATCGAAATAATGAAATTAATTGTATTATAAAATTTATTTGAAAACACGCTCTGAGCCTTATAAAAGCAATAGAGACTTTGAATAATAAATAGTAAATTGTAGTCATATTTATTTATTTTTCGCGTTTACTAAGCCAATAATCCTGATAATTACACATTTAAGAAAGACTTTGGTATAATCAATTAAGTAAATAAAGCCAGTGACTATGGCATCTATCCTAACCTTCATTATTATTTGTCATGTAGTATTTCCTGTTAAAGTCTTTTTTTAATTAAAATATTTGCTCATAATTACAGTTGACTTTAGTTGTTTTATTTTGGGAATTAGTCAACTTTTTATCAAGTTCTTCTTTTTATTAAATCCTTCAGTGATCTCAATCTTTTAAAATCCTCATCGCGGTAATGTGCTCATCAAGTGCCTAGAATAGAAATTAGTTAGCACCTCCTTCACTGAGCCTATTGCTTTGGGATGAGGGGTTAACACCATATTTACTAAGTTTTCAACCGTTAGATGTAGTTTTAATCCTATGGTTAAAATTTAAGAAACGTTGTTTGGTACAAAATCACACCACAAACCACGAACCCTAACATATTCAATCTATTGCTGGTCTTAGTTTTTTTTTCACCCGTGTAATATGTAGTACTGAACTGCTGATAATTCATAATTCCATATATTTTTTTTTGTCAAAGTTAGCGGTAACATAGATTCATAAATAGAAGAAAGAAGAGCGCGGGAGTCGACTAATCGCCGAGCTCCCGATGAAAGAGCTTTTTGTGCCACAAGATGGGTGGCCCTATTAAGTCAACAAGAGACAAAACAAAACGAAGCTGAATTGGGACGCCAACGCCCTTGCATCTTCGAGCAGGGCGATCCCTGTGGCTAAAACAGCTCCGATCCCCGTCGTAATATGCCAGCATCGTCAGGCCTCCATCCGGATGGTATGTTTTCACAAACCACCAATTGTTTATGTCGGCCAATTCATTGATCCCGCAATAGATATACACCGTAGGGGGAGCTGGCCAATCTTTGGTGTCTTCGTCCACGACCTTAATATGAGAACTTAGTGACGGGTATCGCAAAGGCTCTGTTGGCATATTGTACTTATAAATGTAGAAAACATGGAACTGGGAACAGATATCCCTCAACACCAACGGTTCGAAAAGCTGACTCAATTCCTCTCAATCGTCACTTCCATCTCATCACGGGAGATGAGCTTGAATCGGCAGATATCCCCTGATTTCAGAGAGTTGTCCTCGCAGAACGCTGACCAACCGCCACAGAATGTGCCTCGTCCACGTTCGCTTTTACTTCGTTGGTTGAAGACAAAGGACAAGAGCCATGCGCCCGTCCCATCATCACTATAAACCATCACAGTGCTATTCTCAAGCTTCATGTGTTTGAACACGAAATCAGTCGGCAGATACTGCATATTTAGTGAGAGGGAAAAAAATGGAGAAATCAATTTTTCTTGAGCGAAGCCTGCTTAAGAAAAGGTTAGATTGGGTTGATGGAAAATGAGCGAGCCTACCGCATAGTATTTATTCATGTTAGTCTGGTTTATGGTAATGAAGAAGCTTGGACTGATCGAGCTTGTGGAGGTATTTCCCCTCCCTGGCTCTGGCATTCCTGCATTCAATCGGGTCGATATGAAGGTCAGGCAATTCTGAATTTCATACACTACATTACACTTGGAAGAAGAAATCACATTTCAGTTTGACAAAAAAGAAATGAACCTTCAACATGTTCAGCCTTGGCTGGAATGTATGAGGTCTCAGCCTTATCCTTACCAAACTGGTTCCTCTTACCACTCTGTCCACCATCAGCCGTTCTCCCTTTCCCTGCAGAAATTGATGAAAGGATTATCAAACTTGTGATCCTTTATCCATTTTTCTTATGTTCGAAGCAGAACCTACACTCACTAGTAGCCATGAAAGCTTTTTGCTTGGCATTCTCTGCAAACCGCGGCCGGGCTGGCTGCCCCCCACCACTTCCAGCCACAGGTGAGCCTGCGAAAAATCATCATAATGGCAAGTCAGATAAACCCAAAACTTAAAAGAGATTTATAGTGACAAGGGCAGAGTCTGTACCCCTGGCCTCTCCGTCCTGCTCAGCCTCTCTAAACTCCTGGTTTCGATTCGAGCCCACATTGTGGAAGCTGGAAGCTGGACACATCACGTCCACCCCATTTGCTCCAAACATCACAAGCTTGAACCTGGAGAAGCTTTTGTACTCGAACAACAGATAGTGTCCATGAGTGAGAGAATAGCGATCTGCAAACTCCTGCCAGCCATTTCTCAGCCAAAAACCCCTGGCATCCTCGTAGAGCTCCACCTCCACCTGTGGTGGATCTCCAACAGTTGGTTCCAGAACTAGCGGGTTGGTCAAATTTGCCCTCCCGCAGTTACTAATGAACTCTGGTGGAATCAGCTGTATACAGAAAAGGACAGGCAAAAGTACGACAGTAGGTTCTACAAAACCCTAACTGGAATCTTGAACATGAAAAAGGACGCAACTTTAAAGGGCTCTTACCAGTTTCTTGAGTGCCATTGTCTCCTCAGTGAGATGCTTCAGGAAATAGGCCATGCTTGAGGTTGGTTTTCAGGCAGCCAGAGATCTCAAACTCTGGAGGATAAACACTTGTAGCTTGTGTATGGTTTGGAGAAGGGAAAGGAGAAGGAGGAGACTTGCGAGAGGAAAGACAGAGAGAGCTTGATTTTCTAGCACAAACCTGCCTGGTGCAGTTGAGTAGCTGCTTGCTCTCTCTTTCTCCTTGCGGACAATGGTTAAAGGAAGTAATTGGGTAAGAGGTTTGTGCTGCATCCTTAGCTTGTATTTTAGCCATTTTAGGATGCTTCATTTTTACCCTCACTTTTTACCATCACTTTTTCAGCTTTACTCCTTTTTACCCAAGGGGCAATAACTTCATTATAGTGGGTGTATAATGAAACAAAGGAAAATGAGCTTTTGAGTTCTTTTCAACAGCAAATTCATCAGTGTATCTTTCCATTAATGCCAAAACTGAAACCTCTATATAAAGAAACAGACTTTAACCCAAAGCTAGGAGCCAGTCTTCAAAATAACACCAAAAAGGAAATACCGAACTCCCAAATCTTATATTCAGTATTGAAATGGAAAAAATTCTACTCAGTTTTCCTATATTTTCAGTATCCGGTATCTTTGTTTAGAAGCCAAAATCTCAACTAGTTACTTTTAAGAAAAGTGAGCATTCATATAGAATCTTAGGGTCGGGCCAATATCAGGGAGATGTGAAATCCCCCAGAGCATTCATATAGAATCAGTGCATAACAAGTCTAAATAATAAGGTAATTAAGCAACAATCTTTGAATTAAACCAAATTTAATTAGACTAACAAAAGGCATTTCCCAAAGCCTTCAGACTACCTAAATCAGATAACATTATCCCGTTAATCCCTTCAACTAAGTACCAGCAGTTTCATAATCTTTATAACCATACATAACATAACCACTCGAAGTGACACATCACATTCTCATTTTAAAGTTCCAGAAACTCCAGCAAATCAGCTGGCCTTAACCCCTCCAAATAGTCACTTTCAGTTGGCCATTGGGACAATTTGGATCGACTAGGGACATCGGACGCCTACAATGTATATAGCCTGTAATCAAGAATTTGTTTTTTTTTTTTTTTACAAAAACTAACATTCAAAATCTGCAGGTGTTTGATACAATTAAGTTAGGAGTTATTACTCTTTTAATCCTCTGGTTGCTATTTTAACTTTCTTCGTCGTCATCTTCAGCATCGCCTATAAGAGCACCCCTTACTCTTGTCCTGAGCACAAATATATAGCATGTTATTGATCTAAATCTAATACGAGAAATTGCCTTGCCAAGTCCAAACCAGGGAGATTATAGTCAAAATTCAAGTACCTTCGATGTGCTGGCACAACGCGATTGATAACTTTCTTTGGTGCTGCAGTAGCTCGAGCTGATTGCTTGTCTATTAGAAAATGGGAAGAATTAAAAATTTTGTCCCCCCTTATTAAGATTCCTAGTATTAAGCTTTAAAATGCAGATATGTTGTTGGTTCAAGATAATGCAAACCAAGGACTAGTATTAATGGTGGAAGTGAACTTATCGAAATGCCTTCATGGCTGCAATATTTTGAAAAATTCAAGGATCGCTTCAAATAGAGTATTACTGATTGTGCCAGAAGAAATAAATTTAAAATGGCACACAACAATCCAAACTCCAAAGAGTTCGTCCAAATGAAGCATTCACAGTATATTACATAATAATAGTAAATAAGATGCACTTGTTGTAGCTCATACATCTCAATGCAGATGCTGGTTATGCCATGCCACCAAGCTAGCAGTATAGATGAATGCTTACCTGGCGAATTATGTGAGCCATTGCTGGAAACACCTTCTTTGTTGAAAGCATCCACATTTCCCAGTTTCTGCCTCTTTTCCAATTGGCTCTCGAGTTGGTTCTTTTGCTGACAGATAGAAAGGTTGACATCGGATAAAGGTGCATGCATAATCAGTGGCAGTCACCAAGCAATAGAATGCTATGTGTAATCATTCTACGAATTCGCTTCATACGATACTTTAATGAGCTGATTTCTGTGATCAAGTCAGCATCATACAAGAAAAGCTGCAAAGCAATACCTTTTCATCTGTTGCTACTCCTTTCATCAACTGCGAAGAATACCCTTCCCCTGGAAAACCCCGAAGTTTTTTAAACACCATCAACTCGAAATTCAAAAGAAAACAGTGCACTCCTGACTTCCTGATGCTACCAATTCTGCAATCCTTCTATATCATTAGAACTCGAACTTATTGAATCAAATCTTTACAACTTGAAGTTACAATCACAGACACCCACATATATATAACAAGTTGCAGACAGAATCACAAAACCATTAAATAGGTTCGAAAGAAGAGAAGAATACACTGATTCCACAATGACCCACCTTGACCTTGTCTCGTCATCTTTGGAGGACACTTGAGCGTCTTGAAGAGCCCAAAAGAGATATCTGCCATGACATCATTTGCATCACAGTCCAAAACTCTCCTGAGAGAAATGGAGATCAAAGGCATCCCTTTTGTTTTCTGAGAAACCAATCTTGCCGATGCAGCACCTGAACCAAAAAGTAAGTTCAACCACAGCACATTTACATCAGCAGCAAGACTGAAACTTCTTAGTACTCTTAACCAAAAAATCGATTTCAGTTACCATCACCACCCGATTGCTTCTCCAGAACAAGCTTGACATCTTCAGATTTAAGTGAAGATATAAAGTAGTCCACAAACTCAGACCATGAGCCACCAATTCCAATGCTATCTTGCTGCCAAAACAACCAGGGGGGGAAATGACGAAAACTGCCCGCCACGAAATCAACTTGAAAGAGCAGAAAGAGAAAGGGGTTATTAAATTTCGCAAGAGGCTTACCAAGTCTTCCAGCTGCGAGATGGACTTATTAGCTTCAAAAGTGTTGGAGCTGTAATCGGTTGCTTGAATCTTGAGGTGATAGTAGTCAGGAGCGAAAACATGCATCAAGAATCTCCGGAGAGGAACAGCAGAACGTCCGAAGTCGGAGCTCTTCCCCCATTCTGCTCTCGGTTCGCCGTAAATGGGCTCGAACTCTTCAAACCCCATTTCCCCTCCCCAGTCACTCACACTCACTAAATCAAGTTTAAGTCCAGCATAAGATTACAGAAGCTACCATTTTCTGAATGCAGCCACTCGATTCTTTTTCCTCATCTACCCAAACGCGAAGGATTCCCAGGGAATTTCGAAGAAACAAAGAACTTACGAGAATTGGAGATGAACTTCCCACTTCCCAGGCCCAGAATCAGAAGAATCGCCGTGAAGACTGTAACTATGAGCTGACGAAGGGAAGGAGGAGAAGAGTTGCCGGAGAAGGCAAGTAGAATGAACGGACGGGAAAGCGAGGAGGAGATGTCTGACGATCAGTACGGTCGAAGGAACCGCGAAGGGTGTTGAACTATATTGTAAACTATGTTTAGTTTGAGGACTACATTGTAATATTTGTTTATGTTTATGTATTGCTTTGTTATTTGTTAGATAGAACTTATATATAATGTAAAATCAGAACAGTGTAACTTTACCTTTTTGATGAAATAAAATCAGTAGACTTTTCTCCCAACATGGTATCAGAGCATTTCTAGAATTTTCTTGACGCTTCGCGTTCTTTTCTTTCTTCCGCTTCCTTCTTGCTTCCATGGCGACTTCCTCCGCCTCGGCGTTCCAACCTCCGCTGCCGATCTCGGCGACGCTCGCGCCGAACCATCCTTACTACATCAGTTCCGGCGATTCATCGACGGCGCAACTCGTCTCTGTTGTCCTCACTGGTCCGAACTACCATTCCTGGGCCAGATCCATGCGATTTGGTCTCCTGTCGAAGAACAAGATCTCCTTCGTCGATCCTTCCGTCCCGACGCCTCCGGTTGGTGATCCGCTCTTCCAGGCCTGGCAGATGTGTGATACGCTCGTTCTTGGGTGGATTCTCCGGTCACTCTCGCCGGAGATTGCACAGAGTGTTCTCTGGCTCAACACTGCCGTCGAGGTGTGGCGCGATCTCCAGGAGCGCTTCAGCATCGCAGATCTGGTTCGCATCGCTGATCTCCAGGATGAGATCTATGGGCTGAAGCAAGGCGATCTGTCTGTAAGTGCGTTCTTCACCAAGTTAAGGGTTCTTTGGGATGAGTTGACGACTTATCGTCCTGTGCGTTCTTGTGCATGTGTTCCTCGTTGTTCTTGTGTTGCCTACATGAGAGTAGATCAGGTTATTAGGTTTTTGAGAGGCCTGAATGAGGATTTTGAGTCTGCTAGGTGTTCGATATTGTTAATGGATCCTCTGCCTCCCATTAACAAGGTCTTCTCCATGATAGCCCAGCATGAGCGTCAGATTAGGAACCCTAACCCTAAGTCTGTCAATCCCATGGCTTGTGCTGTTCAGTCTGGTCCTCATAAGGGAAATAACCAGTCTAAAAGGCCTGTTTGTTCGTTTTGTGGATTAACTGGGCATACTATTGACCGTTGTTACAAGAAACATGGTTATCCACCAGGTTACAAGCCACGTTCTAGAGTCAATGCTGTGGTTAGTGAGTCTTTTGACACTAACAATTCTAGTTCTAGTGAGAACGGAAGTGTTCCTTCCGATTCTGTTGTCTTGACACAGCAGCAGTATAGAGCTTTGTTTGCTCAGAGTCATCCTCAGGCTCTTCCTCCTCCAGTCCCTACTGTGAACTCTATCACCACTGGAGGTTGTGTCGAGCAGTCTTATCCATCACATTCTGCATTCCTGGCTTCTTCATCAGCTGCTTCTTCAAGCCAGGATGGAGGTAAGTTTACTTTTGCCAACTCTTTGGTTGCCAATACATCTAGGTGGATTTTAGACAGTGGTGCCTCTGATCATGTGGTGTCTGACATTGCTTGTTTAATATCACCTGTTGCTGTGTGTGATGTGTTTGTGTCCTTACCAAATGGTTCTCGTGTGCCTGTTACACATATAGGATCAGTTAGGTTAAATGAACAGTTGGTCCTAAAGAAAGTGCTTTTAATACCTCACTTTGGCTTTAATTTGATCTCAGTTAGCAAATTAAGCAAGGATTCATCATGTTCTTTGACATTTTTTACCGATCATTGCTTGCTACAGGATCTGGCCTCCCACAAGATGATTGGTATAGCTAGAGAGAGCGGTGGACTTTACTGTTTTTCAGAAAAAGTGCACACCTCAGCTCCTCTGCCTCTACCAATGTCTTCATCCGGACCAGATTCCCCTGTTTTTTCAGTATTGTTTGATAAGACTGTTCATGATTTTGATCTTTGGCATTTTCGCCTTGGTCATGTATCTTTGTCTCGTTTACAGACCTTATCATCTAGAATAAGTGGTATTGATTCTAAATGTGCAAAGCATTGTTCTGTTTGCCCACTGGCCAAACAGAAGCGTCTCCCGTTTATGGTAAGTGAGTCCCAAGCTGAGCATATGTTTGATTTAGTGCATACAGATATTTGGGGTCCTTACAGCGTTCCTACTTTTGCTGGTCATCGCTATTTTTTGACTATAGTCGATGATTTTTCACGTAACACATGGGTTTATCTTATGCATAAGAAGTCTGAAGCTCGACCTTTAATTCAGAATTTTGTAGCTCATGTTCAGAATCAGTATAATGTTAGAATAAAGACCCTTAGGTCAGATAATGGTCAGGAGTTTCAAATGCGTGCATTTTTTGATTCTTTGGGGATTATTCATCAAACTACTTGTGTCGAGTCTTCACAGCAAAATGGTCGGGTGGAGCGCAAGCAGCAGCACATCATTGATGTTGCTCGAGCTCTCCTGTTTCAGTCGTCTCTTCATTCTAAGTTCTGGGGTCATGCTGTTTTACATGCAACTTTTTTAATTAATCGAGTTCCTAGTCCAATCCTAGGTAATAGGTCTCCCTATGAACTGCTTCATAATTCTGTTCCAGATTATAGTAGTTTTCGTGTGTTTGGTTGCTTAGCCTATGCATCTACATTGTCTCATAATCGTCCCAAGTTCCAACCTAGGGCAGATCCTTGTGTTTTTCTAGGATTTCCTTTTGCTACTAAAGGATATAAGCTCTACAACTTGGCGACCAATGCTGTCTTTGAGTCTAGAGATGTAGTGTTTCATGAGCATATTTTCCCTTTTTTCTCTAAGTGTCAAAATCTGGATTCAGTTGAGTTTGCATTTCCTGTCATACAGGTTCATCCATCTGCTGCAGTTACACCTCATGGTGCGAACACAGTGGATGGTTTAGTCCCTTTTTTCAACCCCGACCAACATATAGAAGGCACACCTTCTTCTTCTATTTCTAATAGCAATGATGGAGCTTTACCTCCTGAGTATCCTCCCATTTTTTATAATGAACCCACTGGTCGCCCAATGAGGAATAGGCAACGACCTGCTCGTTTGCAAGATTATGTCTGCAACTCTGCGGTTGATTCCTCTCTTCCTTATCCACTGTCTTCTGTTATTTCTGATGCTAACCTTACTAATAATCACTCTAGCTTTGTCAATGCAGTAAGTTCTGTTTCTGAACCTACTAGTTATCATGAGGCAGCAAAGGATGAACGCTGGAATGCTGCTGTTAACACAGAATTGGATGCTCTCATTCGAACAAAAACATGGACCATTGTCCTGCGTCCACCAGGTGTCAAACCCATTGGTTGCAAATGGGTTTTCAAGGTAAAATTCCACCCTGATGGAACTATCGAGCGTTTTAAAGCTCGCTTAGTTGCTAAAGGGTATACTCAGACTGAAGGAATAGACTATTTAGATACTTTTTCACCGGTTGCAAAATTAACTACTGTTAGGGCCTTGTTGGCTTTAGCCTCAATCAAAGGATGGCATTTACATCAACTAGATGTAAATAATGCTTTTTTGCATGGTGAATTAGATGAGGATGTTTATATGAAAGTACCTCTAGGCCTAAAACTTCCTCCTAATTCTGGTGATGTAGTTTGCAAGTTGAATAAATCACTTTATGGTTTAAAACAAGCTAGTAGACAATGGAATCATAAGCTAACAGAGTTTCTTTTAAATGATGGTTACCAACAGTCAAAGGCTGATTATTCACTATTTACTAAACAAAAAGATGGTCAGTTCCTTGCTTTACTTGTTTACGTGGATGATATAATCTTGGCTGGTGACTACTTGTCTGAAATTGAGAATCTTAAGAAAGGATTAGATGATGCATTTAAAATAAAGGATCTAGGACATGTTAAATATTTTCTTGGTTTGGAAATTGCACGTAAAACCACTGGCATTTCTGTTTGCCAACGAAAATATGTTTTAGATCTCTTATCTGATTCTGGTTTGTTAGCTGCCAGACCTGTTAGTACACCTTGTAGTCCAGGTATAAGGTTGTCTAGCAAGTCTGGTGTTTTGCTTGATGATCCATCTGTCTATCGTCGATTGGTAGGGCGTTTATTGTATTTGTGTAATACACGTCCTGATATAGCCTTCGCTGTCCATCAGTTAACACAGTTCATAAGTGCTCCCACTGATATTCATTTGCAAGCTGCCCATCGAGTTTTGCATTATTTGAAAGGCAATCCTGGCCTTGGTTTATTTTTTCCTAGTAATTCAGAACTAACCCTTAAAGCTTTTTTCAGACAGTGACTGGGCTGGTTGCCCGGATTCCAGACGTTCAACAACAGGTTTTTGCGTCTTCCTAGGTAATTCATTGATTGCTTGGCGTTCTAAGAAACAGCATACCATATCTCGGTCCTCCACAGAGGCTGAATATAGGGCAATGGCTGATCTTACTTGTGAAATTCAGTGGATGCATTATCTGTTTGCTGCTTTAGGTGTTAATTTTTCTGTTCCAAGTATTTTATACTCTGACAGTCAGTCTGCGATTCGCATTGCTGAAAATCCGGTTGCACATGAACGTACTAAGCACATTGAGTTAGATTGCCATTTAACGCGTGATAAAATAGCTTCTGGTTTGATTAAGGTGCTACACATTTCCACTACTAACCAAGTTGCTGATTTGTTTACCAAGTCTTTGCCTACTGCATTTTTTTCAGTTTTGCAGGCCAAGCTGGGCACTCTTGATATCCATGCTCCAGCTTGAGGGGGGGTGTTGAACTATATTGTAAACTATGTTTAGTTTGAGGACTACATTGTAATATTTGTTTATGTTTATGTATTGCTTTGTTATTTGTTAGATAGAACTTATATATAATGTAAAATCAGAACAGTGTAACTTTACCTTTTTGATGAAATAAAATCAGTAGAATTTTCTCCCAACAAAGGGAATTGAAAAAGAGCAGCGGTGCTGTTTATTTCGGAAAAGAAGACGGTGCCCTTGGCGACGGAAGTGGATGATGGGCCGGCGGCGAACTGGCTTCTGTTTTTCCGTTAAGAAATTTGGGCTGGGCTTCCTGGCTGGGGCAGGCTTGCTGGATAATTGGGCTCGCGGACTATTGAATGCCATGCTTTTTCTTTAACGAGACAACAATTAGCCCATCCGTACTAAAGAGATGTGGAGCAACTAGCAACAGTGATCTGGTGCCCAGCAGCAAGATGCTGCTTTGCCAAACCATGGTCTCCAGCTACAGAAGCAAAAACTGCTCACTGTTGCTGCAGCAGCAGCACATGCACTAGCTGTAAACAACATCGTTGAAAATTCGACGAAAGGAGGACTCGTGGAACACGATCATACATGGAACTAATCCGAGCAAAGTACTCCATAAACTGTAGCAGAGTTTCTTCTCCAAGTGGAGGGTAAGTTACAACAACAGAATTTGTTTTATGTATTCCATTTGATGGAGATATTACAAGCGGGAGACACAACTTACACATCTGAGCATCTCGTGATTCATAAGACGATGATTCCGGTGCAGTAACTACATTCTACAGCCTCGCCAAATATACAACACACACTAAGAATAAGGTTAATATGGACATGCCGTTGATTTCCCTGCTCCCACCCAACAGTCTCAGTAGTCTAACCTTCTGCTTAGACTCTTTCTACCATAGGGATTGGCCTCTAGAGGGGGGAACTCTCAAAGATACTACAACAACAATCGCCAACCCGTAACATTTGGATATGTTGACAGGACGATGAACGTCTGGTGCTGATGCACTCCTAATCGTGGGAGGGAAGAAGAAAGAAAAGGAGGGTTGCTTCAGAATTGGGGGAGTGAGTAGACAGACTTACACAGGGGGTAGTGTACTGCGGATCATGCCTTGAAAATGGTGGGCAGGTTCACCCCACTGCAGAATCGTCACGCTCAAAAATTGGCCATCCTTCCAACATTCGCACATCTGCAAAACACGGCGAGGGATGGGAATGAAACAAATAGATCTGCACACAAAGGTCTCGACTATTTAAGCAGTGAGTAGTGAGTAGACCGCTGCTTGCTTACCAATTTAAGCAGTGCCTGTAATTAATCGTTCTCGTTGGTCTAACTTCTTCACCTTTACAATTCCTATCAGAACTTTTAAGCTAAAAAAGGCGCATACAGCATATGCCATCGTAGCTGGTACCTACACAGGAAGTCGTCAATGGATTAGCAGAAGAAGCAAGATGGAAAGAGTAACCTTCATAAAAAAAAATAAAAAATAAAATAAAAAAGCAATGACGAAAGAGTAGGCACAAGTATTTTAGTGGATCATCTTACTCTCATAGCATTGAAATACAAAATTGTTGCAAGGTTAACTAGACTTCCTGCAGCTACAGCCTGTTCAATTGCCAGAACAAAACATACTGAGAACGTTGCAAAAATAATCTAACGAAACCAAAGCTGCAACAAAATATGGTTGCTCCAGTTAATCAGTCACAACCATTCCCATGAACAGTAACATGATTCTTTCAATAACATTTAGATCCCATAATAAGGGAAAGAACCAAATCATAGTAGATCATCGAGCAAAAGGACTCACACTTCCCACTGTAGTTTGAACAGCAGCAACGCGCTGGAAAGCCCTCTCAGCTTCCAGTGTTCGAACTCGAAGCTTCAAATCACCTTGCTCCTGAAAATAGTGCCAAGACTCCAAACTGTTTCAAAATGATTAAACTAAATACTTGAATTGTTCGTCCAGAATCATTCGAGCCTCCTACCAATCGTTGGATAGTTTCTGCAAGCTTTTCAACTCTGTCGGCCTGCCTAAACAAGTTGTAGAACGCACGGGACTGCCTATCCCATCTGTTTCTGAGATCCTGCAAACATTCATACACGTGAGTGCTAGTAGGGTAGCAAGACTCATAAGAGGGGGTACAGAAGCAAATGATTTTACCTTCACCGCTACTTCAACCCCAGCTTCCCGGAACTTCAATAGCTCTAGCGCATACCTGGCAGGATTAACAACAAAGGATGTGTCAAGCACCAAGATTTCTAGAAGTTCAAAATCAAAGTAGTTTGAGTGAGAGAACTGCCAACCAAAAAGGACTCACGGTTTGGCGATTTCTGTAATGTCGAAACGAGGGTCGAGGCCTTTTCCAATCCCATCCAATACTGTGAAGGAAATAAGTTAACGGTAAGAGACGTATGCTATGCACAAAATCATATACTACTATTGAACGAGTTAATTAACCACACGATTATACCTGAAAATGCTCTTACAACAAATGTGAAAGTGGCAGGGAATCGGAAAGGTTGATCTCCAGCGATGGATAATAAATCTTCCCCTGTTCAGAAATTATAGAAAGAGTCACTTTAGTGTTTTCTACTGAAATAAGGAGGAAAATAACCGCTACTTGCATGGCTCAATCACAATGGAAAAACTAGCAAGTGAAAAAACCTTTCCTTGAAATTCAAAATACAAAGAATAATTATAATAAAATTCACGATAGATTACACACTATCGTAGAGACAAAAAAACAAAAGCTTAACCAAAGAAACAGTAATTCGTCTACTGGATTGCAATGCAAGCTTACAAAAGCTTAACCAAAGAAAACATAATTCATCTACCGGAGTGCAATGCGAACTTACCTATTGCCGCCAAACGCTCTTTCTTTTTGGCCAATTTTTCCTCCTTGGATAAAGGCTTTTTAAACCCAAGCTCTGCTGTCGCCATTTCCCTCTCCCGTCTTTGTGCAGCAAGACGTTCTTGGAAACTGCACGTTTAATTAGAAGTTACAACTGTATGGTTGCTATTATTTGGAAATGGAAGCATACTCTTACTAACACAAGCCGATTGCCACATAATTTTGACACCTTTATAGTCACTCTACATATTTCAGGATATAATTAATACTATCAGGAATTATAATGGGCAACAGCTTCCTAAAAACTAAACTTCTAGATGTCCAAAGGATCTATTACACAATCAATATGCTATCTGCAAGTAAAAAATTTATTCCCAAGCACATAGACTGAGAATAAGTCTGAATTATTTGGTAGATAATCATTATATGACAGAATCAACTAGAAGCTACCTACATCAGCACATTAGGCACTCGTCCAATTGGCTGAACAATATTACCAGAAAAAAGTAGCAGAAGTGAAGAATTTTTATCAACTAAACGAACCCACCTGTTAAGGAAAAATTGTGCAGTTCTTCTGACAGCTGTCATATCTCCCGTAGGCACAAGGACACCCATTTGGACCATTGCCTCAAGAATCTACACATGATCAGGAAGAGATAACAAAAGGTATGAGCATGTGTGAAGTTGAAAGTTTGAACTCCATACTATAATCAAGGAGTCTCCATATTACTTAAGAGATACATACCTTTTCTGCATCCTTTTCATAAACTCCATAAAACACTTCCAGCAACCCTTCTCTGATGTTTGGACTGATACTATAATACAGCAATAGCCAAAAGAAGTTCAACTCTGAGATGTCAACAAAAATGAATCAAGTTCAATACTTACAGCTATAACGAAACAGATTGACAAGTAAATACCTTCCCATCATTCCGAAATCATAAAAGATCAGTCTTCCGCCATTGACATCATCTACGGCAATATTTCCTGGGTGCTGCAAAGAGAATTGACCATGGGCACATGATAGCAATTACAAAACTGGTACACCAGGCTAGACATATCCTCCAAGGTGGCATGTTGGAACAAATTAAAGAGCTTAACACTATGTGAATGAACTCACAGGATCAGCGTGGAAAAATCCATGAGAAAGAATTTGTTCCAAGTAAGATTCAACAGCATACCGGCCCAACCTGCATGAACCAATAAAAAAGAACTGTGAACATATTTCACCTAAGAGCATACTAAAGAACAAGCATGTGTCTCCTGCATTATCACATTAAAATGACTAATCAAGGTTAAAAGCTGAGATTATCAAACCTTTTGCGATCCAGACCCAGCTTATCTAAAGCCTCTACTTTATTTATTTTAATCCCAGGGACGTACTCCATTGTTAGTACCTACACAGAAGATACTAGAAAATAAGCAGCCATATGTATCAATCAAGAGATAGAGGGTCTGAATTTGTTCGTTGGTTGTGATTACTGAAAGAAACCTGAGGTGTGGTGTATTCCCAATAAATATTTGGCACTTTTACGTAATCCATGTCCTTGAAATTACTAGCAAAGAGCTCTGAATTTTCAGCTTCCTTGGTGTAATCAATCTCCTGAAATTGTTTATGCCCATTAGCACGAGTGTTAGTAATTTCAACTACATAGCTGTTGGTATAGGCCAGCAAGCATGGAAATGAGTGCAAAAAAATCTCAGTTAAAAGAAAGTACGGCTCTTTCTTGGGCCATCAACCATTATGTTGATGTAGAAGCCAAATAAAATGGGAAGTTATTGATGATTTTAACAATGATTAGCCAAGAAAGTCAAGTGGCAGTACCTGATACAGTACGCTTGCACACTCGTCGTAAATTGCAACCCAATCTCTCTTTGCCCCATCCGACTTTGGATCGATCTTCTGAAGATATTCTGCTATTACCTGAAAAAGAAGGCTATCAAGTTCATTGATGTCTGATAATAACAACCAAAATGGAGTGCCACCACTGAAAATACCAACCCTCAAATTCTTGAGATCAATGTCGAAAAGATCCTTGAGACCAGGCCGTTGTACTTTAATAACTACTTCCTGTCCTTTGAGTCTTGCACGGTGAACCTGACCTGAACACCCATTTAATAAATAAGAAGTGGCAGGCGCAGGGATGGCTTGGTTTTCCTATCTTGGAGACAAAAATAATTTGAAAGGAAATATAATATTACCAAGACTTGCTGCCGCTATTGGCTCGAAATCAAACCGCTCAAAGACATCCTCCACAGGTGCTCCAAGCTCTTCTTCGACTATAGAAAGAGCAGTCTCAGATGGGAAAGGAGGAACTTGATCCTGCAGAAAGGCATCAACTCAATAATTTTGCTAAGAATGTACGACGTTAAGGAAAGATTATCATCCAATGCAATTTCCTTAAGTCTCACTTAAGGCTTCCAGTTAAAAGTTTATAATGAAAAGTGTCAAGAGGGTTAGAAAACCCTCACTTACAAGTAAAAGAGGTATTCAGATAACGAACGCGAACAACAATCCACAGACCTGAAGTTCTGACAATTGGTCAACATATTCTTGAGCGAGAATGTCCACTCTTGTGGAGAACTGCTGGCCAATTTTGATGAATGTGGGACCAAGTCTGAGTATAGTATCTTTTAGCCACTTGGCCAGTGCCTTCCTCCTCACAACTTTCTTCTCCTCTGTCATCCCCCCTGCTCATCAGAAAGAAATCTCAAGTATGAGAAAATGACCAGCAGAGAGCATCAACTAGATCAAGCAAACTCGAGCCTAACCAAAATCATAAGTAACACTGGGCCAAGTATGTTGCCTTGTAGTATAGCATATGCATTATTCATAGAGTTCAGGAAAATAGGCTTCGTTAGGAAATGGGTAGGAGAAGCAGACCTCTGTAAGAAAACTTCTGACTGTTCAACCAAGCCTTGAAGACGAAAGTAAAGACAGATCCCCAAATTTCCACAGTTCTTTGAATGGTGGAATAGGTTTTGAACCTATTCCATCTTCCCCCGGGCGCAACAGAAACCTGCAGAGGCAATACACTGTCATCATAAACGGCTAAAACGTGGTCTCCACTAGCTCCTTTCAACATTTCCCCGACTACACAGGTTAGCTCAATCGCCATTTCCAAGTAAGTGACAACCCAACTCAACCGAACCCGAAAATTCAATTTCGTTTACCTCAACCTCCCCCGGACCAGAGCGCTTCTTAAACCACGCATCTTCCTTCCCAACCTCCTCAATCCGCTTCTTCCTCCCATCCTCCGCCGTCTCCGCCGCGGAAAAACCGCCATTCCCATTCACGTACTTGCTCAATCGACCGTTACTCCCACCATTGACCTCGCTCTCCACCGCAACCAAACTTCCATTACTAAGCGATCCGTTACTCCCGTACTCTCCTGCACTACCACCAGCAGCTCCATTCCCGTTCAATCTCCTCAACAGCTCCCTCTCCTCGATCACCGCGCCGGCACTCTCTTCCTTGCCAGCTCGAACTCGAGTCCGGAGCCGGAGAGACCTGCAGCTGTAGCTGAGCTGAACACTCCGTCTAGAACACAAATTGAGACTGCAACTGCGTCCGGAAAGTGAAACACGGCGCTTGGAGACAGTACTCGGAGATAGAAACGACGAAGAACAAGAAGCAGCGGCAGTCGTCGGAGTGGCCATCGTAAAACGTAGGAGTACTGCAATCCCTTCACAATCGATCAATTCGACAAAACCCTAATTCTCATGGCCTGCGGAGAGCCACGCGGGATTTTTCGCGGCGGAGAAAGAACGAAAGAAGAAGACAGACGAATAAGCGAGACGGACACAGAAGGAAGAAGAAAGGAGAAAGCACAGAGAGAGTGTAGAGTGAGGGATAGCCAGAGATTTTTATTATTATTATTATTAAATGATCGGTGGAGGTGGGGAGGACACGTGGCAGGAGGTAAGATGAGAGCGCGGGGGATTGCGGGGCTGTGATTGGCTGTGGGGGGGTATGGGAGAGAAGATAGCTTGCGCCCGTGTTGAAATCATTTGGACGCTTTTTGGCTGACGTGGCGGAAAGCCAATTGTTTAAATCTAAAAAGGGAAATCAACGATCGGGTTGCGGGTCGGGCCGTGTTTGTGGCTGGGTCCGCGAACCAAAACAAACGGGCCTGAAGTTTGGGAATGGGCTGGTCCAAGTTGGGTCATCCTTGCAAAGCTTTTGAGCGTAGCCCACAAAATCACCCAACTCATCTTTTATTCGCGTGGTTGAATTCAGCTGTTGAATCTAGCCGTAAGAAGAACTTCGGTTGTAAGGAAAACTTGCAGGAAAGAAAGAAAGAAAAAAAAAAAAAACGAAAACCTCTCCCATCTCCGCTCTTCGTGACGAGTGGGAGCGAGGTCACCGCCGAAGTGCGATTCGCCATTACTGGCAGGACTGGCCGTCGTGGGCCACCGGAAGCGGCCGTCGACTCCATGGGGCTATTTAAGCCCTTCCTGGAGGCTCTCGATGGCTGGGCTTCTCATTCACTTTCCGGTTTTCTCCTTACTCTAAACCTCTGTGTTGTCAATTCCGATTCGGCGCTACCCAGATCCATGGCTGCGGGGAATGTGTTGTTGTTCGGCGATGAAGATGTAGCCCCCGGGGCGGAGAGGAATGATCTTTCACTACTGGGCAGAATTATTGGCCCATCCCCCCCGCTCCGCCATCTGCTTACAACCCTAAGGGGTCTTTGGGGCTGCGACGGGCCGATCTCTGTTCTCCCTGCGGCTGAAGGGCTACTGCAAATTGTTTTCCCTAATGAGGGTGATTTGAACAGGGTTTTGAAGATGGGGCCATGGATCCTGCCGAAGTTCATGATCAATCTGGCACCATGGGTGGCAATCACCTCAGATGTGGCCGAACAAATGTGGAGGGTTCCCCTTTATCTGCAATTCTGGGATGTACCCACGGCCTGCTGCTCGCAAAGAATGGCCACACTACTCGGCGGTTAACTGGGAAAAACTGACCCGGGTGCTGTACATCGAACTGCGGACACGGCTGAGATCTATCTGCGGGCTCGTGTCTGGCTCGATTCTCGACTCCCTTTGCCCGTCTCTGTTTCGGCGTCCCATGAAAGGGCAGGACAAGGTGAGTTCACTGCTTCAGTCAAGTTTGAGAAACTCTCCCAATTCTGCTACCTTTGTGGCATCCTTGGTCATATTGGCCAGAAGTGTTCTCGCCGTGAAGAACTCGCTGGCACAACCACTCCATACAACCGACGCCTTGTCTCCAAAAAGTCTGGTCCAAAGGTGAATGAGAGGAACCTGCTTGGCCGTCGTCATATGACATGGGTTCGCAAAGAGAGGGAGTCAGTTCCCCAATTAGGACAGGGCACATCCAGCCTTGTCCCTGCTGCAAACCTGGGGTCTTCCTCTGCTGTTGGTGCAATCCCCGTCGCACCAAGTCTGACCCGTGGCAAGCAACTTACGAATGACCCGGTGCTGTACATCCCTGAAGCCAAGAAGCAGAAAATTGAGTTCGGCCCTCTCGGACAGGATATCAACAATACTGATGTGGTGGTGGCAACCAGCCCAGACTGGTCACATGGGGATAGATGAGCATCATTGCCTGGAATTGTCGGGGTTTGGGCTCTACCCTGACAATTCCCTCGCTCTTTGGAGCCATTTGTCGTTTCTCGCCTTCAATTATATGTTTAAGTGAAACGAAGCGGGATGATGACTTTGTACATAAGAAGCTGAATCGATTAGGCTATGTCGTCATTAGTTGTGTGTCTCCTATAGGAAGGGCCGGCGGTCTAGCTTTGGCAAGTGCCCCATCCATTCACTGTAGTGTCATAGGATCAGATGCATTCTTCATTCATGTAGAGATTCAGCATCAAGTTTGGGGTAGTGTTGCTATCTTCTTTGTCCATCTGCACTATGATGTAAATATTCGCATTTCCCAGTTTAATGAATTAATCAATTTGCTCTCGTCATGCTCGCTTCCCGCTCTTGTCCTTGGTGATTTTAACTGCGTTCTATTTGCATCTGAGAAACAGGGGGGACGCCCACCTTCCTTTGCTAGTATGGATCACTTTCAATCATTCATGGATACTGCAGGGCTTTGTGATTTGGGTTTCAGGGGTCCTCCTTTCACTTGGTCAAATCGGCAGGGTCTTTCTACCCATATTCTTGAACGTCTTGATCGCGGTTTAGGATCCGAACTAATTTTACATGCTTGGCCAAATGTGCAGGTCTCTCATTTGACTGACCTTGGATCAGATCACAGGATGATTCTTCTACAGTTAGTCCCTGGATCGGGTAAAGGTAAACCCCGGTTCGTGTTTGATGGCCGGTGGACTCCCCTTGATGAGGCCAGGAACATAGTTCTGCAAGCCTGGCAGGCAGTTGTTGCGGGCAACCCTCAATTCCGACTGTTCACCTTGTTGAAATCAGCTCGCCATCAGTTCGTTGATTGGGCGCGTCAGGGTACAACTAACTCAGCAAGGCAGATTAGAGAACTTCGTCAAGCCATCGAGGCTGAAAGGGACCGAGCGGCTGTCGACTGGACTGTCATAGAAGGTTTGGAAACTCAGTTGGCTGTCGCGTATCAACAAGAAGAAATATACTGGAAGCAGAAGTCCAGGAATAATTGGTTACATTTCGGGGATGCCAACACGGGTTACTTTCACGCCACTGCAGCTCAACGACGGCGGCATAATCAGATCGAAGTACTTCGGGATGACACAGGTGGAATCCACGTTGAGGAACCAGCCAAGGGTAACGTCTCTGTGTCCTATTTTCAAAATCTGTTTTCCTCTAATGGGAACCCTTTCCACTTTCTAGTCACAGCATTAGGCCTGCAGAGAAAGGTTAGCACAGATCAGAATTTAATGCTAACTTCTCCAGTCTCCCGAGATGAGATTAAACAAGCAGTGTTTAGCATCGGGGCGTCCCAAGCTCCGGGATCTGATGGATTTACAGCAGCCTTCTTTCAAGCTTACTGGGAGATTATTGGGAATTCTGTCTGTGTGGCAGCTCTATCCTTCTTCAGGTCGGGTAGGCTTCTTCATAATTTTAATCATACCTTGATCACATTAATTCCTAAGATTCCCAATGCAGATTCCATGAGACAGATGAGACCAATAGGCCTGTGTCAGGTCTTTTATAAGGTCATATCCAAGGTGCTATCTTCCCGGTTGAGTCAGGTACTCCCTTCGGTGGTGAGTGATTGCCAGAATGGGTTTGTTAAAGGGCGGGACATCTCCGACAACATACTCATAGCATAGGAAGTAATGCACTTTCTCAAGACAAAGACGGAAGGTAGGGACAAATGGATGGCGCTGAAGTTAGATATGGAAAAAGCATATGACCGGGTTGAATGGGGTTTCCTGTTTGCGGTTTTGGAATCGTTGGGCTTTGCGTCGGACTGGATTCAGCTAGTCAAAGCCTGTGTCACGACCGTTTCCTTTTCTGTGATTCTCAATGGCAACATCCATGGCTATTTCCACCCGGAACGGGGTATCCGCCAAGGTGATCCTCTCTCCCCTTTGCTATTTGCTCTGTATACAGAAGCTTTTTCCACTATGATCTCTAATGCTCTTGCTGCCCAGCAATTACATGGCCTTAAAATCCACCGCTTTGCTCCGGTTACTTCACATTTACTATTTGCTGACGACACGTACTTGTTTTTGCGAGCTTCTTCCTCGGAGTGCAACCAACTTCTGCATTTGTTTAATCTTTATGAGGCGGCTAGTGGGCAGAAAATTAATCTCCAGAAGTCCAAGGTATGCTTTAGTGCCAATGTTTCAGCCCAGGAAGGTGCTGCGTTGGCAGCCAATTTGAGGATCGATTCAATTGGAGAACTGGACAAATACCTCGGTTTACCGGCACAGATCCAAAGGTCAAAGGTTCAGACTTTTCGGTTCATTGAGGAGGCCCTTTCCAAACGCATTCTGGGCTGGAAATCCAAATCTCTTTCGCTGGCAGCAAAGGAAGTTGTGATCAAAGCTGTCGGATCAGCCACCCCTGTTTATGCGATGATGTCGTTTCGGCTACCAGCCACTTCCTGTCGACGAATGAATGGTCAACTCTCTAAATTTTGGTGGGCGAGTCAAGACAAGGAGAAAGGGATACATTGGGTAGCATGGCCGGCTGTCTGTGTCAGTAAATTCCGTGGAGGGCTTGGATTTCGGGACTTTGATCTGTTCAACGTGGCCATGCTGGCCAAACAAGCCTGGAAGATCCTTACGTCTCCTCATTCGACTCTTGCTCGGATGTATAAGGCCAGGTATCATTCCCACTGCGACTTCCTCACTGCAACGACAGGAACTCGCCCCTCCTGGGCGTGGCAAGGGATCCTGGAAGGCCGTAAGCTGTTACTGAAAGGACTGCGTTGGCAAGTTGGGTGCGGGACAGCAATTCGCATTTTGGAGGACAGATGGCTACCTTCTACTTCACCTATCTCTCCTTCCCTGCTACCAGGAGTGCAGTTGGGCAATTCGTTCGTGGCTTCACTTATTCATCCGATCTCTCAGACTTGGAATAAGGAGTTGATTACTTCTTTGTTCACTGCTGATTGTGTTAAACTGATTTTGTCTATTCCGTTACCTGCTTCTCCTCGTCCTGACAAATTGATATGGCATTTCTCTGACACAGGTCTATACACGGTTAAGACGGGTTACCACCTGCTTTCGGAAGAGCGATCGGAGATGTTTAACAACCTCCCCCCTCATCTCGATACCCGGTTCTGGAAAACTTTGTGGAGTTTACCGGTTCCTCCCAAGTTAAAATTCTTTTTGTGGCGGGTTGTCCGGGGGTTTCTGCCTTGTTTGGATGTGTTGCAGTCTAAATCCTTAAGTGATTCAGGAGTTTGCCCTGTTTGTTCTGGAGGAATAGAAACTGTTGCTCATTGTCTATTTGATTGCAGGGTGGCTAGGGAGATTTGGTTTCTCGCGGGACATGAGCAGGTTCGGCGGTCAATAGCTACCTTGACACCCGATTTGGCATGGGCCCATATCTTCAACTCGTTGCAGCTGAGCAAAGTGGAAATGGCGGAATTAGTGTTCCTTACTTGGCGAATATGGAAGGCCCGGTGTTGGTCTTGCTATGACCATGTGCAGTATCTCCCAGGCCCTCTAGTTCGGCAATTTCGGCAGCAGCAGGATGAATGGGCAGCAGCTACTAACTCCGGCTCACGTGGAGGGAATTCTCATGGCCGCCCCAGACCTGCTCCGCCGTCTCCATCCTGTCCGGCAGGAGGTGTGTTGATTCACTTTGATGGCGCAACGCGACATGGAGAGGGGGGCAGCATAGGCTTTGTTGGATTCTCAGAAGCGGGATCACCCATTTATGCCTGTGGCAAGTATTATGAAGGTATTTCTGATCCCTTTTTAATGGAGCTACTAGCGTTACGCGATGCAATGGATTGGTGCTTAACCCGAGGTATTGTTTCTGTTTGCTTTTGTGGTGATTCGCAATTGGTGATCCGGCGAGTATCGTAAAATATCATTGAGCATGATCGTGGTGGAGCAATCCTTGAGGAGGTTCGAGTGCTGAAGTCCGCGTTCACGTTTATTCGTTTTGTTTTCTCCCCTCGTAGGACTAACAGGGCTGCCCATTGCGTGGCAAAAACGGCTCTTGCATCGGCTAATCAGCACTTGGCTGATTTCCGTTATTTATTTTTCAACTTTGTGTAATTCCCTACCTATTACAGAGCTACCTAAGTTAAAAAAAAAAAAAGAACTTCGGTTGAGTCTCATTAAAAAAAAATTGTTATGATTGTTCAACTCGCGTGACAACTCGAATATCGGATGACAACCTTACATATAGTTTCAACAATAACATATATACTAGCACAAATTATCATACAAACAACGTATGCATTGACGCGTCAAGGCGATAATTTGGTGCTTTATGTTTCTCATAGATAGGGGAGATTTTGAGCCAATTGTCTAGCGCTAGGAGTCTCTCTCTGTTACTTTTGTATTGCACTTTTAGTTTCTCAAACAAACCCTCTAAAATACTAAACCAGATTATATGGAGAGCACAGTGTAGCAGCTTATCTTATGTGTTCCAGCCTTGTCCAGTAATTAGGAGGGTTTGGTGTTTAGACTTATATTAAGGGGACAGCAAGCTACAGACAGTAAGACAGTTCCACTATTATTAATTAATTATAATTAAGAGACCAATTTGTAAATTAATTATTGTTTTATTAACCCTGAAAGGAACAGAGGCTAGTTGCCAAGAAGCCACTTGGCATGATGATGTTAGTGCAATTTTTTTTCCAATAAAAACTGTTGAGAGAAATAAAAATAAAAGAAAACAGTATTACCTGGAGGTGACATTTCTAACTGTGCAACTTACAACTTGATGGTGTTTCTAAAGGGTGGTTGTTTTTTTTTAAGAAGGAATACCATGTGGTGAAATAAATTGCTAATATTCGGGTTAGAAATTTGTACAAATCGAACATAACATGTTATTAATTAAATCTATTATTAATACAAGAGTCGTGAGGATTTGAACCATGAAACCTCACAATCAAAATCATACTATGTAGTTTAAATAACTCAAGCAGTTAGGAGGCGAGAATGACCGCTCACGAATCTTAATTATACCACTTCCTTACTGATCAGAAAATAATATAGTTTTTAGAACTCATACATATGATCAATAACATCTTGCAAATTAGAAAGATATTTAGTTAGTCGTTAATCACTAGTCTCTACTTTAACAGGCCGTATAATTAATGGTGCTTATTGTAATGAATTATTATAGTATGTATCTATGCCATCATCATACGTACCTAATCATGCAGGCCTTTAAGTAAGTACTTATCAGGCAGGCAGGAAATTCATGGAAGAAAGGGCACAAAACACGACCCAAATTAATTGTATTAGAGTAGCCAAGACCATGATGGAAGTTGATTAATCAATTTGCAAGCAACAACTAATTACACCATAATATCATATATCTTCTTCTCTATATACACGATTCATATTATCATATCATTTTATTTTCTGATGATGGGATGAGAATACTGACACAAACATTCAATTCTCTACGACTATCTCAATCTCCAGAAACAGACGATTCAAGCATATTATCGAACACCATCATAACTCTATTTTCCAAAATAATAAAGTATGCGGATTGAATGCAATAACACAGATATGAGAGCAAAGAGAGGAACGATCAAGCATAAGGAATTATAACAGCTCTCTGAAGCATCGAATGTATGCTTCAGAAAAATGAGGCTAATAACCTTCATCTTACATACCCTTCTCGATGTGTTACGTTGTTCTCGAAATAAAATTATAGCCCATTTAGAAATATACATAGCTCGCGGTCAAAACCGAAACACGTATACATACTTACACCAATCTCATATCGAGCTAGACTGCTCAACTCCCCTCTGGATCAGAGCTAGTATAATGCTTGTAATTTTTTTTATGTTTGGTATTCATTTAATTGTTCGTTGGGTAACGATCAATCCCACTTTTCCTCTTTTTAAAATGCATCTCGTTGCGCTAGCTAATCCTGGATCCGCCGCTGCTCTCTTCTCACCACTCACCATCACAACATGGTTTCCTTCCCCATCCTTATGAAGATTCCACAGCAACCGAAAGCTATTTTTTGTTTTCCAACAATGGCTCCAAAAAACATCTTCCCACTTTCCCTCTTCTTAATATTTTTGCCTGAGATTTTATGTCTCCATCAAACCGCCTTCCCATCTTTCACAATCTCTTCCCTCCACAACCATAAAAAGCCCTTCGAAGCCCTTCCCCTTCTTTCTCCAACCTAGCAAAAAAAATAAGAAGTAACACAAGAAATGGCGGGGAAGAGAAACCAGAGCCGCGGCAGCAGCCCAACCTCCGGCAACTTCTCCGACGACGACGGGGGCTCTTCTCCCGCCACCAACAACAACAAGGAGCAGGCCGACAGGTTCCTCCCCATAGCCAACGTGAGCCGGATCATGAAGAAGTCCCTCCCGGCCAACGCCAAGCTCTCCAAGGAGTCCAAGGAGACCGTCCAGGAGTGCGTGTCGGAGTTCATCAGCTTCGTCACCGGAGAAGCCTCCGACAGGTGCCACAGGGAGAAGAGGAAGACGGTCAACGGTGACGACCTCATGTGGGCCATGACCACCCTAGGGTTCGGGAGCTACGTCGGCCCGCTAAAGGTCCACCTCGGCAAGTACCACAAGACCGAGCACGAGGGTAATGTCAGTTCCATCGATGGTAGTCAACCACAACAGCAGCAACGACAACAGAGTTCGTTTGTCGCTGTTGCTACGAACCCCACACAGACCGTCTCTATCACAGGTAATAGAGACGATCGTGATTTGGTAGTTGGTGATACTCACCACCACCAACATTACCATCATTATATTGATGTCGGTGGTGATCAAATGATGAGCGGGCCCATGTTTTCATTGGGCCGACCTGCTCATCAGGATTCGGGTTTGCAAGGGTGTGATGGGCCGTCGGCTGATACAACATCGTCGTTGGTGTACACACTTGGAGTGTATCCTCATCAAGCGGCGGCCGTGAGTGCGGCAAGGCTTCTCGGTTACGGTAACGGCGGCGGGAGAGTCGTGGCGCATCAGTTTGATTAGCGGGGAAGAAATTGAAGATGAAGGGAAGTTGGTCCATCAGATATTCGAACTCACATATTCTAAACCTTCGCTTAGTAGAATATAGCCTGCTTGGTTTATCCCGACCAATTATTGAGCTAAACTAATGAGCAATGACCATAAAAACATTTTTCAAATTATTTATTTATGCTAGAAATAAAACTTGCTAGCTGATTTCATTTTTGCCTTCCTATAATTACTACCTATGTTTCATTTCTTTTCCAATTTAGCTAACGATTAAATTGTGACAGTCGCTACATATTTATAGATAGGTACCTCAACAAAAGAGGAGAAAAAGGGAGAAGATTGCTCACTAGAAATCTTGACATGATCTCTAGATTCAAAATCTTTACGAAAACACTTATTATTGCACGATGAATACTAAGAAACCTGAAGATCCAAATAAACAGATGACTCAACCAGTGTGATGAATTCCAAATCATTGTCAAACAAACCTCTGCAATAGAGCAGTAGCGCTGAATCACATGTCAACTCCTTTGGCACAAAATTCAGGTAAATCAGCAAGGCTATCATACTATGAACCTTCAGCAGCAACAGGCATGCAAGTATGTAACAACTAAATAACAAGACCTAGCAGGAATAGGAATCTATAAACTGAAAAGCATGGCAAGTGAGAGCTTCTATGTTTCTATCCAATAGATCACATTAGCTGGAAAAAAACAAACACATTGCCGCGAAAACAAACACATCTTCCACAGATTCGACACACTTATTCTCAACAATCTCACCACAATCCTCAGTAACTACAGTTTTGGAAAGTGGTACCACTTATTCTCAGCAGTCTCGCCACAATCCTCAGTAACAAACAGTTCAGGAAGTGCTGCTACCACTTCCAGGCCCAACCTTCTCTCATCTCCTAAAGGAAACCCCGGAGAAATCCTTCAACAAATGACGAACCCCAGCATACACATGATAGGACATGGCCAAGGCAGCAAGCTCAGCGGAGACCAGGGTGAGTTTCGACGAGTAAAATAGGAACTGGTAGAAGTTCTCAAAGGTGAGGCAAAGAGGACCTGTTTTCAGGCAAAGAAGATAGAAAACCAGTACATTGCCGGTCAGGAAAGCCCCAGAGATTCTGTTGGAAATGGAAGACGTCGAGCTAAGCTGTGGCTTGTACACGGGGAGATGAGGAGATAAGGGGCGGAGGACGTGCTTCTCGGCCGGCGACTGCGAGCCAATTGTGGTGTTTGGACCTGCAGCAGTTGCCATTGACCTGGTGAAGTCCCCACCTTGCAGGGACATGAAAGTAGGGATGGTACGGTGGCTGGAAGCAGAACCCATGTAGTGATCAAGAGGAGTCCCAGCTCTTCCAAAGCGCCCGAGATTCGCAGCCCTACCAGCTTTCATCCTACTGACAATGTCAAACAAGATCTTCGGATTCTTCGACATCTTGTCCAAGATCTACAAGAATGATCATCAAAATAACCATTTCAAATCTCAGACTCATCCATTAAGGAAAAAACATGTTAGAAAGTCAATGGCAGCAGCTAAATAGTGAACGGAGGTCTTTGCTGCGACAACAGATTGAGGCTGTTCTCGTAACTTGTTCGAGGCCTTATTCAAAATAAAAAGAGATGTGATAAGCACGGAGAATTGCTAAACCGTTATTGTCACCCCTTCAATGCAAGTTGCGCCAACTTCCGACACCCTTGCTCTGCAAATTGGCAATCTAGCTAGCTACCACACAAACTCACTGCCGAAGAATCGCTTCAAAAGCACGTATGCATCCCATTTCTAGAACACATCTTTTTTTTACATTATTCATTCTAGTAATAAGATCATGCAATTCATCCACATGTAATCTCACAATAGCAATTCATCCAATTACGTGCGACCCAAATCACAATTCTTGCAACCCAACAATATCTTCAGAAATTACACTACAATTCCACCTGTAAAATACACATGAGTCCTTGAAATCTATGTACTCGCTATTGCTCTGCAAATTGGCTATTCTCACAGACAGTATCAAATAAGTAAAAACTGATAAGGAGCTAACTTATGAGGGGGACGGCCATTAATCGGGCAATCAAGCGAAAGATCGTTCATCAATCCATGAGTAACAAACGCAACCCTACACTCGAGCAGAAAGTTCGATTTTGGCTCAAGGGGATTCTAGACTGACTAGTTATATAGATTTATTGATTTTGCACAAGCTTTGAGCTCACAGTTCAGCGACAGGAGCGCACGGCTCGTGCAAGCCTTCTTAGATCGGTGCTTTAGGGCGTACGAATACAAGCACCCATAATCCAACAGAGTCTAAGGAACTAAAGCGACGAACGGAAGAGCACACAGAGCGAGGGAAAAGGAGGAGCGAAGTGTTCGATATCTTACCTTCTTAGATCGGATCCGGTGGTGAGAAAAATGGTGATGTGATAGAAGGAACGTCAGGGCAGCAAATGGATTTAGGGTTTGAGCTTACGACAACGACACCCAATTCGCTATCTCCACTCCAATCCTCCTAAAGAGCGAATTCGATGGAGGCAAAAACGAGACCTAAAAAGAAGGAAGGTGAACTTCTCCCCGTTTGTGGTTTTACTTCTCAATTAATTGGACACGTGTCACCCAGTGGACGTTCGGTAAAAGTCGACTAATCAGCAGTAGGATTAGTGATGAGCACCCTTCTTCCGGCCGCCGATTCTTCCCCGATGATCCCAACTCCTCCGCAACAACTCGAGAACGACAATCCAATCAGAATAAAAAACAATAAGACGAGGATGAAGAAGAAGAAGAAGAATAAATTGTTCTCGGTAGACGAAGCTTCATCCTCGTCCTCTGCAACTTCATCTTCCTCCTCTTTCAGCTCCGCCCAGAGAAATTCAGGGCCCGCCGGCGTACCCCGTCGCCGGGAGTTGGTGGTTGCTCCGTTACGGCGGAGTCGCGGGGATGGCAATCGTGGGGAGAGCTTGGACGCCGTTGCTCTTCCTCTCGGCATGTCGTTTGCCGCCGTCATTGCGCAGGTTCGTCACAGAAAGTGGGAAAAAATCTCTGCTTTGTGATGTTTTTTTTGTAGCTTCAAAGTCCGAATCTTTAAGAGAATCCTTTCTTTGTGAGCGGTTTGGTATTTCTCCGCAGAGAAGAACAATAAAGTTTGGATTTTTATTGCTGATTAGCTGCGAACAGTTTAATGATGTGTGTTCTGCTGTAATGAGTTATGACGTTGTGGAACAGCTAGTCTGTGGTTGATTTAATCATTGAAAGCTGCATTATAGAAAGTTGGTTGTGAAAATTTGCGACTCAGAATTGAATTGATGGTATCTTTAAACTGATCTTCTTATCTCACTCTAGCTTATGTGTAAGATTGAAGGTAATTAATTTGTTGAACCTGAAATTGCAGTTTGTTTTAGATGCATGCAAGAACTGTTTGCAGTGGTGTCTTCATTATGTTGTTAAGTTGTTGATATTCATTCAAATATCTCTACTTTATTGGTTAATTTAAAATGGCTCGTTATTTGGCCAACATCTGCTGATACCTCTGCCATTCCAGAGGTAACAGTTTCTCCCAGTTCTGGCTTTCTCAAACTGGAGCGAAAACTCCTTTCACAATCTTGGTTATCTCTGAACATCAAAGGTGTGGAAGGTAATGCATTGATACTGCAAGCTCCATAGATATGCTGTAGCCAGGAGACTGGTTTTATGAATATACCTAATCTTTCATATGAGTGTTTACTTTAACAGAATATGGTTCTGTTCTGGATTTGTTGATGATAATGGAGTGATTGATTTGGATGTGGTGCTCCTGCTATTGTTGTTCTCTATCTATCACCCTAGGTTTTGGAGAGGAAAGATGCTGAAGGCGAAAGAATGATGTCTGCAGAGCTCCTTTCAGCGGTAACATTCAGGCCTTCCGCCATACTATACATTTTGTTACCATCTCTCACTGGTCTTTCTTCTGTGTTCCAAATGCTATCCACCTTTCCTTTGTGGAAAATTCATTAGTATCATGTAAAATTCAAATGGGCTAACATTATTTTTTACTTCATGCTAAACATATGCTAATAAGTGCAACGATAGTGTGATAGCATTTGTGATCTAGGTTTCTTATGATGTCATTTTCTCAGTTACATCAATTTGGAATGCAGTTTGAAATGAAGATCACAACTAAAGATAATTATTTCCTTACCTGCAGATATGCACCACTGCCGTCAGAGAATCTTTAGCAAATGTAAGGGCCTCTTTGTGTATGTTGAGGTGGTGGGATAGAAGACTTCTAGAAAAGGGATACAGACAAGTATGCTCGATCTAACTGCCTATGTTATGACAGGTTTTCGGCAATGAATTTGAATTATTCGCTAACAACTTCCATCGGTCATTTCGGAGCACATTGAGGACTCTTCGAGTGATCAATGAATCATCTTTCCATAAAGCTGATCATAATTTGAGCCACCTGAATAGCAATAATCTCAGTCCTGATGAGTCGCACTTGCCAGTCAGTTCAGTACACAATCAATTGCATTCAGCTGAAGAAAGAGAAGGCCAGCTGCCAACAAATTGCTTGACCAGGGAACTCACCCTGCGTGGCCATGACAACCAACTGACTTGTACTCCTGGCTCATTTAGTTCAAGGATGGAGCTGAGCACCATAGAGAGGTCTATCATGGATCAATCTCGTTTCAATGACCTAAAGGCTTTGGAGATTGGTCTCTCGATGAGGAGACTAAAGTTGAAAGAGGAACAGATAGCTCTTGGTTTGGATTCCAATCGACTCGAGAGGTCTAAACTAGCAATGGGCACTGAGAAGGCTTCTTTCAGAGCAGAAAAGTTCAAAACCCAACTAGAAGACACGAGGCATGCTGAGCTGCTTCGCAATTGCACAGACTGCCTTGTTGCTGGTTTGTTTTTCATGTCAGGATCCCTCTCATATGGGGCATATGTTTATTCCTATAGAAGGATTGCAGAAGCTACTGAATCTTGTACCACTCCTTTTGAGGTCAGAATCCTTTTCTCTTACCCCAGTTTGAATTGTTTTTGGTTCATTGTATGTTGCAATATTAGCACCAAGAGGGTCTTCTATTGCTGTGAACGTTATAGGACAATGGAAACTAAGTTGCCGATCTTCTTTTAGTTTTGGAGTCATCAGTTTAGGGTTCTGTAGGAATTTGTTCATTGTGACTGTCAAAATGTGGATTTTACCTAAAATTGGAGGAAGTACTGGAAATTCATAAGCATAAAGATCAAATTGGTCAGTAGCAACACGGAATTGATGGTTGAGACTCTGAAGGAAAGTTCTTTAAACTTAAGAATCTTCTGGGTGTCTGGTCTTAATCTTTACCATTTTCATCCGTAACACCAAACATCCAATTCGTGATGGAATAATAATTCAAATGGTTTTGTGATTGCTCTGAGATGGCTATCTTCTAGAATCATTAATAAGTTGCTTTTTTATATCCCTTTGCAGGAAACCAAGTCATGGTGGGCCTCAAAATCATTCTCCTCCTTCAACGCCAACCTCCACACTCTCAAGTGCCAAGTCCAAGTGGTGAGCCGAATGCTGTTCGGCCTGCTAATGATCCTTTCAGTTGCTTACCTCCTCCTCCAACGGTCCACCACCTCACAACGGTCGACAATGCCAATAACCTTCATCCTACTTCTGCTCGGAGTCATGTGCGGCTTTGCTGGAAAACTCTGCGTCGACACACTAGGAGGGGACGGCCTCCATTGGCTCTTTTTTTGGGAAACTATATGCTCTCTCCACTTCCTCGCCAACATGTTCACATCCACCGTGTATCGTGTACTCTGTGGGTCACTCGACGTCTCCACAGGAGGGTCACGACCTTGTCGGAGAATAATACTATGGCCGTACTGGTTTCGACGAGCAGTTTTCTACACCATCTTGCTGCTGGTCTTGCCATTGTGCTGTGGGCTACTACCATTTGCCAGGTTTGGAGAGTGGAAGGATCATTTTGCAATGCTTGCTATGGATCTCATGCCACAAGGTGGACAAAGCCTTGCTTCCACCATGATAATGTTAGATGACAAAGGTTTTTGCCCGATTCGTTGGTAATGTATAACATAAAGACTTCTGCCTTGGGGATGGATGTTGGCCGATGTGGTGAGGCTTTGGCTCAGAACATGTTGGCTGCTTTGCTGGATGAAGATATAATCTTTCGAGCTGGGATGTGAGTTAGTTTTAATTTATTGCTTTGCTGATGTTTTCCCACTAACTTGGTTTCTGCTTTGTTGATCTTCTACCAATTCTCACTCGGTGTTGTGTAGGTAGTTAGTGCATTCCCTGGTATGATTTGCATATATGGCTTGTTTTATGTAGGTAGTTAGTGCATTCCCTAGTGTCATTTGTCTCTTCACTAACAGTGACCAGAAATTTTGTGTTTTGGATAATTTCAGGCGCCCTGGAGACTCCTCTTATCGATCATGGAACAGAAGTCCTGGAGGACGTTGAGTGGAAGAGAGGCGACACCTTTCGAAGAACGAACCTAATGGGGCGAACCCGAGTATGCTTGGTGTATCCATTTCATGTTGTTTGAGAAAGACGTTAAAGGCCACCTTGTTCGGTGTAATCTAATCTATTTTCTTTGTTCTGTGACGACTAGGAAAACATGTATCATTTCCAGAAACAGAGATCGTATAATTTTAATCAGAGTATCCATCCTGCAACACATACATTTCTGAAAAAAAGCAGAAACTGAAAGCCTTGGAAACGATACTCTAGTTCAACTTGTAAAGCAGCTAAGTAAACGTTAAATTGAGTCAATTGACCAAGTCTTCTACACCATCGATTCTCGTTCTGATAAGTTGCTCTGAGGACAGAGTAGGAAGTTGACGTCCTTAACCAATAACCACGACCATGCTCATGAACTCGAGCAAAAGGACTCGATAGAATAGATGCTCTCCTCTATATCTAGAAGAGTGCTCCCACCACAATTTGACAAAGGCAAACCCCAAAACCTTCTAAGATCCAATACAAGCAAGCGAGAAGCAGTCCATCTAGGTCCAAAGAAAAACACTCGTAACTACAACTCTTCCAAAAGCATCCCTATGGAATTGGCGCCAAATGCACTTCTTCATCAGTTCAAAGATGTTGATGATCTCCCCTCTAGCCCATCCTTCCCTCAGGACTCAGGAGCATATTCCCAGTCCGATTGTTTTTCTTCACGAAATTCAAAAGCTTTTCTTCACGAAAGAATGCAGGCTGTGTACTCCACCTTCACTTATCGCTGCTCCAGTCCGGACCTGTACACAGACATCCCAATTTCGCTCTTCAATTCAATGCACGTCGTCACAGGCAATTCAACAAAGAAGCAACTAGTAAAGAGTGCGACCCACGACATACCTCAAGCCTCAGAGTTTGGGACCTCAGCAATTCATGCGCGGAATGCAGAGAAGAGGCACCCAGATCCTGAAACCCTTGCTTTACTGCTTGCATGGTGTAAGGTACAAACTCCAATACAGAGCCTTTATCCGGCATCGCTCCGACTACTCCCTGTGCAATCTTCAGCTTGGACTTGTCCCCCAAGTACCTCTGATCGCTCCCTTTGCTCATCGCCTCCAGTGAACCCATCCCTCTATACTTCTTCACCCTAGTCCCATCCTGATGCATGCCCAACAGAGTAAAGAAACAGTAAGGAAAATATACCCTCATCAAAACTACATAGACAGTTCAGAATCCCTAATTGAACACACATCCAGGAACTGCAACCTCTTCTGCAAAGAACAAGTCATTGTAAAATTGCCATACCTTGTTCACGTACTGGCCAGGAGCTTCAGTACTTCCAGCTAAAAATCCCCCCATCATCACAGTAGATGCTCCCAAAACCAATGCCTTCACAATCTGCCCAGAATATTGAATCCCACCATCTGCAATTACAGGGACACCGCTCTGCGAAGCTACAGAAGCAACTTTGTAAACAGCCGTTGCCTGCAAGTCAGCAAAACACTCCATTAGCACAACAAACAGTATGTAACAGAAGATCTAGCTGAACAGTAGTGATAAAAATCCGGCCTTTAGTACTTCACCTGGCCACGCCCAACCGCGCAAACCTCCTGGGTAGTACAAATCGAACCAGACCCCATTCCCACTCTCAATCCATCGACACCCGCAGCAATCAAGTTCTGAGCTTGACTCATCGTCACCACGTTCCCGCCAATCACATCAAGCTGCGGATAAGTCCGCTTCACGTACTTGATCATTTCAATCTGGTAAATCGAGTTCCCTTGAGAGCTATCGAGAACCACAACATCAACCCCTGCCTTCACCAAAAGCTCCAGCCGTTCCTTGTCGGAGTCTCTAGTACCAATCGCCGCTCCAACCATCCACGATCCGTCGGAGCTCAGCGTCCCCTTCCCCAGCTTCGGGTATCCCTTCACCTTCTCCACATCCTCCTTGGTAACCACATCCACCACTCCTCCTTCCTCCGCCAGCACCGCGAAATCCCGCTCCCGCTCCTGCTGCTTCAGGTGGGAATCCAGCTTGTACAAATCGTAATTGGACGGCACGACGAGCGATTCGTCGGCGGGTCTCATGTAATCGGAAAGCTTTGCTCCCTGCTTCTCGCCGGACCAATCGGACCGGGCGACGTAGCCCAAGAGCTTCGAATTGGGCTTGCCGGATTGGGTGACGAGGACGCAGGGGACGGCGGGATCGTCGAATTCGTTGACGATTCGGGAGTCAGGGGAGAAGATGATTGGACTTGATTGAAGCGGGACGCGACGGGATTTGACTGACCGGATGAATGCGGCCTGGGCTGAGGGAGTTGTGTTGTAGTGGACGATGCCGATTCCGCCGAGTGCGGCCATGGCGGCCGCCATGTGGGACTCGGTGACCGTGTCCATGGGAGAGGAGACGCAGGGGATGGAGAGAGGGATGTTGCGGGAAAGCTTGGTGGAGAGGGAGACGGCGTCGGTGGGGAAGTCGATGTAGTGAGGGAGGAAGATGACGTCGTCGTAGGTGTATGAGAAGCCCTGATTGAAGAGCTTCTTGGCGCCGAAACCGTCCTCTTCTTCCATTGATATGTTGTTGCTCATTGTTGAGAGTAGAGGGTCGGGGAGCAACGGTGGCTGGGCTCTGACGAGAAGTGGAGGAGATGACCGGCGCTGCTGGGGAAGAGAAGGATTTGACGGCGGAGAAGCAGAGTAGGATTTGGGGGAAGAACAGAGAGAGGTTGGTTCGGAGACAAACGAGCCAGCTAGGGTTTGGGTGGAGTGTGGGGATAGGGTTTAATTTATAAAGAGTGGATTCGAGTTGTGAGTAGTAACTCAGGTGAAAATAAAAGTTTGAGCTCGACTTGATGTTGGCTCGTCAAATAACATTAAAGGATTTAAAATCGAGTTCAACATATAAAATGTTCATTGTAGTTCAAGATTGAGTCAAAATTGAGCACAAAATTACATTCAAAACTGTAGTAAAGTCTAGCAAAACAAAACACAATATTTATCTCGATTTCAATAGATAAAATCCATGAATCTCAATCATTTATTATACCAAACCGTTAAATGAGCTTGTTCGCGAGCTTTCGAGCTGAACATAGTATGACTCGAGTTTGGCTCGTTTAGTTAATGAGTTTGTTCGCAAGCCAACTCGATTAAAACGAATCGAGTGTCGAACGAGTTTTTCTCGAATCGGACGCCGAGCCGTTCATGACCGGCTTGGTTCATTAACAAGTCTAGTAGCAACTAGCAAGTAATGGGAATTGATACGGTCGAACCGCACTAAGTCGCATCAGGGTCAACCCAAATTGGACCAACAAATTAGCGATATGAGTTGTGGTTTGAAATTGATGGCTTTCCTTGAAACCTGCAGTTTGATGATTTTTTTTTTTAGTGTTTACAAAGCTCTCTTTTACTTGGTAAGTCTAGTCTTGGATACTCACTAATTCGAGCCGGTTAAATTCTGACTGTCTCGCTTTGTTTATCGCGTCAGTTTGATGTCGGGTCTTTTTTATCTAGTAAGGGTTTGGTAGGATTAGTGGCGCGAATTATTTTTTTGCCTTATTACACATAACAACAACTAGTGTCTAGTGATATGTCATTTCTCATACCAACACATTAGACCTGTTTGTAACGTTTTAAATTTTAGGTACTAAAGGTAAAAATTATTAAGGTACTAGATGTAATTTTACCACCAAAATTTCTTGACCTTCTTGTAAAAAAAGTTAGATACTAAAATATAATAAAAAATAAATTAGGGAACGAAAATAAAATTATGAAAAACCGTGTGTTTATTGATGTGAGTCGGCCGATCGGCTCGATCCAATCCTACTTATACAGACTAGACATGGCTATGCTAAAGAATAATGGAATCGGGCCGGATCAAGTTAAATGCTTGACCAGATAAAATCGAGGTTTTTTAGAGTAATGACAAGTGAGAGTTGGATTTGGCCTAATTTCACCCCCTAGTTGTCATCATGCTCAACTATGATTAAAAAACGAAGAGAAAGAGCTAATGACCCTCGAGCCATGTTTTATGCTTCTTTCATTTTCTGAGCCATGTTTCATGCATGCTCCATCTTTGACTTGATTGGGCCAAAATTATGGGTTTTTTCTAGGATCAGATATTATGCTAGTATAATCGAACTGCATTAAATACATCAAAATGAGTACAGTTTCCATTTTACAGATTCCTGAGCAAGTACCAATTTGTAGAGGATGAAATTTTTTATGGGTTTAATGGCAAACCCAAGCTCCAAACATCCCATGGCTCCCAAGAGCATAATCCTCAAAAACATTGCAGAGACCTTACACAGATTCCTCCTATATGCCTTGATAACTAATCTCTTCTCTAGAAAGCTACAAGTTTTACATATTTCCTGGACTCTTTGAGGAAACCCCCCCCCCCCCCCCCCCCCCCCCCCCCCCCCCCAACAAGACTCTGCAATGTGCTTACAGACATTTGTAGCGATCTTGCAGCAGAGGCAAGAAGACAGAAGAAAAACTTTTCCCCGAATGCCAGGGAGCGAGCTGCAAGCCCCTGAGTTCTCATTGATAGCATCCGTGCGCTTTAGATTAGATGAATGCTGCATCCCGATTCGCAGAGTTGATTCGATTGAGCAGAGATCATTGCGATTACAGAACCTCGTGAGCCTTCCCATAATACCTGTTGATGAATGGTGACTGCAACCAAAACCAACAGAGTTTATATTAGAGAGCATAACTGGAGAGGCAACAATGTCATAACTCGTAAGATTACTGGGCAACGATTCTTTTCAAAGTTGGTATCTATAAGAGTTTATTTGAAGTACAAATAGCTGAAACACTTGATGCACTAGCTTGCACAACAGCTTAGATTTAACATTATCATACCTTAACCAAAGAAACATCTGGAGAATCATCAGTCTTCTTAGGGTAGAATTTGTAGAACTTCATATTCTCAAAGGCAGCTCTGGCGTCTGCGCTCAATTCTTCCCTGGCCCTTTTCCGAGCTTCCCTAGCCTGGACAAGAAAAGAAAATCGCTTTACGGAATCAACCCTGTCAGTCACAGTTGTATAACGAATAAATACAGGCAGTAATCGAAACAATCACCTCTCGGTTAGCCTTCTTGGATTCTCGAACTTTGCTTTTAACAAACTCCTGCAACAGCCATGGAAATTCAGCACTAATACATGAGATTATGAATTCATAGAACCCTATACAACAGTGTTTACCTTGAACTCGTCCTTCTGACCTTCAGATAGTGCCTCGTCCTTTATGAGATTATCAGTGAATTCCTAAGAATAAATGTAGACATACATCAGTAGATTTCCAAGGAATCATGGCTATTATTGAATACATATAAGTAGATGAAACACTGCATCAAGTTATTTAGCAGCTGGACCAACAGCTAAGCTTATGAACTTTTTAGTAGTTTGTGCTTGATACTTATAATTATATTCTATCGTATCGACAATATGATAAAAAATTGTTTTATGGAAATATAGAACAGAAAAAGAAACTCTATAAACTGATTTTACTCTTACCTCCAACTCATCCAATTCCCAATCAAACTCACATAAAACCTGAAAGTACAAAACAATTGGATGTTAGCACTGATATATCTTTTGACAAGTTTCCCAGATATGCAAATTGTTTTGATAAAAATAGCAGAATTATCAGTTCCGATTTATAATGCACTTCCAGAAGAACACATCAACAATCTGCATGAAATTGATGAGCTGCAAGTAGCAAGTTATGGATTCAGTATGTGTATGTCCTTACCGGCTTGTCCTCTGCTGGAAACACTATTTGGACCTCAGTGCTTTGTTCAAATTCGTCTTCCTTCAGCGGATGATAGAAGTCTGGTCCAGACGGTAAAACAAATTCAATATTAACAGTATAAATCTTAAAGCAAGTTGGATCAAGATACATGAACACATTTGAATTTCTAAACATAAATTGTGTTCAAACTCACAAGGAAGGCAGTATTCGAATTTCTTAAGCCGGTCTATCTTCAGATGTCTCAAAGCAGCCCTACAAACCAAGTTCATGAATACCATGGCAATAGCAACATCCATCAGCATTATAAATGTGGTAAACATGCAGCAATCAAACAACTCTTGGATCTATTGCGCCAAAGATAGAATATCCACTACTTATCGGATACTACTAGGTATGGACAAATACCAACAGCCCAAATAGGAAATGGAGACAGGACAACTTAAACAATGAAAGTGGAAGAGAAGACTTGAGAGGCAATACCTTCTTTGAGTGCAGCTCAAGATGTAAACTTGAGATTTCAATCTGAGAACTTCTGTGTCCCTGTTTGCAGAAGAAAAGTTCAAGATTGAACAACAAATTGGACAAGAATGGTTAAAATTGTCATAACAAAAAAGATAAACATAACCAACCTGTTCTCCATAGGAATGTATGGAACCCAGTCCATCTTCATTTGTTTCATGGGAACTATTTCTTCCGTTTCCCTTTGAACCGAATTAATTCCCATCTTGTCTGATGGAGGGAAAGGTGAAACAATCTGTGCATGAACAGTGCCAACACGCAGAAGAAAGTGAGAACCACTCGACCCTTTGACAACTATCCATGTTAGCCGTGCAAAAACCAAGTTCAACAGTATGAAGTATACTTACAGCCACAATTGCAGGTACATTCATTACGTGGTTTTGGCCTTGGTATGGAACCAATTGGGCTGCAGATCAAGAGCAACAAAAGCAATTAGCTAGTAAACAGAGAAAACAGTAGAGTGAAAATCAAATGCAGAGAACAAGACAAGAATACAGAAAAATAAGAGCGAGCATCTAAAGAATGCAGAGAAACGGTAAATAACCAGGCTGAGAGGTTTACATACGTTCAGTACAGCCAAAGAGATACACTTTCTTCCCATGCAGAGCTCCTCCCTCTTCAAAAGCTTCCTGAAACACCAAGAAATTAATTTTAGCGTCTGCCACAGAACATATATCAGTGTTACGACTAAGAACATATATTTACAAAATAGCTACAGGAAGCAGATGACAGAAAACTGCAAGCAACTCACTTCCAGATTGGAGAAGTCCCAATTGTACTTGTATAAACCATCCAATTGATCCCACTGCAGAGAACAACAAACAAGCAACAGTTGGTTTACAGTCAAAGGAAACGAGCAACCATAAATGCAGCAGCAAGAAACCCTGTCTAACCTCTGTACCGACTGGGAAAACCGCCTTCCATAGATCCTCCTGCACAACAAAGTTGGAGCACCTCTATTAGACATGAAAAGTGTGAAGCTAATGTTCAAAAACTACAAACAAAAGACAAAAAAAAAAAAAAAAGCTAACCACAGATGAAAAATCAGCCGGAGCAGCAAGAGAACATCATGGACTAATTCTCTAATGAAGGTAACAACATACAATCTACGTTCCAAACTTCAGAGCATTAATAAACCTTTAGCTAAAACAATTATTCTTGAAGACTAATCCTAATCTCCATCACAGACCTAACAGTATCAAGTACCGTCACAGATTAACCAGCTATCGCCTACCAAAATTTCAGTCTTTCATTCCAAAATCCGCGACCCAAATAAAACCCTAAACCAAATTCCACCCACCAATTCCTGATTCCCCATCCACGTTACCCAAACCAAACAGCAGCCCTATCTGCAACCCAAACAGAAAAATCCAGAAACAAACAATCATTCAGTTCATCGCTTATCCATACCATATTCCGCTTCTCTTCGAAGTACTCCGGCTCAGGCTCAACCTTCGCGCTCTTAGCTCGAGCTCGGCGTGCTTTACCAGCAGCAGCAGCTGCTGCAGGAGCCGCCCCTTTCTTCGCCTGCTTATGATTCCCATCCGCCGCCGCTGGCTCTGCTTCCGCAGAGGAAGAAGTAGAAGCTTTGGGCTCCTCGACGACGGCGGCGGCGACCTCCTTATCCTTCTTATCCGTCGTCGCCTTCTCCGCCCGCTTTCTCTTTGCCCCTTTCCTCATTGCTGCTATAGAAACAAAGCAAACAAGCTCCGCCGCAATCGGGAATAGGGATTCTGCGCTGTTCTCTGCTTGGTTTTTGCGGGGGGTGGATTGGTGGAAGGGAAAAAAAGAACTGGAGGATGCGCGAAGAGAAAGGTCAAATTGCAAAACGGGGGGCGGTGGATCCGGATCCGAATTCGAAATTCGAATTTTGCACAGAGAGAGAGAGAGAAACTGCGTGGCGGCCTTTAGGATAGTTTCTCTAGGGCTGCTAAACGGTACGGTAACCGGTTTACCGTTTACCGGTTTCGGTAATACCGGAAATATCAAGAGGCCCGCCGGATGCCGATACCGCACTACCCCCGGTATACCGCTTACCAATTTGACACGGTATCGGTAATACCTCAATGATTGTGAAATGGATATATATATATATATACCTCATGAGTAATATTGTTTTATACTACAATTACTATTAACAAAACCAAATAGTAGGAAATATCAAATATGCCATGATTCCACAGCTAAGAACTAAGTAGCCTACTACTACCTACGAGCCTACTGCTGCTCGCCTGCTGCTCTGCTCGCACAGTCTCACTTATCAAACAACAAATCAACAAAATTCCTACAAAACAATAATCAAACAATAATCAAACAATTATAATTTATCATCCAACATAATTCTTTCAACCACAAAGTCCAAGCTACGCCTAGCCTACACTACAGCCCTACACAGGTTACCTCTAATTCTAAAGTCCAAAATGGGCGGACAGCCGGAGACGACAGGGACGCTTGCCGGAGACGACAGGGACGCTAGCGACGGAGACGACAGGATTCGACGGCGACGACTGGCTTCGACGGAAACAAAGCAACGACCAACGAGCCAACGATGATGAGACAAGTGACAAGGAGACGACGGGGTTCGACGGCGACAACTGCCTTTGAAGGAAACAGAGCAACGACCAACCGCCAACGAAAACGATGATGGAAACAGAGTCAACGTTGATGAGGGCTGCTGCTGTCGCCTGTCGTCGTGCACTCGTGCCCCTGGGTGGATGCGTGGAGGTTGACTTTGATGAACGGAGGAGGAGGGATCGGAAGACGGCGGTCGTGGACGGTGCAGCCGTGCAGCAGTCACTCAGGCGCAGGGGATGCAATCGATTAGATAGAGATCGTTCGTCGTAGCTTGTAGGGATTTTTTAGTTTTTACTTTCTAGGGTTGCCTTGCTGCCGACGCCGAACGTTTGATTATTATTGGTCCTGGGAAGTAGCTGAGCTGGGCTTGGCGTTTGATTTTTGTGGTTTCTTAGTCGGTGTCGGATTACCGATCCGCCGACGGTAATATGCTCCATCGGTAACGGCATACCGCCAGCAAACACTTCCCCATCCGAATACCGTTATGTTCGGTAACCGGTTTAACCGGTAACCGTCGGTTACCGGTACGGTTACCGGTTAAACCGGCTACCGCAAAACCGGTTAGTAGCCCTAAGTTTCTCTATGGCGTAGCGTGGGTTTTAGCCTTTTAGGTTTTTGGTTTATCAATTTCTTTTTTTTTTTGGTAAGAAGAAGGACGACATTGCGTCCTAATTCATTAACATAATTGATCGATTCATGGAAATGGCCATTGAATCGTACAACAGCCAGTTACAAAGATTAGGCTCGTACACATCGAAGGAATGTGTACCAAAAGTGGCCAAATGACCCTTGCTTGCCAAGAAATCGGCGGCAAAATTCCCCTCTCTATAGACATGTGATAAAGTAACTTCCCAGTCAAGGTTTAAAAGCTTTCCAATTCGTGTTGCAATCAGTCCGTAGCGATGATCTGTATCATTGCAGTTCTTCATGATGGTGATCGCTGTCAAGGAATCGAGGTTCAGCTCCACCTTGCGAAATCCTCTATCCCACGCTCTCTGAAGTCCAACTTCTGCTCCTCTAAGTTCGGCCATGGTGATAGTGCAATTTCCCAGATTACAAACGAAAGCATCGAGACATCTTCCAAGATGATCACGGAGGAGTCCCCCTGCTGCTGCATTTCCTGAGTTTTGCATCACTGAGCCATCGGTTTGGATTTGAATCCAACTCTCTCTGGGTGGTTTCCAACCAATGGAGGCTTGAAAGTAGGTGTTCTTAGTTGTCACGATGCTCATCTCTTCATTCAACCTTGCTTGTTTATACACCTGTATCCAGGCCAGAATTTTACAAATCAATCCTGCCTCAGAGTACCTTTTTCCATCAAAAGTTTCTTCGTTCCTCTGTTTCCAGATCATCCAGCAGGAGATGCCAAAGTCAGTTCCCCTGTCGGCGTCCTTGATGTTGTCCATGATCCATTGTTGAAAGCTTCGATCATCTCCACTTGGATGCCCCATCTTGAAGAAATTTCTGACCCCCTCTGTTTTCCTGCATTTTCGCAGGATGTGTTCAATCGTCTCCGGCTCCTCATTGCAGGCCTTGCAGCTACCATCTGTGGTTAGCTTTCTTCTGGTTCTTTCGTGATTCGTAAGAAGCCGGTTGTGTAGGACAAGCCAGAGGAAGTGCTTCACTCTACTCGGCCCTTTCCACTCCCAGAGCTTTTTCCAGTCGGTTTGAACTTCCTCTCCAGTCTCGTTTGCTGCTAGTAGGTAAGCTGATTTGAGTCTGAACCTTCCGTCTTTTTCCAGCCCCCAGATCGTGGTATCCTCTCCCATTCCTTGCGCAGGTGCTTCCATACCTGCAATTCGCACCAGACATTCATTAGGGAGGATTCCATTGAGCTTTGTCCAATCCCACTCACCTTGTTCATTAGTCATCTCCGCCACAGAACAGAATCTCTCGTCATCTGTGAGAGTCTTAAGGCTGAAGTCTTTCAGCAGGGTCTCGTGATCAAGCCATGGGTGGTTCCAGAATTCCGTTGTTCTCCCGTCTCTGATGCTCCATACAGTGGCTTTCTGCATCACAGGAAAAGCTTTAAGAATTCCTCTCCAGAGACTTGAGTGGCAGCTTCTCTTCATGCCCGTGATTCTTCCATCTCTTTGGTGAAAATACTTCCCCTGCATTACTTTCACCCAAAGATCATCCTTGTTGTTCAGGATTGCCCATGCCAACTTGATCATGTAAGACAGGTTGAGGCTACGAACTGATCTGAGTCCCAAACCTCCTTGTTGTTTTGGGGTGCACACCTTCTCCCAGGACACCAAGTGCACTTTCCTTTTTCCTTCTTGGGATCCCCAAACAAACCAACGAATTCTGCGATCAATGTCATCACAAAGTGAAACAGGCAACATTGATATTTGCATAGCATAAATGGGGATAGCGTTAAGGACTGAAAGAGCAAGAGTAACTCGTCCAGCCAAGGAGAGTGTTTTGGCCTTCCAGGCGGTGAGTTTTCGATCGATCTTCTCCAAGATGTACTTGAAGGTGGATTTAGAGACTCTTCCATGAAGAACAGGTACTCCCAGGTACCTCCCCAGGTTCTCAGTCTCCTGAATTCCCAGCCTTCTGCACACATCCCTTCTGTTGGAGCTTTTGGTGTTTTTGGAGAAAAGCACTCTGGACTTCTCCTTGCTGATTTGCTCTCCTGAGGCAGAACAGAAAGCCTCAATGCACTCCATAACCACCTCAGCCTGTCTCGGATTTGCTTCAGCAAACAGCACCAAGTCATCTGCAAAGAAAAGGTGGGCTAGGGGGGGTCCTTTTGGAGAAAGCCTCACTGGCTTCCATCTCTTTTCCTTGACAGCATTCTCAATACAGTGGCTCAGTCTCTCCACACACAAAGTGAACAAGTAAGGGGAAAGAGGGCACCCTTGACGAAGCCCCCTGCTTGGGGAGAAGCTTTCAGATTCTCCTCCATTCCAGAGAACCTGCATTTGGGTGGAAGAAACACACTGCATCACAATTGACACAAAACTAGGGGGAAAACCAGCAAGTAAAAGGGTCTGCTCCAGAAAATTCCATTCAATTCGATCATAGGCTTTAGCCAGATCGATTTTCATGAGCATCATTCCTTTCTTCCCTGCTTTTCTGGCCATCGAATGAACTGTTTCCTGCAAAATCAGAATATTGTCAGTGATATGGCGTTTAGGTACAAAGCTAGTCTGGTTTTGCTTTACAAGGATTGGCATCAGCCCTTTGATCCTGTTTGCCAAGCATTTTGCAATCGTTTTATATCCCACATTGCATAGGCTAATTGGCCTAAACTCCTTAATGGACACAGGGGCTTCATTCTTGGGGATCAAGACAAGCAATGTCTCATTAACCTTGCTTATCAGGTTATGGCAAGTGAAACCTTCCTTAATGAATCTACAGAAGTCCTCCCCCACCCAATTCCAACATTTTTGGAAGAACAGGGCATGGAAACCATCCTTTCCAGGTGCCTTAAGCCCATTCATCTCATTGATGATGGCTTTGATTTCCTCATTGGAGGGGGGAGCACTGATTCTGGCCATCCTGGTTGGACATATCTCAGGGAATAAACACGGGATAGCATTCTGGAGCTGTTGATCCTCGCTTTTGAACAAGTCACAAAAGAATTGTCTGGCCATTTCCAAGAGGGCATCAGGATCAGAAATCCAGTTTCCATCATCTGCTTTGAGACAAGTAATCCTGTTTCTTCTCCTTCTGGTCAGAGTACTAGTGTGGAAGAAACGAGTGTTCATGTCTCCAAACAGCATCCAGTTGGCACGAGATTTTTGCATCCAAAGGACCTGCTCCTGCCAAATTGTTTCTTCCAGCTCAACTCTGATTCTTTGCTCCATCTCCAAGGAACTTCTGCTTTGGGAGGTTTCATTGAACTTCTCAATTTTTTGGAGCCGATTGGAGAGCTGCCTTTTTCTTTTGAAGATATTACCAAATATCTCCTTGTTCCAGGCCTGCAGTCTGTCAGAAAGATTCTTCAAAGAGACAGGGAGATCAACACCACCATTCCAGGAACTAGACATGAACGGGAAGAAGTCAGGATGAGTCAGCCAAGGTGCCAGAAACTGGAACCGTCTCACCCTCTTAGTCATGCTCTGGTTCTCCTCATTGCAGGTGAGGATTGGTCTATGATCAGACTTGAGTTTGATCAAATGCAAGGTCGAGGTCGCAGGGAATTGCTGGATCCATTCCATGTTGCACAGGCTCCGATCCAGTCTTTCTCTGAGTCTGGACTCCTTGGTGAACCAAGTGAACTTCGGCCCTGAAAATCCAACGTCCACCAAGCCACAATCAAAGATGCAATCGTTAAAATCCCTGACTTTTCCTTGATTGAAGGGCGCTCCTCCCATATTTTCAGATGGTCCTGTGATGGAATTGAAGTCACCCGTCAGCATCCAAGGGATTCTAGTTCTTCTCCCAATGTTTCTGAGTTCCTGCCAGAGCTCCTTCCGATCATGCTCGTTCGGGCTGGCATAGACCGCTGTGATCGCTCCCACTTCCTGGTTCCCACTCCAGTATTTGAGATGAATGAATTGCTTGTGGCAATCAATCAGTTCTAAGGTAAGCTGATTGCTATCCCATAGAACCCAGATGCCTCCACTGAAGCCTGAAGCTTCTGAAATTTCCCATGAATCAAACCCAAGGGTTTTGATAACATCAATAGCGTCCTTGCCACTAATTCTCGGTTCGAGGATACAAACCACATTTGGCGAATTAGCAGCCTTATACAGATCAAAGGTTGGTTTAAACTTCTGGTGCTTGGCACCCCTACAATTCCAGGAGAAGATCTTTATCATTAAACTGACAAAAAGGCTCCTGAATCTCCCAGGAGAAGGGGATCATTTGGAGTCAACGGCCATTGCCGTTGCACCTGTTTCTTTCTTACTCTCCGCCTTTACAGAGGGTTTTGAGTTAAGGTTTTTTTCCTTCTCAACTCCCTCTTTCACCGGGCTGAAGATAATCTTTCTGGAGAGGGTATTATCCTCCTTCTGGAAATCCTGAACATTCCCGCCATTCTTTCGTTCTTGGTTTATGGTTGGTGGACTCTGCTTGGCTTTGCCGCCTTTGCTTACCCCGTCAGGTGGCTTCTTCTCTTTCGGCTCACTCTTGTGCTTCTGTTGGGTTCCCTGCACTTTCCCCTGAGTCGATTCATTGCCTGCTTCCCCTTTTTTCATTTTTCCATCTCCCCCCTGGACAGCATTCACAACTGAAGAGGAAGCCTGTTGAGATGATGTCGTTGCACCCGTGTTCTTGGACGCAGGCGGGGGAGCTTCTGGTGATTCCTTCTGATTCTCCTTCCTTGATTTACTGCTCTGTTTTTGTTTGTTTTCCAATGGTGTCCTGTCCTGCTTCTTTTGCTCCACTCCTCTGACTTTCTTTGAGCTCTCGTCGTCCTTTTTTTTCAAATGTTGTGTCTTGTTATCCCCTTTACTGATGGGCTCCGGGCTTTTTTCTTGTGAATTACTTTCTGGCCTTGTTTCCTCTGTTTCCGGTTCTTCTCCTTCAGCATCGGCCTCTGTTTCTTCTTCCTGCAATGAATTGAATCGCGATCCGCTCGCAGTGTTCTTGCTTTTGTTTTCCCCTTTTCCATTCTCCTCCTTGGTCTGTTGGCTCTTCTGGGGAGGTTTACGCCTTCTTGTTCTGGTTGCAAGCATCCAAGGGCCAAAATCATTGAGAATTTCTGGCCTGATATCTGGGTCTTTGGATTCCTCCGCAGTTTTTTCTTTCTGCCGTTCTTCCTCTGTTTTGTTCTCCGAGCAAGTTTCTTCGAGATGCCCAAATTTCCCACAAAAGAAGCACACTGTGTGCAGGCCTTCGTATTCAATTCTCCTCACTCTCCTCTTGATTCTATACTTTGAAACGAGTTTTTTCTGGAGATCGATTTCAACACAGATACGTGCGTAGTTTCCTCTCACACCGTTGGCTGTGTTGAAGTCGATCTTCTCCATTCTTCCGATCTTGTTTCCAATATCAGTGAGGATCTCATGATCAAAGTAAGCAAGTGGGAGTCTCGGAAGTCTTACCCACACCGCAGTCCTGCTAATTGTGTCGAAGTCTGGGTCAAAATCAATTCTCCATGGCTCAGAGACAATATAGTAGTCATCCACTGTCCATGGCCCTCCATAGAGAGCCCTATCTCTGTCGAGCTGAGAATCGAAGGCCGCCTGAAAGTATCCGTTGCCAACATCACTAACACGAATACCCCCTGTTTTTGCCCAGAGCTTTTGAATTCTTCTTTGAATAAACATGAAAGGAAAATTCTTTCCGAGGATTCTGAAAGTGATCGCCCTTTGGAATTTCTGACGGATCTTAGCATCCGTCCGCTTCTTGATTCGTATCGTTGGGCATTCGGGGTCATCCTCTGCACCTTCTTCCTCCGATTCGTCAGACATCAAGTCATCACCTTCGAGAATTTCGATTGGCGGTCCGTTGCCGAGCATTCTGTCCTTGTAGGTAGTGGTAGCCCCCATCAGTGGCTGCTCGTTCCCCTCAGACTGGCTGGCAGTTGCTCGCTCTGGTTCTGCCATGGTGGCGTCTTCGTGGGAGTACTCTGGCTCCGCCACCGCGGTCACCACACTCGTTTCCATATCCTTCTGGCCACTGAATCCTCCATCGGAGGACGATCTTGACTTCTTGGTGGGTTGTACAGGAGTCCCCGTCGGAGATTCAGGCGGTTTCCTGTTCCGGGGCGGCGTCTCCGCCGTTGGAGGCATACCCCCAACGGTCGAAAAAACAAAGAAAGCAGGAGAGAGGGCAGAGCAAACTTCTTTCTAAAAAGCAAGAGAGAGAAGTTCTATATTCTCTCTGGTAGCATCTGGTTTATCAATTTGTTTTTCTTTTCTGTTCTTTTTATTCGAATTTTCTGGGACGACCATAGGTACTAAAATCGATTTTGATCTGTTGTATTCTCCATTTATTATTATTATTTATGTTACATAAATTTATTTAAATAATTTAAGATTTATTTTTATTTCTTATTTTGACTATAACGAAGTTAAAAATAGGCAACACTCAATTTCTTAAATAATTTAACTATAATTACGAATTTTTTCTTGATTTTCTGATGAAAATTTTGATATTTCTAATGCTTCCCCTTTAAAATACATATATACTCATATAAATTGACTAATTTCTATTTACATCACATGATAAACTACATGACCTACTACAGAACAAGTATGAATATCGAAATACTGGTTCCGAACTACCGAGACGATGCTAATTAGGAAATTTTTATTGGGCTTAGCAGTTTTTTTTCAATAATAGGTAAATTTTACTTTTTTTAATGTATAAGTATTTATCTTTCTTTGAAGTTTGGACTAGCATAAAGCCCATTTACTTGGGCTCGGAGTGGCTATGAAGGTGAAAAGGGCCATTAGTAGGCCTAGGACTCTTGTTCGGTCCAGGATTCCTTAACTTCATCGACTTCCAATGGGCTTCATACCCTTCTCAATAGCATAACTTCACCCTTTTCATAAGCAAACCCCCAAAGTCCCAAACCAACTTGCCTACTAAAAAAAAGAATAAAACAAAATAAATCATTTGTTTATGTTGAACGATCCATACCCGGGATATAATTATTGCAAAATAATAATCAATTGAATAATATTACATGTAACTTGGATCCATGATTTAATTCACCAACTCATTTGATTTATGATTTCATAGATATTGGAAGATATTGTTTTTTTAATGAAGAGTGAGTCTTCACTACAGTTGTAAGGTAAATCACAATTATTGTAATTGTCGGCTTAATCATGATGACGGTTGATTTGAGCCATATAGTTTAACTGATATATGTTTTCTCCACGGTATATAACAAAAATGTGCCACCCACGGTCTTATCTTCGTGACTATGAACCTCAACTACACATATTTCATTAACATTATTAATTACATCACTATGTGAGACACATATGGAAGGATGACACATCTTTTATTGAACTATAAGAGCATGATTCACAATATATATGAGGTGTAAGATTGAGCTACTATTATATTTGACTAACTTTAATCGTATAATAAAAATGGACTTTGATGTTGGAAAGTTAAACATTATGTGACAGGTATAGATACTGATAATCCGACTATTTTAGTGTAATAATTGCCCCCCTCAACTTGGAGCAAATGGTCAATTATTATTGAAAAACAAAAGGGGATATATTGGTCATCACTAAGCAACAAGTCCAATCTCAAATCACATCGGGATTTTAAGAGGAAATTAAATACAAATATAGGAATATCTAGAACCTCTCAACATGGAAAAGTCAACAAGGGTGACACAAACACTATAGCAACCTTCCTATATTAAAAAACAAGAAAACCCACTATAGCTACCTTTGGGCATCAACCATATGTGATTTTTCATGTGTACTTTGCCTTGTTCTTTAGGGCAAGGGTTGTATAAAGATACTCCCTTTAATGCCATGGAAACATAAATTACATTAGTAATATGAAAGGAGATTGAGTTATCGGTCGGCTCTAAACCGGTTAAGCAGCTTACATACTTATATTGTGAATGTTGATAGAATAGTTCGTCAATCTGACTAGAATGTACAATTTTGTTGTTTGGAATACCAGTAGTTTCATAGGTACTTAACGAGAGGTTCCTCTCTTTCCTTTAATTTGTTCTTATCAGCCTTGTTGTTGGTCATCCGACATATTATGTCAAAGAAAGTTACACACTTGCTAATAACGACTACGTTGGAGGAGATTCAAAGTTTCTTTACATCATTTTTGTGTCATATCGTGTATAAGTATATTTGTTCCTCGAAACTTTACCATAGTTATCCATATAACGACAAAATAACTCTTTCATTGATAGTTCAGTTGCATACAAACCACCACATATGATTATCGCGATATTGCAATTTGATTTTTTTTTTTAATCTGCACTTTCTTGACATATATCAAACAAAAAGATAACCACCATGAAAGGACTACACAAAAAATTCACTCATACCCAACCCAAATTAGTTTATGCAATAGATTTTATCAACTTTAGAATATTTGTGAACATCCATGATGATAAACATACACATTCTTACCCAAACCAATTTAAATCCTGACCTGGTTCTGGTTCTGGTTCTGGTTCAACTCAACCCATTTGCTAATAACCTCTGTTTCGGTCGGGTAAACAGGCCCACTCGATGGGCTCGCGCCAAAAGGCCCACCCATTGGTTCCGGCCCGCATGGGCTCCACCTCCCTCGAATTTTGGCATCCTTGAAAAACCCGAAAAACGCAAAAGTAACGAAAAAAGGAAAGAAAAAAAAGAAGAAGAAGAAAACGTGGAAATAAATTAACGCAGGAACCAGAAGAGAGAGAGATAGAGACAGAGATCGTATTGACTCCACACTCCTTCTTTCTCCGGTCGTCACTTTCTCTCTCTACATGTGCGCTGCGGAGAAATATTTCTTTTCCCCTTTTTCTGCCCGTCACTTCCTCTCTCTCCAGAGATTTCTGAATAAACAACCTCTATCTCTCTCTACATTTGAATTCGATTCCTCCTCCGCACCAAATGGTTGCTGCATCCGGCGGAGAGAAATCCCTAGCGAGATGACGAGCTCGCCGCCGCCGCCGCACCTCCGGATGGGGAGAGCGTGAGGAACACGGCGCCGCCGCGTACACCTGTGTTGTGTGAGTTCTTGGTTGCCTAAATATTATTATATTTATTTTTTTCGGTCTGGCGTTTCTTCTGTCCTCTCCGTTTGGCTTGGATTGGAACCTTCGGGGATGGTGGCGGGGTTTTTTTGTGTTTGTTTGTTTGTTTGAATTGAATTGAATTCTTTCGAGCTCGGGTGAATGATTGTGTGATTGCCGGGGAGAATTATACAGAGGAAATGCGAGGGAGGGAGTGGAAAACTTTTAATTTGGTAGAATCTGATTTGTTGTTCCTAACTAATTGGAGAAGGAGAAGGGCGGAGTTCGTTTTCAGCTGTTTTCTTCTTATTTCAGTAGGGAGCTGAATGAGACCATTAGTTTGAAAGCTTTTCCGTGTTTTGTTTGTTGATGGTAATTGATGTATGTCCCGTGTTTCCGTCCTTGTTAATAAATGTTCGTATCGAGTGGAATTAAATTCTCTTAAGATGGTTGTTTGTTGAACTATTTAAGTTCTCCAGGGTCTGGAGGATGGACTTGTGGATATGCAGAGCAGCTTCCTGAAGTGTATTTTTT